TTAAATATTCATTCTAATTTACTTTTCCCCAGGAATTAAAATTTGTAATTAATTTCAATGTAAAACAATTTTGAAATTTAATTATTTCGAAAAATTACAATTGTAATTCTTCCAAAATTTAATTTTTTTCAATTCCGTAATAAAATTATTCAATACATTAATAATATTTTTAAAAAATAATACAAATTAATAAATTTTCAAAATATTTTTAAATATTATTAGGTTTACAACAATTAAAATTTTCTAAGATTTTAATTTAAAAATCTTTTGAAATTTAATTATTTCTATATAAAAATCCATGCTTCTAATATTCAATTATTAACAAAAATTTCAATTAAAATTCATTTTTAAATCAATTCTTATTAGAAAGTTCTACAAGATTTCAATTGTTTAAATACAAAAATTTAATTAAAAAAGAAAAAAAATGCTTCTAATATTGAATTATTATCAAAAATCTCAATTAAAATTCATTTTTAAATCAATTCTTATTAGAAAGTTCAACGAGAATTCAACTGTTTAAATAAATAAGTAATTGATAGAATAATTGAATTCTAATAAAGAACTTTATCAAAATTTGTAAAAATAATTGAGGGGACGGCTTCTAAAAGGGGATACGCGTGGATTCTCACGTATAAGTATTGACCAATAGTGTAATTTTAAAACAGTTTCAATTTACAAATTAAATGACACAAATTTATACACAATGAAAATGCGCATCTTTTTTCTTTAAGAAATAAATTTATATCTTTTTTAGTTTATAAAATAATGAGCAAAAACTAAATTTTTGAAAACCCAAAAATTTAATTGTTTTACGCCTTTAACTCGTGCTGGCGTTTTTGATTTTTCATATTTTGTAATCAAACAAAAACGAAATTACAGATTAAGAATTCCTGAAACCAACTATATTTTTAAAACTTCAAAATCTTAATTAATAAAAAGTTTATTAATTTTTTCGAAAGAAATTGCAAAAAAAACATTTTTTCAACTTTCAACGCTCCGTTTATCGAGGAAATTTCAAGGTACAAAAAACTTCCAGTGAGAAAGTTTTTTATTACGATACGGACAAGTTTTTTCTAAAATTTTATTAAAATGATTTGGATATTTACAAAGTTATTAATGTTTAAAGCGTTTGGAGCGTCAGATTTCTCGCGCCTGGAACGCATTGAGTCCTGGATTGTTCGTTTTGCAACGCGTTAAAGATGTGTTTGTCAATATAAATATTCACAGTGAATAAAATTTAACGAAATTTATTTTGAACATATTTATTTTATTTTGTTAAATATACAATAGTCAACTACAATAATATTTCTTATTAACTTTCTTATTTCATTTATTTCAAGGTTTCCACTCTTCGTCAAAATGATCTCGTTTACTACATTTCATGTTTTTAAAATAATCATTAAAAAACTCCTGTCCGTTTGGAGAAAGATATCGAACTAAACTTTTTACATCATTCATTTTTGCCTTTGAAATGCCGACTTTTGGTGCGTGTAAGCTTCGCAAATTTTCCAGATTCATTTTTGATTCAATTTTGAAAGCGGAAGGATTTTGTAATCTATAGTTTTCAAAAGTATTTATACTTGAATCTGGTAAATACTGAATTGCGTAGCTTTCACTGATTTTAACATTTTTTGGGATTATTACTTCTTTCTGACATAATTTCTCAAAATTATAAACAATATCATTAGCAGATTCCACCATTGTAAATTGAGAATCGCGAGAATTTTTAATCAAATTGACATATTCTTGAGCCGTCTCTATTGTTTCTAATTTCTTTTTTTTCTTTGAATATAAACCAAAATTTCTGTCACATTGACAGTAAGAGTGACCACGTATAGGGAATATATGCCAAATATCAACGCCAAGTTTAGAGGACAATGTTGATAAAAACGCAAATACCGCATAATTTTTATTTTGACCAGGACATGAATCAGAAAAAAGAATAATCTTTTTATGAACAGTTTTTTGAAACACTTTTTCTATAGCATAGAGGAGAAAACTACATACGGTATTTGCACCTTTCTTAACAGTTCCTTCTAAAAATGAGAACATAAAACTAATATTCGATTTAAAAATATGCACGTTGAACAAATACAACCATAATAACCGTTTATAAAATTGATCAGACACAGGGATTTTTGGCAATTGTAGATTCTGAGCGTAATCAAATTCACAGCAAAGATTATTATTATCTGATAAAAGATGTTTTTTCAAATCATAATATTCTTGCACTTCTGTTTTGTGAAGAATGATATTTTCAGAATCTATTGGATGTGATTCGTTTTCAAAACATGTATTGCATACATCTGTTCGCGGCAATTTAAAACTGTAGTTTAAATTATAAGTAATAAATTTTCTGTACGTACTTTCATTAAAAGGAATTTTTACATCTTGCGTTACAGCGGAATAAAAGTTTAGAAATTCTGCATATAACGTAGAGAAATTAAGTTCGGAATTTAAAAAATAATTTAGTGTTGTTGATTCCCTTGAATAATGTGATTTCTGATGCGGTATGGATTGAAGGTGTATTTTAATTAGTTGTTTCATGTCTTCCGTCAGTTTTAAATTGTGAGATCCATATTTACCCCTCAAATCATGAAAATTATCATTTTCTAGTTTCTTCTTTTGCACGATTTCCAATCTTCTCTTGCCAATATTGAAAAGTTTACAAATAAAGGTTTTGCAAACAGGTACATTTACATTATAAAGAGGAAAAAAATAAACCCACTTTATTAATCGAAGTCGCCTTGTTCCTTTTCTTTTTTGAGTTTCTCTGCACTTCATTATAGTGCTTAAAAACACTGTTTGCCCACTATAATCTTTTAAATTCCAAAATGTTTTAAATAATTTTTTTTGTTCTTCTAGTAAGCACAACTCAAAGCACTTTTCTTTACAGCACAAACTTATTTCTTGAAAACATTTTTTGGGAATCATCACATTTTTTAATGTTACGTACTCTTCCCCCTGAAATACAAGATATCCCAATTATTTTTATCATAGAAATACACATTTATGGTTTCCTAAATTTATTTATATTTCTATATCAGCAAGTAGCAAAAATGTTTTACCTTGCTTTTATTAGTTTTACGAACGTTTTTTTCCCCACAAATGCTCATTTCTTTGACGTTTTCTACCTCTTGTAGGTTCCACTAATTTTTCCATAATTAAAACACTTTCCAGGCACAAAAACACTTAGAAATTAAGAAGGTAGCTTTGAAAAATCACTAGTTTTATAAACTACCGAAATTTGCAAGATTCGTCTTAAGGAGACAAACTCCTACTGACATCCGGTTCTTGACCAAGATGTCCAAAACATTTCCTCAATTGTGATAAAAAAATCTCAAAATCCTGGGAAAATTGTATTGGGTTTCACCGAACCCTTTTTTTTGCAGTCAATGGTCGCGGCAGCCGCGATCCATATGGACACCATATTTTTCCGAAAATAAATCACAACTTTGAGAAAAATAGCATATAAAAAAAGGGTTATTTCCTTGAAAAGTGCACATGATAGCAAAAAAAAAAATCTATTGTATGAAAATATCTGTCAAAATACAGATATAAATAAAATAAAAATTTGTTTTAACGTCAAGTATTCAATACAATATATTACAATATAATACAATTTATTTTTCGAATAATTCTGCAATATTTTTTTAAAAAATGTTTCTCATGTTTTTTACTTACAATACATGTTAAAATAAATAAACTAATGCTACTGTTATATAAAGCTAAACGAATCGTCATAATCCATAGTTAGATATTATTTAAAAATAATTACTTTAATAGCAAAAATTCAGTCAAAAATTAAAATAATAATATTTTTACTATTCTTAATAAACATTTATTAGTTAAATTAACATTAAATTTATGTCAAAATAACTATGAACTAATTATTTGTATGTCAGTAACTTTCAACTATTTTTAGCCGATTTTGGCTACTTATTAATGGGTACTTTTTAACAATAATTAATCGCTTTTAACTAAATTGCTATTGCAAATATTTATCAGTAACTTTACTAAAAATGGTATTTCTTTTAAGTAAACAAATGAATAAAGTAAAATAGTCTTAATCTGTTCCAAGCGAACAACTTGGGAATCAATGTATTTGAGGCGCTAGAAATCTGACGCTCCAAATGCTTTAAACATTAATAACTTTGTAAATATCCATATCATTTTAATAAAATTTTAGAGAAAACTTGTCCGTATCGTAATAAAAAACTTTCTCACTGGAAGTTTTTTGTACCTTGAAATTTCCTCGATAAACGGAGCGTTGAAAGTTGAAAAAATTTTTTTTTTGCAATTTCTTTCGAAAAAATTAATAAATTTTTTATTAATTAAGATTTTGAAGTTTTAAAAATATAGTTGGTTTCAGGAATTCTTAATCTGTAATTTCGTTTTTGTTTGATTACAAAATATGAAAAATCAAAAACGCCAGCACGAGTTAAAGGCGTAAAACAATTAAATTTTTGGGTTTTCAAAAATTTAGTTTTTGCTCAATATTTCATAAACTAAAAAAGATATAAATTTATTTCTCAAAGAAAAAAGATGCGCATTTCCATTCTCCACAAACTTCAGTAATTCAAATTGCAATTTGTAATATTTTCAAAAATTGACCTAGTGGACAAAACTTAAACGCCAGAATCCACGCGTATCCCCTTTTAGAAGCCGTCCCCTCAATTGAATTGTTGCGAAAAATTTTATTATAATTTTTGAAAATAATTAAATTTCTCTGAAGAATTATATTAAAATTTGTTGTATTGTAAAAATTTTATCAAGATTTTTTAGGCTAATTTTTTTATTTCAACTATTAGAGGATTTAAAGTATAGTGCAAATTAAAAAAAAATAGAAAAAAGTAGCTTTTAGTGTCACAAATCTAAAAAAAAAGTATCCAAATAGTAGCAAATCGTAAAAAAAGTAGTAAATAGTATTTTTAAATTAAAAAAACTGATAGTAATTATAAAAAATTATAAAAAAATAACATAAACAAAATCGAAAAATTAAAAAACTTGTACCTGGACGTAACTTCTTCTACAAATTTCAAGATTGATGTGCATTACACAAAGAAAGGTAAAAATAAATGCGACTAACTCCCCTCAAGACAAAAAGACAAGGACGAACGACTCATGCAGATGTTACTCCTGTACCGAGCAAGAGTTGATCCTCTACAGGTCCCCAGCAATAGTTGATCGTCATCCACTGAGTGTTACAATTATTACCATGTGTTTCTGAAAATAAAGAAAGTATTTTGAAAATGAAATAAATAATAATAAAACTAAATAAAAAATTATCAGAGGGGGTAAATTTTAGTCTATTAGTTGATGACTATAGCTTTTATTTTAAACCTTTTTAGCAGTAACAACAAAAAAGAAAAAGGTGCAAAAACAGGGCTCGAACGAGTGAAAGTATTTAAAAATGCGAACTTTACGGACCAAAAATGAAAAATTACGGACCATTTACGGACCAATTACTGACAAAAATATAACCAGTCCGAGTCAAATAAAAGAACTTTTACTTAAAACTATAAATTCATTTTTAAATCAATTTTTATTAGAAAATTCTACTGGAACTCAATTATTTAAATTCAAAAATAAATAATTAATTGAATAATTCAATGTTTCTTAAAATTGAATTCTCATGAAAGAATTTTATCAACAAATTTTTAAATAATTTAATTCTTTTGATAAATTTTAATAAAATTTTTAAAAATAATAAAATTTTTCGAGGAATTTGATTGAAATTGTTTTAAAAATAATTTAAATTCTGCAATAAGTTTTATTATTTATAAAAATAATTGAATTCTTAAAAAGAATTTCATTATTTTTGAACTAATTAAATTTCTGCAAACGATTTTATTACTCTTGAAAGCAATTGAATTTCTGCAATAATTTGTAACTTCTCCAAAATAAAAATATTTTTTAGTGTTTTCAACTAAAATTTTTCTATGAATCCATTGTTTTTAATAATTTTATGAAAAACTGCTTTAAGAATTTTCAAATTCATTTGTTTTTAACTGAAATTCTTTTTTAAATCAATTTTTATTAGATAATTCTACTAGAATTCAATTATTTAAAAACAAAAATAAATAGTTTATTGAATAATTCAATGTTTCTTAAAATACAATTCTCATAAAGAATTTTATCAACAAAATTTTTAAATAATTAAATTCTTATTACGATTTTTAAAAAAAATTTAAAGAATAATTACATTTTTCGAGGAATTTGATTAAAAATAATTGAAATTCTGCGGTGACTTTTATTATTTATAAAAAAAATTGAATTCCTAGAAAGAATTTTATTATATACGAAAATAATTGAATCCCTGTAAAAATTTTATTATTTATGAAAATAATTGAATTATTGCGAAGAAATTTTTAAAAAAATTTGTAAATAATTGAATTCCTTGTGAAATTTTTATTATTTTATGAAAATAATTATGTAAATGTTTCCGTAGAATTTTATTAAACATTTTTTTAAATAATTGAATTATTTCGGAAAATGTTATTAAAATAGTAGATATTGAAAATCATTGAATTGTGGAAAATTTTTGAAAATAATTGAAATTTTGACAAGAATTTTATTAAAATTGTTGGAAATAATTGAAATTTTTTGGCAAAATTTTATTACTTTTAAAAATAAATGAATTTCTGCAATGATTTGTAATTTCTCTAAAATTCTCCAAATTATATCGTACAATTTACGAACTTTTCGTCTTTTCTTAATAAAATTACGGACTTTACGGACCTTTTTTCAAAAAACTGACTTTTACGGATTTGAAGCAAATTTACGGACCTTTACGAGATTTACGGACCTAGTTCGAACCTTGTAAAAAAGACGGAGCAGTCCTCACTCTTTTTGCACACCTTTCCAACCAATTAATTTCAATAAACAATAGAAGCGACAAGAATACGTTATCTAGCTTAGTGAAAAATGAAATTTCATTATTATTTCTCCCTAAGCTGTGTATTACTTTTTTCTTTCTTTTCACTTACACGTATACGTGTAATATATCCGTGATTATTTCACACGTTTTGTTATATATGCTTTCCTTTGAGAAGACAGTTGAATTTACTTTTGAGAGTAAGTTGAAATTTTATCAGTGCTTCTTAATCTGTTTATAGCTCGTGGAACATACTGTAACTTAATGTTCTATACGATAACTCTGTTTTTTTTATTCCAAGAGAAGTTGCTATCATTTTTGTCGCGTGGGAGCAAGACTTTCTTAACAAAATAATACATAACTATTTTATTTTACAAATCAAATGTTATTTAATTTCTCTAATTATTATTTACCATGTTTCATTATTCTACTCTTTCACTGTGATTTTGCGGTAATTTTACTTATGCTCTTAAAAGGGCGTGAAATTTACTTTTTTGTTCGACTTTTATTTGATATGTGCATTTTAAAGTCCATGGAATAGAATTTAATTTAAATTAAAAAATTTAATTTAAATTTAATTAATTATATTAAATTTTATTTAAATAAATTTATTTAATGATTTTTTCCTTTAGATGTAGTTTACAAAAAAGTAAAGTAATAACATTTACAAGCTTCACACTGGGTAATTAATTTAAAAAAATTAGCAAAATGTTAAATTCTAAATATTTCTAAAATTCAATTATCCAAATTTTCAGTAAAAATTCTTTAAAAATACGATTATTAATTATTACATAATAATTTTTAAAAAGTGAAAAAATTAAATTCTTCAAAATATAAGATTTATTTCAATGAAATTAGACAAAATTCATAATTGCTTCAATTTTCTACAACTATTTTCAAAAAATTTTACTTACAATTTTCCTAAAACCAAATTTTCTCAGTTTATAAATTAAATTATTAGAGACTTCAATAGTTTTTGTTAAATAAATATTTAAATTCTTATTGAGATTTATTTTCCCACAGGAATTAAAATTTTAAATACATAATTTTAATGAAATACCTTTTGAAATTTAATTATTTCTAAAAATTACAACTGCGATTTTTTCAAAGTTCAATTTGTTTTTAGAATTTTTCATATGAAATTATTCAAAACTCCAATAATTTTTTAAGATGAATATTTAAATATTATTATACTTTCACAGTAATTAAAATTTTCAAAGATTTGTCTGACAAAGATTTGAATTTAAAAACCTTTTGAAATTTAATTATTTTTAAAATTATAACTGCGATTTTTCCAAACTTCAATAATATTTTTAGAATTTTCAAAATAAAATGATTCAAAACTCCAATAATTTTTTTAGAAAAATAATAATTTTTTCAATAAATATTTAAATATTATGCTTTTACAGCAATTAAAATTTTCAAAGATTTGGCTGCCTAAAATCTGAATATAAAAACCTTTTGAAATTTAATTATTTTCTAAAATTTTTAAATTCTCTTTAAATCAATTCCTGTCATAAAGTTCTACAAGAATAAAATTATTTAAATACAAAAGTAAATAAAATTGACAAAGTAACTAATTATTTTTCAAAATTGCAACTGTTCCTCTATTCGTTGTATTTTTAAAATGTTTAAAGTGAAAAATAAAATAAATATTAATTTTTTTATTTAAACTATTAGCGTGTTTAAAATAGTGGAAATTCTCAAAAAAAAGTAGCTTTTAGTGTCACAAATCTAAAAAAAAATATCCAAACAGTAGCAGATCGTAAAAAAATTAGTAAATACTTTAGTAGATGAGTGCAAAGCCTAAATTTAATACCTATTTATATAGAACTTCTTGAATAGAAAAATAATGTATGGAAAAAATATATGAATAAATTTTCGAACCCATGACCCCATTGAAGAAATTTATAGAAATACTTTAGTTATATTCTCACAAGAAGAGAGAAAAATTCAATTGATTACATTCGCATTTCCATATTATGCACTTAATGAAGTATATTTATAATCTTATTATACTTATTTTTCTCGTTCTAGAAATACAAATATATATTTATTTGTTCAATTTTATCATTTTATTAAATAAAAACAATGACTTACCCAAGCTTCTCCATGGGTGCGAGAAAGCGGAATTTTATAATTGCACTTTTGCAGCTCGATCAATTCGCATTATTATTTAATTGCTCCTTAGATCACATTGATCATATCATATAAAACATAACTGGACCAAGAGTCTGCAATCTGTAACAAAAATATCATAAACATAATCATGGGAAAATTGTTTTTCTAATACAAACTATAATAGACAGTAAATAATATTCTAAAAATCTTTCAGCCATTAATATTATATTACATCCACATTTATTTATTCAAATATATTTCAAGATTCGCACCATAAAATTACAATGATATATATTTAATTTTAAAAAATCCAATTCAATTCGATTTTGAATTATTAATTATATTTTAATTATTTTCAATTATTTAAATATATACAATATAAAGTTGGGGTTGCCATTTATATTTTGCCACAAGATGCTTGTACAGGTGAATGATTTATTAGCCCTATAAAGTTTATATTTAAAAAAATGAGAATAAAAGAGAGTTGCAAGTTAAGAACAAGGCTTATTATTATGCTAAAAGTGGATTTTTTTCAACTTTTATGGCAATTTGTACTACTTTTAAAAATGAATTGACCTTTTTCTTTATTTTATTGTTTGCTACTTTCTATTTTCTTTATTTAACAACAGTGCCTTCTTTCTCTTATATAAAATGTTATGTAGATGATATACTTTCTGCCTAAAAAATTTTCCGCATTTCCTTATCGGTTTGTAGTATAAAAAAATGAACGTTTTAAAATTTGCTATAAATAATATTATTCCACGAGCTCTTAATAATACGCGACTCTTATTTTTAAAGCATACAAAAGCTATCTTAACCAATTTAAAACCTGCGATGAATAAAAATATCAAGTTGACAGAAAGTGAAATTTTGTGAGAAAAAAAATGGTTCCTTGTAAAAATATTATTAATGATGATAAACACGATATAATTACGAAACAATTTATAGTTTTAGAAAAAAATTTTTACAAAAGATCCTTCTCTCTATTATGTTTATAAAAGTTTTTCCCTAACTTCTTCCTGTGTTTATTCAATTACCATAATTGAATTTTAATATTTCAGAGATTTCAGAATATTTTTTTGAAATTTTTCGTTGAGATTTGAAATCTTTAAACACTTCATTCAGAGAAACAGAAAAGTTAGAGAAGAGAGAGAGGAAGAGAAAAAAAAGAGAAATTATTCTAAATGATATTAAAGTGACGTCACAAGAGTACAATAAAAGAAGTTTGAAAATACAATAGAAAGATTGTCAATCACTTCTTATTCTCACGAAAATGACAACAATATTTTCTCACATTTTCATAGAAATTTAAAAAATTTTCTTAAAGATTTATTATCGTAAATAACAGAAATTGTGTAAATAAAGAATATTAATTTGATTTACATTTTTGATAAAATCGAAATAAACAAATAATTAAAAATACATATATTTTTGATGATAATTGAGCTATGAATCAAATTCGCACGAGTCTAATTAGTAAAAAAAAAAGAATTTTTAATGACGTCAGGCTTCGTACTCGATAATTAATTTTAAAAAAGTAGCAAAAAGTAGTTTTAAAACTGGAAAAAGTAGTAAAAAAGCAGCTATCAAAAAATTAAACTTGACAACTCAATTTTTTCATAACTTCTAAATTAAATTACATTCAAAAATAGAATAATTTTTTTAAAATAAATATTTAAATATCTATTTATTTCTCCACAGGAATTAAAATATTTTAAATGATTTTAATGCGTAAAGCCTTTTTGAAATTAAACTATTTCTAAAAATTACATTTGTAATTCTTCTAAAATTAAATCATTTTTGTTGTTGAAATTTTTTAAATAAAATTATTCAAAACTTTAATAATTTTATTTTAAAATAAAAATTTAAATATTATGTATTTCAGTTTTACAAGAATTAAAATTTTCAAAGATTTGAATTCAAAAATTTTTTTGTAATTTAATTATTTTTAAAAATTCACACTACAACGCATCTAATATTCAATTATTACTTAAAATTTTAACTGATGAAATTCAATTTCAAATCAATTCTTATTAAAAAGTTCTACCTATGAGAATTCAAATTACATATTTAAATATAAAAATAAATAATTGTCTTCTTTTACAGAACTTTATCAAATTCTAATAAACAAAATACATCAAATTTTTTTTAAATAATTGAATTCTCACGAAGAATTGTATCATATTTTTTGAAAATAATTCAATCTTTCCAAATTCTTGCGAAGAATTTTATTATTTTTGAAAATATTTGAATTTTTACAACAAATTTTTTTAAATTTGTAAAAAATAATTGAATTCCTGAGAACAATTTTATTATTTGTAAAAATAATTAAATTCTTGCTGAAGCGATACAATCTCATGAGAGATTTACTCCTGGCAGATGTGACCAGTTCAACTTCTGAGCAATTAATAAATTTTGTCTGATTTCCGTGTTCTCTTAAAATTAGGCAGAAGTGGGAGTTTGTGGGTTGAATCGCGGTGTCGATGAAAAGTGCGAATAATAATGTATTAATTGATTTTCGCAATTGGTCGACTACGGATTCAGCTGCGGCTACACTCTCACGTGCCGGCCGAGGACACGGAAAGGTAGTTTTTCTATTTAGTGAAAATATTGGTTTTAATTCATTTTTTTAAATATAATTTATTCTTTTATTTATTGAATTCCTTTTTTTTGTGTTTCATTTTTATAAAGTGTGGCCGTTTATTTTAATCGGATTATGACCATAAAACAAAAATGCTCGTTTGCACAATTTGGATCAATGAGGTTGCTCGGAGGTTGAACCACTCACCTTGCCAGGATCTTCATCGAAAGAATCATAGCGTGAGTTTCCGAGGACAATCTGTAAGTTGTTCCTAAATTATTAGAAAGATATTGTTTATGTTGAAGAATTTTATGTTTATTTTATTATGAAAATTGGTCTTATATTGTCTGATTAATTTTTAAGAGAGTGAATTTAGTCGTGAGACGAATTGTGAATAATTTATTATTTTAAATTGTTTTCGTTTTCTGTTTTCTTAAATGTATTATTGATAATTTTTAATATTGACTTTTATTTTGCAAATTCCGTTATATAATTTACTGTTTGAATGTGTGTATGTTTATAAAATTTATATCGATTATTTGTATAAATTAATTCCTGACGTCAGGTTCGTTTTTATTTAATAAGATTTGACAGAAATATAATCTTTATTTCTTTATATAATTTGTTTGTGTGTTTATTTATATTAATATTTTATATTTTTGAATTTATTTAATTGTTTTCTGAATTTAATTAAAATATTTTGTTGTGTAATTTTTATTATTCTTGTAAATTTATTGTCGCGGTTTTTATTTATTTTCTGAAATAAGAAAATCGTTACATTGCAAAGAATTTCATAAAAATCTTTTTTAAAAAAATTTATAAAAATTTTATTATTTACGAAAATAATTGAATTTTTAAAACGAATTTTAATAAAATTTATTTGAAAAATTTTATGAAAATTATGTTATTATTTATGAAAATAATTGAATGGTTGCGAATAAATTTCTAAACAAAATTTTAAATAATGAAATCCCTGTGAAATTTTTATTATTTTTAGAAAATAATTAAAAGTTTGCCTAGAATTTTATTAATTTTTCTTAAATAATTGAATGCTTTTGGAAATTTTTATTAAAGTAGTAGATATTAAAAATGATTGAATTGAGGAAAATTTTTGTAAATAATTGAAATTTTGCCAAGAATTTTATTAAAATTTTTTGAAAATAATTGAATTTCAGAGAAGAATTTAATTATTTTTCAAGATAATTGAAATATTGACGAGAATGGTAATATGACTTTATCACTCGTTCGTATTAGTTATTTTAATAATTAAAATTTAACGATCCTTACGAGTCAATAATTGACGAGAATTGTTAAAAATTTTTTATCATAATTGAATTTCTGCGAAGAATTAATACTAATAAGTTTTAAAAATAATTGAATTTCTGCAATCATTTGTAATTTCCCTAAAATTCTCCAAATTATATTGTACAGTTTATTATTTATGAAAATAATTGAATTCGTAAAAAGAATTTTATTATTTATGAAAATAATTGAATTCCCAAAAAGAATTTTATGACTTATAAAAATAATTGAAATTTTGCCAAGAATTTTATTAAAATTTTAGAAAATAATTGAAATTTTGTCAAGAATTTTATTAAAATTTTAGAAAATAATTGAATTTCAGAGAAGAATTTTATTGCTTGTAAAAATAATTGAAATTTTCCCAAGAATTTTATTAAAATTTTAGAAAATAATTGAAATTTTGCCAAGAATTTTATTAAAATTTTTTGAAAATAATTGAATTTCAGAGAAGAATTTTATTGCTTGTATAAAAATAATTGAAATTTTGCCAAGAATTTTATTAAAATTTTAGAAAATAATTGAATTTCCAAAAAAGAATTTTATTAATTACGAAAATAATTGAATCCCCGTAAAAATTTTATAATTTATGAAAATAATTGAATGATTGCAAAGAAATTGATAAAAAATTTGTAAATAATGAAATTCCTGTGAAATTTTTATTATTTTTTGAAAATAATTAAAAGTTTGTGTAGAGTTTTATGAGATTTTTTTTTAAACAATTGAATTCTTTTGGAAAATTTAATGAAAATAGTAGATATTGAAAATCATTGAATTGAGGAAAATTTTTGAAAATAATTGAATTTCGGAGAAGAATTGAATTATTTCTAAAGATAATTGAGATTTTGATGAGAATTTTTAAAAAAATTTGAACATAATTAAATTTCTACGCAAAATTTTATTACTTTTGAAAATTATTGAATTTCTGCAATTATTTTTAATTTCTCTAAAATTATCTAAATTATATCGTACAATTTACGAACTTTTCATCCTTTTTGAATCAAATTACGGACTTTACGTACGTTTTTTCAAAAAAACGGACTTTTACGGACTTTAAGCAAAGTTACGGACTTTTATATTTACGGACCTAGTTCGAGTCCTGCAATTGATGAAACAAATTTATACGATTTTTGAACTAAAGTCTAATTAATAAACAAAGGATTTTTACTGACGTAAAAAGAAATCTATAGAAATTTAAAGACTGAGTTCGAGTGAACCCTTTTCTACACTTCTTCCCTGCTCAACAATAAATCAAAAGAAATTAAAATTGTTAGCTTCCGACTTTTTAAGGGAGAGGAGAATTACGAATTTACAATATGCGTGGTTGCGTTCATCTCAACTGATGCAGATCAGTATGTTGTATTATTATAACAGCAGGTCGTTCAACGAAGTCAAGGAACATCGCTTCACATATATATACACACAGTACAGTCTGCGAGAAAAACGCCTACGTCTTTCCATTGAATCAAAAGAGCAACAAAGAGGTATATAAATAATAAAACGAGATAGACTTAAAAAGAGAGAGGCAAGGGGTTGATAGAGTGAGAGGAAAATAAAACTTCTGGTCAAACACGACACTCCGCGGACGGCCGGTGAAGGGAACAGTTGTCTGTGTTCCATTCTCTCTCGATTTTAAATCGAAACGTTAAATTTGAAAAAAAAATGTTTTCTCCATTTTTATCCTCAGTGAAACTTATTAATATGAAATAAAAAAATCTCTACTTGGAAAATTATTCCAAAACTACCAAAAATTATTCTATAAAAACTGATGTTTAAAAAAATAGAAACTCACACAAATAGAAAAATTTAATAAAACTAATATGATTCCTAATTATCGAAATTAGACGTAAAAGTGCTGTGAAAAGTGCGTGTTCGTGAAGAGGACAAAAGATTTTAAATATGCTTCCACTAAATCTGTCTCTGATTCATCCGAATGAATTTTAATCCGACTTATAATAAAAGTTCGGTGATCTCAATGCTTTGAAAAGTCGCGGAGACTTTAATGCTTCGATTCAAAAGAAAATTATTTCCATTTTCGAGTGAAATTCATAAAATACTCTAAAGGTAAATACAAGAATTTAGTGATTCATAAAAAAAATAGAAAATAGGTGAGAAAACTTTCACAATATAGAAAAATCATAGAACCAAGAAGAAATTAAACCAAATGAAGAAAAAGTCAAAAGACCTTTACAATTAATAATCGAAGTAAAAAAGAAAGTGAATGAAAGTAAAATAGACATAGAAAAATCAAGAAAATTCAAGAAGATCAAATAAAAAGCAAAGAAAAGACATTCAAAGGAAAATTTAAAAAAATAAAGAAAATAAAGAAAGTAAATAAACTCAATAAAAACTCAAATGAAATGAATACAGAAAAGGACAAAAAATAGAAAATAAAATTACACCAAAAAGAACAATTTTTAGAAAAAAAAAACCAGGAAGAGAAGTAAAAGTGCAAAACTCAGTGAAAAATAAAGAAAAAAAATAAGAATAAACGAAAAAAGTGGCAATTTTCGGTCAAGAGTAAATTGTTGTTCGCGAATTACTAGTTTAAAGGCCAAAACATTTCGACACTGAGTTTTCACAATTGGTCAACAATCCAGAAAGTGGCATTTTGTGAAAGTTTTTATTTTGTACCTGTTAATTTGAACTTCTTGCGGTCTCGATGAGCGACTGATTTTTCCTCCGTTTTTTGTGTTATTGTTGTTGTTGTTGTTATTATAGTGATAAAAAAAATTGCGTGCGTGAGCAATATTGAGCCGAAGGGAAACACAATTTTTTTTTTGTCAATGTGACAAAGCCTCAGGCATTTTCGAGGTCGTGGAGAATGATCTTGGTGTACGAGATCCTGCTGCCCCTCGTGGGATTCCTGACCGTTGTCGTCCATGGTATGTGTATTTGAAATTAACATATTGCAAGTCCTGACCTTCTGGCTCCGTTAAGAAAAAAAAAGAAACGGAAACACACACATGAGTTATACTCTCATGAAATGTATCAAACGATCCGTGACATTTCGATTATGCGCCTGCAAAAGAAAAATCCAATATAAGAAAAACCCAATCATTTTATAGGAATTTCGAGTGCAAAAAAAATCTTATAACGTACTGAAAAAAGAATGGTTTCATTTGCGTAATATATTACAGTGTTTTATCGATCAATCACGGGAGAACTTTTTTTTTCCTCTAATTGGACATTTACGCTTTTTTTTGCCATTTGTCAATGATATCAAGAGAAAAAAGTAATGAACGTTTATTAGAAATATAAATTTCTTCTCCAGGGTTGCCACAAAAAATTAATTTTGTTTTTCTCTGACTTTTCCCTGATTTCCAGACTTTTTCCTGACTGGTTTTGACTTTTTCCCTGACCCTAAAGAATATTTTGATTCACTCTGAAAATTATTAGAAACACAAAAAAATTCTATTACATTTACTTACGAATTTCTTTAATAGTAAAATTATTCCCAAACATCAATAACTTCATTTTTAAATAAGAATTTAATTATTATTTTCCCATAGGAATTAAAATTCTTCAAAACATTCAAATTCAAACATTTTTAAAATTCAACAACTTATAAGAATATTATTATAAAACATGAAGATATGAATCAAATATTGTAAATATGATAATTTACAAAAATTATACATAATAAAATTCGTGGCAAGAATTCAATTATTTTCATAAATAATAAAATTCTTCGCAGGATATAAATTATTTTTAATACAATTTTAAATAAATTTCTCCAAAAATGAAAATATCTTTCAAAAATTTTTTGCAAGAATTAAATTTCATTTATTCACAAATGATGAAATTCTTCGCTGAAATTCAAAAATTTTCAAAATTTATTATTTTAATAAAAGTTCTTAAATAATTTAGTTTTTTAAATAAAATCTAATAAAATTCGTTGCAGAAATTCAATTATTTTTACAAGTAATAAAATTTTTCACACGAATTCAATTATTTAAAAAAATTAAATAAAATTCGTTATTTTTAATTTTAATTTTAATTTTTATTTTTAATACAATTTAAAATAAAATCCTAGAAAAATGATATTATTTTCTTAAATTTTTTGCTAGAATTTAATTACATTTTTGACGAATATAATGAAATCCTTCGTTGAAATTTAAATATTTTTAAAATTTACTATTTTAATAAAAGTTTGCAAAAGAATTCAATTATCTAAAAAAATGTAATAAAATTCGTTGCAGGAATTCAATTATTTTCATAAATAATAAGATTCTTTACATTATTTCAATTATTTAAAAAAAAAAATTCATAAAATTTGTTGCAAGAATTTAATTAATTTCATAAATTAATAAATTTCTTCACAGGATTTTAATTATTTTTAATACAATTTTAAGTAAATTCTTCGAAAAATGTAATTATTTTCAAAAATTTTATTAAAATTCTTTGAAAGAATTCAATTATCATTTTTTTTTAAATTCATGCTGTAATGCTTTTAATATATTCATTAATATATATTTTTAAATCAATCTTTATTGCAAAATTCTACAAGAATTTAATTATTTAAAATACAAAAATAAATAATTTACTGAATAAATGAATGTTTCTCTAATTTTATCAACATAATTGAATTTCTTCGAGAAATTTTAATAAAATTTTCAAGAATGATTAAATTTTTCGAGGAATTTGATTAAAATTGTATTAAAAATAATTTAAATTCTATTATGAGTTTTATTATTCATGAAAATAATTGAACTTTTGTAAAAAATGTTACTATTTATAAAAATAACTGAATTATTGCTAAGAAATTTATAAAAAATTTGTAAATAATTGGATTTTTTGTTATATTTTTATTACTTATGAAAATAACTTAATGTTTGCTTAGAATTTTATCAACAATTTTTTTTAAATAATTGAATTCTTTTGAAAAATTTTATTAAAATAGTAGATATTAAAAATTATTGTATTGAGGAAAATTTTTTGAAAAGAATTGAAATTTTGCAAAGAATTTTATTAAAATTTTTATAAATAATTAAAATTCGGAGAAGAATTTTATTATTTATTAATGATAATTGAATTTTGACGAGAAGTTTTTTTAATTTTTGAACATAATTGAATTTCTGTGAAGAATTTTATTACTTTTGAAAAATAATTGAATTTCTGCAATCATTTGTAACTTCTCAAAAATTTCATTTTTTCCAGTACTTTGATAAAAATCCCTGACTTTTCCCTGATTTCCCTGACCAATTTTACTTTCCCTGATTTTTCCCTGACCTATGGCAACCCTGTTCTTTAATCTATATTATATTTACCGATCAAAAATTATTATAATCGAAATAAATAAACTTGTCTGTTCTGACAGTTAGCCAACCTAAAGTAATTTAAGAAAAAGAAAAACTTTTTAAAAATTTAATCCAATTAACTGCTAATGTAATTATTATTCGAACTTTTTTCACTGAATAATAAAATAATAAGATATTATTTACTCGGGTAACTAAATATCATTTATTGATACTGTCATATTAGATATTATTCTTATTCTTATTATTCAAATCCGGTATGAGAATTGAGATGAAAAATAAAAGGAATTTCCCTTCTCCTGAAAGTTGATTGGTGACAAATACTGTAATTAAGTAGAAAAAATAATAAGAACAGTATATTATATATTTTGTTATCGCCCACTCTCGCGATCTACGTCCTCGTAGAATTTCAGAGTGCCTCGAGGTCACCCGGTATATCCTGAGAGAGACATTTATAAGACTCTCACCTTCTCGAATTTACCTGCTTTTGTTATTATTCGCGTTTTATTTTATTCGCTCTACTTTTTTTCCAACATTTGTGACGTAAATTTGTTTTTTTACAGTAGAAAGTAAAATTAAAACAAGAAAAGGCAATTTGATTTTTCTCTTTATAAACAAATAATAAAGATTTTCAAACTAAAATAAGTGAAAAATAATTACAAAAATAATATATTTGCTCTACTTTTTTTAAAATTTGTGACGTAAATTTTATTTTTTGCCGTAGAAAGTGAAATTAAAATAAAAATAAGTAAATTTTTTATTTTTTCTTTATAAACAAGTAGTAAAAATTTTCGAACTAAAATAAGTAACAAAAAATTAATTATAACATTTAATAATTACAAAAATATTATATTTGCTCTACTTTTTTCAACATTTGTGACGTAAATTTGTTTTTTTTATGGTAGAGAAAGTGAAATTAAAATAAGACGTTAATTTTTGATTTTTTTCTTTATAAACAAATAATAAAGATTTTCAAACTAAAATAAATAAAAAATAATAATTATAAAAATTACATATTTTCTCTATTTTTCCCCAACATTTGTGACGTAAATTTTTTCGGTAGAAAGTAAAATTAAAATAAAAAGAAGTAAATTTTTGGTGTTTTTCTTTATAAACATCTTCAAACTTATATTAAATAAGTAAAAAAAATAATAACATTAAATAATTATAAAAAGGACCTATTTGCTCTAATACTTTTTTCAATATTTGTGACGGAAATTTGTTTTTTTACAGTAGAAAGTAAAATTAAAATAAAAGACGTTAATTTTTGATTCTTTTTCTTTATAAATAAACTAGCAAATGTTACGCGCGGAACGAGATATTCAATTTATTATTATGCAAATTATAAAATTTTCAATTTTCATTTATAAATTTTTGAATAATTTCATAATCAAAATTTAAAAAAATTCACTTATTAAGTACAAAATTAATTAGTACTGTTTATATTTTAAGAAATTTAAATATAATTCTTCGCAAGATTTCAATTATTTTTATAAATAATAACATTCTTTGGAAAAATTTATTTATTTTTATAAATAGTAAAATTTTATGCCAAAATTAAATTTTTTTAAAAAAATTTAATAAAGTTTCAATAAAGAATTCAATTATTTTAAAACATTTTAAAAATTCCTTCGAAATAATTCAATTATGTTTTTAAATAGTAAAATCTTTGCAAAAATTCAATTATTTTCTAAAATTTTAATAAATCCTTCGAAACAAATTCAATTTTTTTTATAAATTTTTAATAAAATCCTTGTCAAGAATTCAATTATTTCCATAAATAATAAAATTCTTTGAAAAAATTAAATTATTCGCTCAAATTTTTTGATAAAATTTTTTGCAAAAATTCAATTAATTTCATAAATAATAAAATTGAGGCCTTGGATCCAATAACTCGCCCGACGCTCGGAGACACGCGTTAATGCCAGTCGGGTAGCAGTGAGTGGCCCAGAGGCGCTCACTGCTCACTGACTGGCAGTTGCGCGTTCCTCCGAGCGTCGGGCGAGTTATTGGATCCAAGGCCTCAATTCCTCGAAGAAATCCAATTATTCTTAAATGTTTTGATAAAATGCTTTGCAAGAATTAAAGATTTTCAATATATTAATTTTAAAATTGAAAATATTTAAAAAGAAAAATTATTTAAAAAGTTCGGAAACAAAAAAGCAAACTGCGAACAGATTACCGAAATACAACGATTATTAATATAGAAGAAGATAGAAGATTGGCAATAATTAAGATTTTCAAACTAAAATAAGTAAAAAAATTATCATAACATTTAATAATCATAAAAATAATATAATATAAATAAATTGATATTTTCTTTTATTTTTATTATTTATTTACAAAGTCATTCTATTTATTTACAACCAAACGCCACGAATGTTTGGAAAAAAATTAGAGAGAATATAGAATTCTAATAATTATTAAATATTATAATTACTTTTGACTATAAAAACGTATTTTAAAAGAACGAACAAAAATTTAATTCTCATAGTGAGAAAAGTAAAAAAAAATCAATTATATAAAAAATGATAAATTAACAACTTTTAAAAGGTCTCTCAGCTTTAGAAACTGAGTGAAACCATAAGTCAAACCCCCTTTTCTACTTTCGATTGCTGACCGTTCTTAAAACCGGAAACAGGGGAGGATTGTCCACCTGTTTTCTTTCTTTTTTTTTTTTTTTTGAAATTGAATACAGGTGTAAATATATATTCAAAGAGTATGACCTAAATTTCAATGTACCGAACACTGTCGTTAAAGTGTAAATTTCAACTTTTTCTTTTGAGATTAAAACTAAGAGAAATAGTATCCACATATGACAAACCTGATCTAGAAAAAATCCAGGTAAAAGTGAGTTGGTGTCCCTATAGGCGCATTTTCTCCATAGGCGTCCTTGGTATTTTGCAATATAATGTGAAAATGAAATTTTTTTTCCGCAAAATGAAACGCATCGGTTACTTTCCTATCTCATGTCGTGTTTGAGACTCGACCTAGAAAATTGCAAATTATATTTCAGTCACTTAAAGAAATTACAATGGTCTTACATGTATTCAAAGATCAATATTATTATAATAATTTAAGACAATTATAGAAATTTATTTCAAAATCAAAACTAACTAAAGAAAATGTAAATAAGAAATAAAAAAATAATATAATGTAAATATAAATAAAAACTAAATAACCAAATAATCAACTAAATCAAATTAAACAAAATTATCAAACTTCAAAAAATCTAAATTCAAATTTTCTACATTTTCTAGGTTTGGAAAAAATTCTCTTTCCTTTACTTCTCATTTAAAATCTAACATTATGAAAGTCAACGCCAATTTTTTTTCTAAGTAAACAATTATTCTGGTATTTATTAATAGTAATAAAAATACTACGTCCAGAAAAAAAATACGTGCAATTTTTTCTGCTCTTTATAAAAATTATACACTTTTAGAAAACTTGTTTCGAGTTCAAGGAAATGCGAAACAAAATCTTTCGTACATATAATTATCCGAAACAAAATAACCGACTTTAAAAATAGAAATTTTTTTTCTAGTTTCCAAGAAATTTAAACACAGCTCCAAAAATCGTAAATTTATAAATAATAGTACATTTTTAACTATTTTTATTTTTTCAATAAAATAATATGTAGTTTGGGAGAAATTAAAAAAAAACTGTATATACTTCAAGTATAGACTATTAAAATAAGAACATAAGTATCAGTTGGAAAAATTTTTTTTTAGAAAATAAATTCCAACTTCTCGAGGGAAAAGTATAAGGAAAGAGATATAATATTAAAATATTCTACTTGTGAATTGTTGACCAATTCGTCGCGTTATTTCTGCATCGTTTACGACTAATTCTTATGCAGTTTAATAATCGTATTGCAAAGCAGTCCTGTCACGTTTTATTACGCTTTCTGTTTAGTCGTTCCTATATTTTCGATTGACATTTACTCAATTATCTCGACTCTTCTATATTAAGCTGCAATTTTCCTTTCTGAATTCTAATTCAAATTAATTTCAATAGTGAAATTAGAAATTACGAATAAAATTAATGTTTTTGTCAATATTGCCTCACCAGGTAAAATATTTCATCAAGTTGCTGATTTTAAATAAATATTCTGATACTTTGTTTTATTATTTAATGAAAAAGTAATAGTATTAAGAATTCACTTTAATTATAATTCTGTAAATTGAATTTATAATTAAAGTTTCAAAAAAAAATTACAAAATATAGTTGGCCACAAAAATTTAATTCCTTTTTTTCAGATTTTTCATGCTTTCCAAATAGAATTTTATCTTTTTCCCTGATCCCTATAAAGAAATGAAGAGGCGAACTTCTTTTTATTATTTTCAAAAATGCCCACAATTTTCATCTTTTTCCCAAAAAAGGGCCAAAATTGTGAAATAAGGCTATTTTTGACTGTCAAAAAAGCTGTTTTTGTTAAACTTCAAAGCCAAAGCTAAATTTCAAAATAATATATTAAAGAATTGTGTATTTAGTGATGCAGAATACGAAAAAAATTATTTCAATTTTTGGAAACGGCTACACTTTTGATCAATACAATTTTCATCTTTTTTCAAAAAACTGTCCAAAGCTGTGAAATACACTTTTTTGTGAATTGAAATTTTGTGAAATTGACTTGAAAATAATCAAACTTGTATAAGACTTTCATCAGAGATTTTAAAAATAAATAAATTCTTTCAAGAATTTTAATTTCATAATTGATATAAAATTTGTAATTTTAAGAATTCAATTTTTTATATTTTAAAATTCAATTAAAATTCAATTTTTTATATCTATTTTTAATAAAATTCCTTGATTTTGATGTTCTAACTTTTAAATCTTGAATAAAATTGCTTAACCAATTCAATTATTTTCAATATTCAATTTCACAAAATTTGAAGTTAATTCATAATTTATTAATAAAATATTTTTTTAAAAATTAACTTTCTGTAAAAAAAATAGAATTAAAATTTATCAAAAACCTAATTGAGGGTTCACGTGCAATAAGGGGACGCGCAGGCTATTCGTTGTCCTCTCGCGCAGCCGCAGAATCGCTATACGCGGGGACTTTCACTTCCATGCGTATCCCCTTATTGCACGTGAACCCTCAATTTATTAAAAGCTTTGGATAAAACCGGGTACGAACCACTGAGAGTATTTAAATATATACGGATTTACTTAAAACTATAAATTAAATTTTTTTCCTAACTATAATTATTTTTATCATTTAAATTCAATTATTATTTTCAAAAATTTTTAACTAAAATTCTTTTTTAAATAAATTATTTTTAATAATTCGTTGTAAGAATTCAATTACTTTCATAAATAATAAAATTTTTTACAGGATTTGAATTATTTTTAATACAATTTTAAATGAATTCCTCAAAAAATGTAATATTATTTTCAAAACATTTTTTGCAAGAGTTCAATTACATTTCACAAATAATGAAATTCTTCGCTGAAATTAAAATATTTTCAAAATCTACTATTTTAATAAAATTCTTCACAGGATTTCACTTATTTAACAAAAATTTAATATAATTCGTTGCAAGAATTCAATTATTTTCATAAATAATAAAATATTCTTCACAGGATTTCACTTATTTAAAAAAAATGTAATAAAAATTCGTTGCAAGAATTCAATTATTTTCATAAATAATAATTATATCTACTCATCGCAGAATTTCAATTATTTTTAATACGATTTTAAGTAAATTCCTTGAATAATGTAATTATTTCAAAAATTTTATTAAAATTCTCAGAAAGAATTTTATTAACAAATTTTTAAATAATTGAATTCTTTTGACGAATTTTAATAAAATTTTTAGGAATAATTACATTTTTCGAGGAATTTCATAAAGAATTTTATTAAAAATATTTGAAATTTTGCGATGAGTTTTATTATTTATGAAAATAATTAAATTATTGTGAAGAAATTTATAAAAAATTTGTAAATAATTGAATTCCTGTGAAATTTTGATTATTTATGAAAATAAATTAAATTTTTGCATAGAATTTTATTAAAAATTTTTCACGATCCCCAAGTTTTGAACGTTCAAATGAACGAAATATTTTTTATTAAAGATATTTTAATAATTACTAATCACAAACAAATTTAAAAACTGAAATATTTACGTTCAGAAACTCAGTAATTAATTTTTTGGATAGTAACGCAAAATAATTGCAATAAGAATTTAATTTGTATAAAAGGTATAAATAAATATCGTTCATTTGAACGTTCAGAACTTTAGGATCTTATTTTTTCGAAATAATTGAATTCTTTTATAAAATTTTATTAAGTTAATACATATTGAAATTTATTAAATTGAAGAAAATTTTTCCAAGAATGTTATTCAAATTTTTGAAAATAATTGAATTTCTAAAAATAATTTAAATTTTGACGAGAATTTAAAAAAAATTTGAAAATAATTGAATTTCTACAATCATTTGTAATTTCTCTAAAACTCTCCAAATTATGTCGTACAATTTAGGAACTTTTCGTCCTTTTTCAATCAAATTACGGAATTTACGGACGTTTTTTCAAAAAAACTGACTTTTACGGACTTGAACCAAATTTACGGGATTTACGGATCTAGTTCGAGCCCTGATAAAATTATTCAAATATTTAATAACACTTTAAAGTAAATTTTTAATTATCAATTTCTTTACAGTGAAATTTTCAAAAATTTTAGTTTAAAATCTTCTAAAATTTAGTTATTTCCGAAAATTAATTCTATTAATTATTTAATATTGTAATTACTGAAAATTGTCATTGGAACAAGTTTTTGAATCTAATAAAATAAAAAGCCAAACGTATTAAAAAGAGAATGTTAAAATAATTTTTGTAAATTAATAAAATATAAAAATAAAACAACCTTCTTTAAAAGTATCAGAATTTTCGTATAAAATAGACAATATTAATTATCCTGAAATATAAATAGAATGACCTAGATAAAATTTGGTTTATTGTCTCGAGTCAGTTTCTTTTAAATCCACGTGAGTTCTTAATAATAAAAAGAAACAAACAAAAAAAAAAGAAAAAAACACGTGGTACATGTTCTGCACGTATGGCCAGCAGCAATGGTACCGTATATATCTCCTCACGTCTATTTTACGTTTCAGAGAGCCTAAATGTTACGCCTATCCCACCGTGAGCGCGTTTATCAGTATTTCCTTATGAAGTCGAGAGTTAGCGTTCACTCTTATAAATGTGTCCGTTGATTTCTACAAACTACATTATCACACAAACACGAAGAAATATCTATAAATGGTATATATGTACCTGTAAAGCTCCTTTGCGCGACGTTCTAATTTCATGAAAGCAATATTCTTTGTGTAAAGGTGTTCACCATGTGCACACAGTCCAGTTTGACCGATTCCTTTTGATGTTGCTTTTATAAATTCAAAACCAGATAAACCGACAAAGCGTGCGAAGCTGCGATTTACAGGAGAGGCATTTCCCTTCGTTTACTACTTTAAATGTGTATTTTCGCATAGCGCGAAACTTCAACCTGCATATATGTACACACGTTGTTGAAAGGGAACTTGAAGAAAATAAGAAATCCAGATTTCTTATAGGAACTGCATATATATAAAATGTGTGTCTGGCACTCCTTTGACTCGCTGCGAATATTCGCAATCCGGTCCGGAATATGTAATCATATGGAGAAGTCCTGTAAATGATAAATGCGAACATTAGAAAATGCAAATGATTTCCATTTTTTTTAAAAAAGTGCAACATTTTTCATTTTTATACAGACAATTAATAATTTTTACAGTCTCAATCAATCTAATATTTTGAAAACTAATACAGCACAAAAAATAAAATATTTAGAATTTTTTTTACTTCTTTCATTATCGACTATATAAATCCAAATTTTTTCCATTTCTAAAATTACACTTTATCTGCTCCAAACTGGAAAATATTTTAGCTTTTTTTTTACTAACCAAAAAAAATTATTTAATATTTTTGTTTATTAAAAAAAGAAAAGTAAGAAAAAAGTCTGTTGACCAAAAGAAATTAATTAATAATTTCTTTCTCTGCAAAAGGAAGAAGTGAATTAAGAAAATTGTTAATTGTTGAGAAAAAAAAATTATCTAGTAAGAAAATAGTCTGTGGACCAAAATATATTAATTAATAATTTCTTTTTCTGCAAAAGGAATAATAAAATTAAGAAAATTAAGAAAATAGTTAAAACTGTTGACCAAAAGAAAGAAATTAACTTATTTTGTTGTAAAGGAAGCAGAAACTTAAAATTATTAACTGTTGGCCAAAAAAAATTAATTAATATTTTTTTTTTTTTGTATAAGAAGAAGAAAATTAAGAAAATAGTTGACTGTTGACCAAAAAAAATGATTAATTAATATTTTTTTGTAAAGAAAATAATTATTAGTAAGAAAATAGTTTATTGACCAAAAAAAATTAATTAATATTTTTTTTGTGTAAGAAGAAGAAAATTAACAAAATAGTTGACTGTTGACCAAAAGAAAGTAATTAATTAATTTTTTTGTAAAGGGAGAAGAAAATTATTAACTGTTGACCAAAAAAAAAATGATTAATTAATATTTTTTTGTAAAATAAGAAGAAAATTATCTGTTGACCAGAAAAAATTAATTAATAATTTCTTATTTTGTAAAGGAAAATTTTTAACTGTTGACCAAAGAAGATTATTAATTAATATTTTTGTTTTGTAAAAAAAGAAGAAAAGTAAGAAAATAGTTTGTGGACCAAAAACATCAATTAATATTTTTTCTTTGTAAAAAAAGATGAAAATTAAGAAAATAGTTGACTGTTGACCAAAAGAAAGTTATTAATTAATTTTTTTATAAAGGAAGCAGAAAATTAAGAAATTTATTAACTGTTGACCAAAAAAAAATTATTAATTAATATTTTTGTTTTTTAAAAAATGAAGAAAATTAAGAAATATTGTCTATTTACCAAAAGAAAATAATTAATTTCTTTTTTTGTGAAGGGAAATTGTTAACTATTGACAATAAAATTATTAATTCATAATTTTTTTCTTTTTTTCTAAGCTGACCAAATTTTCTTAAGCTGAAACTTAATAAAATAGTTGACTATTAAACGACTTCAACGTAAAGAGAGAAATAATAGAAAATCCGGTAAAATTATATAAATTGTCATAAATGAAAAAAAAACGTTTCATTACCGAATCCTGTCATAATAAACGAGACCAGTGCTTAGTAACATTATGAATGTTCTTTCTCAAGTTTAATCTCAAGGTTATTTTAAAATAGACACAGGAACTGATGGTGAAATAAATAATGTCTTAAATTCTAATTTCATTTTAATTCATTTGCATCAGAAAGAATCGATCAAATTTTAAATATATCTTTCTGACACGAACAAAAAAATTCCTTCTTAAATTTCGAACGGGAAGAAAATAATTAATTGAAGACGAGTCTTAATGCACTCCGAAATTCTTTTGTTATACATTTTTTCCCCCTCGGAACGTTAATTTTAAAACAATAGGAAAATTAATACCTTTTAAAATGTCGATTAAACTAAAAAAATGGTTTCATTTTATACATTTTATATGATCAGCATCATTTTCCACTTAGTAATTATTTGAAGGAAATTTCACGCTTTAATGACAAGTAATTATTGCTAATGGAAATTTTTCTAGACGCCAAAATTAGTATTCTAAATAAGTAGTTTCATTATTTTAATAATGATTCGTATATAGAGAGTATTCTATCATGATATATAAAGTATAGGGGGAAAAAAATCGATTATACATTTTCTCATGGAATTCCGTTAAAAGCAACTCGAACTAATTTGTTTCAAATGTATATACATATATGTGAGAGATGAGTTTCTTTCTTTTCACAATTTCATGAGAAAACTCTTTTTTTTTTATCTAAAGTGACATTTATACTTTCTACTTGATCATTTAACAATAATTAACAGATATATGGCAATAATTTTATATGAAGAAAAGAAAGTTAGTGGGTCAATAACCCATCGCGAAAGAGACGTTTATTAATTAATGAGAATATAATTAATTACAGTATATTAATTATTAAAAAATTAAAATAAATATTAAGTCTTTAAAGCTAATTATGCAAATTATTATTTATGTATTAAATAAAAATTCTTAAAACTTTTCGTGTTGAATTTCAATTTTACCCGTTTTATCCATTTTTTATTTCAATATTTTAAGGTTATGTTGATCTACTTTTTAATTTAATAAATTTAGTTTTTAACGTTTTTAATTTTCGCTATAGTAAAACTTTCGATATTACGAAAAAAATTAGTAAATATTTATATTTTTGGCTAAAGTAATAATTAACCGATTTAAGCGAAATTATTTCTCAATTGATGGACAAAAGCGACAAGTACAAATAAAATTCACGGGTTGGGTTCACTACGCAATGTGCGAACATAACCTAAAAATTGAAACCCTCTGCATATGAACAAAATTTCATGTTAAATCAACTAATAATTAAAAATTTCTGCTCAATACTTAGAATTAAGCAAAATACGAACATCAGTATTGATGTTAATTGAAGGATTCGATCGATAAATATCAAATATGCATAGGGACGCGTAGTGAAGGCGTCACAACTAGCTCATATTTCTGCTGAAATCTTATAAAAAAAACATGTTTTACTCACTTCTAATATGTAAATCATTTAGATAGGACATTGAAACACTCGATGCTTTACTAATTTGTAGAAAATTTAACTTAATTTACAAGATGTTTGTCGATTTTTGTCATTTTTGTCGATAAAACTGCTGGAGGCTGGACATCCATTCCAAGCAATCGTGATTCTTTGCAACTTTGCAATATGGCGGACGACAATGTGAAACGGCGGAACGCGGATTTGACCTGACAGGTCCGTCCAATCACGTATTGTGGCGGGAGTTTATTCCAAATTTAAAATTTTGATTAAATAAACTAAATTTTTTAAAAAGAAAATAAATAATATTATTTCTACTAAACATAAATGAAATATTTTTTACCATGAAAATAAATTTTTTTTAAATATTATTTACTCATATTATAAAATTTATTAAAATAAATTTCTTCAGTGCGGAAGTCTTGGAAAAATTTTGTGAAAATTTTCGGGACTCAAGTACATTAAACATCCGAACGAACTATATACTTCGCAACTTTACAAAATAGGGAACGAGGAACGACAATAAGAAAAGCGAAAGAGCGAAACTATACAGAACGGAAATGACAATTATTCAATTAATAATTGATTGACAAAAAACAAAAAGTTGACAATAATTGGAAAATTAATATAAATGAAAAATAGAGAAAAATCAAATAAAAAACTTTCTAGGTATACAAAATATTCATTCAAAATGAAGAATTTACAAACTTTCATTTCCACTTACAGTGCTTAAAAAAATTTTTACCGTCTATACAAAATGTTTTTTTTCCACAATTAATTATAGAAGGAAGTACTCAATGTCATCTATTCTTTTAATAAGAGAAAAAAGAAAATCAAATGAGATAAAAGAGATTTCACACACGAAAGTGATTGTGTATGGAAATTGAAATTCCTCAAGTAGTAAATAAATCTTGTCTTTTTATATATTTATAAGTGTTTTTATGCATTTATATTTTATATTGATCTATTGAATGTTGATCTTTCGAACTCGCGGAAACAAAAAGAAAAATGCGATCGATTCGCTCAACTCTCAAGACTTTTCACGCCCACGTAATTCTCTCCCTTTCAACACAAACTCGCCAATCTCGATTCGATTATTTCCGCGCGTAATTTTTCTCCTATCTCATGTTTTTGATTATCTTATTGATTAAATTATACAAGATAACAATAAAACTATAAATAGTCACAAATTTACATACTTTTTGGCTCAAATTTCATTATTTTTTTCCAATTTTTTTTCTATTGTATTTCCAATATTTAATTCGTTTTCTCATTTTTTTTTACTTTTAACAAGTAATAAATTATTTAATTGATATTAAATTTATTTTAATTAACTAATTAATTTCAAAATTAAAAATAATTAATTATCAATTAATTTACTTTCAATTTTTTATTTTATTAATTAAATTACCACAAATAATTAATTTTCTCTATTTTTTACTTTTGACAGGTTTTAAATCAACTAATTATTATCATAATTAGTATCAATCAATTAATTTAAAAACTAAAGAAATAATTCATGGTTGCTACGCAACCTGGAAACCTGGAAAACCTGTAAATGTCAGGGAATTTTTATCAAAATCCTGGAAAATTGTTGTTTTCTAAAGTTTATTCTTGAAATCTAATTTCAAAATTAATTCAATTATATTTTAAAAGAATTGCATTTACAATTTTCATAAATATATGAACTTCAAAATATTTTGATTTAAAATTTTTAAAATTTTCAATTTTAAATGAATTTAATTAAAAATATAAAGAATTTTTTTTAAACTAAAATTCTTCTGAAATTAGTTAAATTTTTTAATATATATTTAATTAATTATTGAAAATAATGACTTTATATAGAATTTTAGTTAAAAATACTAAAACAAATTGAATTTTGTAGCAATTACAAATGATTGCAGAAATTCAATTTTCATAAAATTCTTGACAAAATTTTAATTATTTTCAAAAACTTTTCTCAATTCAATGATTTTTAATATCTACAACTTTAATAAATATTTCTAAAAGAATTCAATTACTTAGAAAGAAATTTAATAAAATTCTACGCAAACATTTAGTTATTTTCATAAATAATGAAAATTTCACAGGAATTCAATTTATTTACAAAGTATTTTCATATCTAATTCAATTATTTTCATAAACAATAACATTTTTTTACAGGGATTCAATTATTTTTATAAATCACAAAACTCGATGATAAATTTCAATTATTTTTAATACAATTTTAATGGAATTCCTCGAAAAAAGTTATTATTCTTAAAAATTTTATTAAAATTTATCAAAGAAATTTAATTATTTTAATAACTTTTGCTACAATTTATTTATTAGAATTTAAGAATTATTTTCAATACATTTTTAATTAAATTTCTTAAAAGAATAAAATTATTTTCAAAAATTGTAATGAAATTCTTTGCGTAACAATTCAATTATTTTTAAAGTAATTTTAATAAAATTCTTCGTAGAAATCCAATTATGTTTAAAAATTTACAAAAATTCTCGTCAAAATTTCAATTATCTTTATAAATAATAAAAGTTTTCTCCGAAATTCAATTATTTTCAAAACTTTTAATAAAATTCTTGGCAGAATTTCAATTATTTTTAATACAATTTTCATCAAATTTCTCGAAAAATGCAATTATTCTTAAAAGTTTAATAAAATTTGTCAAGAGTATTTAATTATTTTAAAATTTGTTGATAAAATTCTTTATGAAAATTCATTTTTAAGAAACATTTAATTGTTTAATAAAATATTTATTTTTATATAGTTAAATAATTGAATTCTCGTAGAATTTTCTAATAAATATTGATTTAAAAATGAATTTCAAATTAAAATCTTTGAAAATTTGAACTTTTCATACTTTTAATTCAGAATTGTATAGAATTAATGTTTCTCAATAAGTTTAATGGAATTTTTTTTATTTATTTGAAGTTTATAATTTCTAATATATTTAATTGAAGAATGTCAGAATAATCAAAATTTCGTAAAATTAAATTGTAAACGAAAGAGTTTGAAAATTTACAAAGAACTTTTTCAAAAATTATTAAAAAAAATTGACTTAAAGAAGAATTTTAGTTGAAAATTCTAGAAATGAATAATCGTAATGATGAAAATAATTTTTGAAGAAGTTACAGTAACAAAGTAACAAGTTTTAATTTTTATAAAACATGAAGAAAGCGATCACTCCGAGTTATTGAATTTCAAATTTTTGAATATCTTAATTTCTATAAAAAAAAATCATTAAATATTTATTTAAAAATGAAGTTATTGATGTTTTCGAATAATTTTCATTTTAAAAATCTGGAAAAATTCTGTTTTTCAACCTGGAAAAGTCAGGGAATTTAAAAAGAGCAAAAGCGTGGCAACCCTGTAATTACAAATTAATTTTCTTTCAATTATTTAAAAAAAAAGAAAATGGCGCTTAAAAGAAAATTAATTTTTTCTGGTATGGAAATTAAAAAAAATTGTCATTGTCTACCATATAGAAGAATATTGCCAAACCATAATTTGGAGAATAGAAAAAAAGAATTGAAAGAAAATATAGAAAAATATTCAGAGGTCAATTCACCGTGACGAATCTGCGGTTGTCCTGCGGCGATGTGCGTTTACGGTTAGACAACAACAACAACAACAACATCAACACACAATTATAATACAACAATTACAACAACAGGTGGCAGATGCGTAAATTACACAAGAGAACCTTATTTTCTCGCGAGGATAAAAACGTGTCGCAATCTGGACAGGGCGGCACTGACTTTATACAAGCGATACGCTGTGTGGCACTTTAAACAATGGATTTTGCAAGCCAAACAATCATAAAAGGTTCCCTGCTACCACTTGTCCAACGTCGATAAAATCCAACAAGTTAACAAACATTATTCAATTAATATGCGCTCGATTTCGTTCAAATATTCCATTCAAACAATTATTTTACGCCTTATTTACTACACAATACAACTAAACTCTCTTTATATTAATTTGAAAAAGTAAATTAAATCGTTCTGGAAAAATTACTTGTTCATTCAATTAATAAAATTATTTCTTCATTCAGTTCATTCAGTTTATTCATCATCGATTTTATTCAACTCTTATTAATAATTAATTAACAAAATCGACTTTCAATTTTTTTTAACTATCTATTTTTATTAAGTAATTAAAAATTATTGCAACTATAACTTTAACTATTAATATTTAATTAATAATGAACGAATAAAATCGATTTTTAATTTTTGCTTAAAAATCTATTTTTATTAACTAATTAACAATTATTATAACTATAATTATATTATTAAAAATTAATTTCTAATTAATTAGTAAATCGATTTTCAATTCTTCCTAAAAATCTATTTTTATTAACTACATAATTAAAAATTGTTTTATAACAATTATTATCAATCAATTTCTAATGAATTAATAATAAATTATTATTACTGGCATAATTTGTTTAGAAATAACGATGATACAAAGTGACTTTGCTAGTAAAATATACAAATAAAATTAATAAAATATATAATAAATATTTAAACAGAATCATCCGAAAGATTTTTATTCCCAAAATTCTGGTGAAATAAAATACTAACCGGTTTTTCGTCTTTTTTTTTAAATGTATACCATAAAGTTCCCTCTCGGTAAATGCCTTTGTGCCTTTACGTGAAAGTTATTGCCTAAAGCCCATTTCGAAAAACGATACTTCTATTTTTATAAAAAAAACGGAACGCCGCATGTAATTTGAATTTTCCTCCACTGACACGAACCCATTAATGCAATTTTTTTTTCTTCTTCTCTTTTTTATATAAAAGGAATTTATTCAATTATCCATTACTGTAAAAATCAATTGCGTTAAATCAATTTCCAAATAACGGTAAAGACCAGACGGTTCGTTATATGCCATTAAATGAATCCGCGATATGGTCAAGGTTAATGTTATCCTTTTACGAAAACTACCATTTTTTATCCGACCTACAAGTCAATTTTAATAGAAAACAAATTCTATTTATATTCAACAAATAAAAAAAAAATACAGCAGAAAATTTAAAATACAAACAGAGAGAAAAATATCTATGAAAGTTGAAGAGAAAATACTTCATTAAAATCAAACGTTTTACCCTATTTCTATAAATATACGTATATAGGAAGATCAACAGTCAAGAACATGGAAAATTTATTTTCAATAAAATTAAATAAATAAATCGAGTAAAAGTGAATATAGCCTACTTTTGGGAATAGAAATCCATTTATAACGGATTTTCTCGATTTAAAGAAGTAAAATAGAAATTTCCCTAAATAAATAATTCATTGATCGAATATTCATTAATGAATAATTATAATAAGAATTCGGAATTGAAAATTCGGACGTTGAAGATTTCTTTCAAATTTAGTGCACAAACGAGAAAGAAAAGAATAGAGAAAAGAACTCAAAAGCGTGTAAAATTTACTTTCTAACATTAATTTAAGTACCAGCCAAATTATCTTTCGTTTTCGAAAAAAATGGATCTAAAGAGAAGAAAAGATAATGAGTCATTATGTTCAGGTATATAGAAAAATAATTCCCTTGAAATGATTATTTACCGAAAGAAATTTTTTCTATATGACCATATGACTATGATGAAACTGACATATTTAAAATGACCATTTTTTTTAGATCATCATTTCTTGAAATAAAATTATATTCATTGAAACCAGTTTTTAAAAAGAGTATAAACGGAAATCTCGATTGACACATAATTACAGTATAATAATATATAATAGAATCATCAGTTAATCAAAACATTTCTACACTAAATTCTCAAGTTCATCAAATTTTTCATTTTTAATAGAATTAATAGAATTTCTATAACGCAATTTTTATTTCCTCTAATTCTATGATTCATTATGATTTCGTCTCAATGATGAATAATAATAATTTTATTGAAACCACTAATTTAAAACTATATACGAGAAAGTTAAAATTAAATTAAAATTACTTTGTTTCGAGATGTCGAATATTTAAATTATTATTATGTATTGTGAAAATTTTAAATATTTTTTGCAACTAATTCCATTGTGACTAGGAAAATTATAAATCATTTTTTAAATGATAATTTTAATACCGAAAAATATTTCAATATTGCTGTTTCTAAATTTCTGAAAATTCAAAAGATAACGAAATTTATTTATTTCTCCTTAAAATTAAATTTTTATTAGAATAATTTTGTGCTACTATTAAAAAAAATTGATTATAAAATTTTTAAATCAAGTTTATCTTTAACAAATTGAATTATTTTTAATAAAATTTCTCCAAATTTCAATTAATTTGATAATTTTTAAATAAATTTCTTTTTAAATTCAAGTATATCTTTAAATTAAATTGAATTAAAATTGACTAAAATTGAATTAATTAATTCAATTAATAGTTAGTTAAAATTAATTAACTTTGAGGAAATTATTTTATAATTAAATTATTGAAAATAAATTTAATTATTCACAAAAATAAAAATTTAAGGCGTTTTAAAATTAATAGCTATTCAAAAGTTTTTAAGATGAAAAAAAAATTCAAGGAGAAATTACATTTTTTTGTTTTTTAAAAATATTTTTAAATACAGAAAAAAACAAGAATTTTTGGATAGTAATTCTAGAATTTTGTTATTTTTTCAGTACATTTGACTAAAATTTAATTAATTAATTTAATTAATAGGTATAGTTAAAATTATTTAACTTTAATAAAATTATTTTAGAATTAAATTAATGAAAATAAATTTAACTAGGTTACAAAAATGTAAATTTAAGGCGTTTTAAAATTATGTAATTTCGATTCAAAAGTTTTTAAGATGAAAAAAAAATTCAAGGAGAAATCAAATTTTTTGTTTTTTAAAAATATTTTTAAACACCGAAAAAAACAAGAATTTTTGTAGTAATTCTAGAATTTTGTTATTTTTGCAATACTTTCGGTAAAATTTCCTGACTTTTCCCTGAATTGTCTATTTTTTTTTTTTTTTTGACTTGTAGCAAGGGATTAATGTAAATTTTTTATTTTCACAGCAATCAATAATTTATAAAAATATTTGTAATAATAAATAATATTTCTAATCATTTGAACGTTCAAAACTGTTGATAGAAACATAAATAATCCATAAATTCTGAACGTTCAAATGAACGATATATGTTGCCATAAATATTTGTGAAAATTACTGACTATTATTATAAAAATAAAAAAAAAAACAAATTTAACATTCAGAATTACTATAATTAATTATTTTAATACTAGACTCAATATTATTGCAATAAAAACCTTGAATTTGAAGAAGAAATAAATAAATTTCGTTCACTTGATTGTTTAAAACTTTAGAGACATGATTATAATTATTGACAATTATTTATAAGAACTGTAATCTAATTATATGAAAGTTTCATCATATTCATTTCACTATAAATTAAACGAAAGTTTTCCATTCTTCAATTTCATATTAGAAATCGAAAACAAACTTTCCAGTATCGATTTCCGGCGGAAAAAATCTCATTTTCTCGATATATCAATTTTCAGCTTTTCGGTTTAAAAAATACCGGATTTTTCTATATTGAATCTCAAAATGAACCCAATCGGCCTAATCGAAATTTTCTAGTCGATTCAATATATTCCTGTGTATGAATAAAATATATTTTTATTTATATAAAATTATAAAATAAATCAGAGTTGCCACGTTTTTGCTCATTTGAAATTCCCTGACTTTTCCAGGTTTTCCAGGATTTTAATTTGAAACCTTTTCAAAATTCAATTATTATTTCTAAAAATTCACGTCATAATGCTTTTAATATTTATTTATTTCTACATTGGTATGCCCGCAATGAAATTCATTTTTAAATCAATTTTTATTTAAAAAATTCTACGAGAATTCAATTATTTAAACAGGTGGAAAAATAAATAATTTATTGAATAATTGAATATTCAGGGTTTATACAAATTTCTCCTTATAAAATTCCGTGCTTTTTCCATTTTTTCCAGGTGATAAATGATAAAATTTCCATGACACATTAAAACAAAATTTTTGTCAGTTAAGTCAGGTAAATATCATGAAAAAAAATTTTTGTCAGGGAAATTAAGAAAACTGAGACTTTTTCGACTTTTCTTTCAAACATTGCAACAAAATACCACAATTTTTAGTAGAAACATGCAACTTATTTTGATTTTTATAATGCGAAAAATAACTATAAACAAATCTTTCAAAAATTGTTTTTGAATAGTTAAAATTTAGAGCTGTGCAAAATAATTCGAACCGAACTGTTCGAATTTTTTCGCCTAGTTCGAATGTCGAAAATTTGACATTCGAGTTACTACAAAATTCGAACCGAACCGAGTTGTGTTCGGTTTTAGTACGCTAAAATGTCGAATTCTAAAATTCGACATTCGACATTTCGGCGCTCCAAAACCGAACAAAACTCGGTTCGGTTCGAATTTTGCACAGCTCTATTAAAATATTGTATAATTTAATTGAAAATAATTTATTCATTTCAAGTATTTTATTACAATTTTTGGAAATCAAAAATTTTAATGAAAAATCTTTAAAGATAAATTTAAAAATGAAAATTAGCTTCGAATTTTTTAAAATTCAATATTTTCAATATTTTCAATTACATATTTCCAAAAATAATAACATTTTGGAATTATTTTTAACATTTTGGAGAAAACAATAATGTTAAACATTTTTAATTAAAATCCATCAAAAAAATCATTAGTGTTTTTAACATTACACAAAAATTCTTTAAAGAAATACAATAAATTATTTTAAAAAAATTACATTAATAAAATATTTTTAAAAACTAATTATTAAAATTATTTTGTAATAATTTTTTAAAATTCAAAATTTACTTTTTGGACTTATTAAAATTTTTGAGAAGTCATGGTTCTGTTTATAATTAAAATTCTTCAAAAATTTGATCATTTTTATTTATATTTTTTAAAAATTCAATTTTACTTTTAAAAGATTTTACCAAATTGTAATTGTTTGAAAATTTTTCAAAATTGAAAAACTATTATCGTTCAAAAATTATTTTAAAATATTTAAAAAAAATTAATTGTAAGAATTTCTTTATTATAATTTTTTGAAAATTTTATTCTTTAATAACTTAAGAATGAAAAAAACATGGAGAGTCACAATTATTACAAAAAATTGAGTTTATGTATTTAAATAATTGAATTCTAGAAGAACTTTTGGAAAATTATTTAAATTAATTGATTCAGAGATGAAGTTTAGTTGGAAATTGTATTAAAAATAATTGAAATTCTGCCAAAATAATTAAATAATTGCGAAGCAATTTATAAAAAATTTGTAAATAATTGAATTTCTGGAAAATTTTTATTATTTATGAAAGTAATTAAATGTTTGTGTAGAATATTATCAAAAATTTTTTTTCTAATTGAATTCTTTTGGAAAATTATTGAAAATAATTGAAATTTTGCCAAGAATTGATAGAATTTTATTAAAATTTTTGGAAATAATTGAATTTCGGGGAGTATTTTTATTATTTATAAAGATAATTGAAATTATGAAGAGAATTTTTTTTAAATTTTGAACATAATCTAAAATTTAAACTGAAATAAATTTTTAAATAAATTTTTCTTAGAAAATTCTACGAGAATTTAATTATTTGAATTCAAAAATGAATAATTTGTTGAATAATTAAATGTTTCTTAAAATTGAATTCTGATTTCGATAAAAATTCCCTGACTTTTCCATGTTTTTTCAAGGTTTATAAAATTCCCTGACATTTCCAGGTCTTTCAGTTCTCCAGGTTGCGTGGCAACTCTATAAATATATAAACATCCATCCTATAGATTTCTCAGACGTATTTTCCAAAGTGATCCTATTAGATGAATTCCTGCCTCGCAATAATTTCCTATTTGTTCCTCATCGTTCGTATTATAAATCCTGGGATATATAAGGCATAAAATCAACTTGGCAGAACGCCCTCCACCTCCACCTCCTCCTCCTCCTGCTTTATAGTATATCCGACGATATCGAGTATCCTCGACAGTGTATCGACCTCGATCATACGATATATAACAGCCACACCTACTTTCTACCTTCCTGGACAATCGCTTCTCCGCACACGAATACAAAAACCTAACAAAAATACATCTGCATACACCTGAAGGAAGAAGAAAAAAAATTGTAAATATGTATTCAGAGTATATTTACAGTATTAAATGTACAGTTATTGTATATGAACTAGTAAATAGAATGTTTCACGTGTATTGTATATAGAAAATAATACAATCAAGGTGGAATCGTGAATCGCAGGTCACTGGATATGTACTTTAAAGTATATATACACTCAATTTTCCTTCGTGGAGATTATTGTTGCATAAAACTGGCGAAAGTAGTGAATGTTTCTTAAATGCATTTAGCACCGCGGTGTTTAAAACTTCGAAATAGACCATTTTTATTCTTCTATCATTTAATCGCAAAAGAGACTTTTGCGCTTTAGCACTTTTGATTTCATTTTTTTCCACGTGAAACTGATAATACTCTTTTTTCTCCAACTGTTCAGGAGAAAATTAATTAAGAGAAATTCGATATCTATTGTGATTCTCGTTTTGTTACTATTTCTTGGATCATAAATCAGCTATGAGGATAATTTTCCCCTAACTATCTTTTCACTTCTTTTGAATTTTCAATCATCTTTATTGTTTTTAAACAAATTTTTAAAAAATACAAAGAAAAAATATATTATTGTATTATTTATTATTATAAATAAAATATTATTAAAACAAAAAATATCTCTTTTTATAATTTCGAAAAATATTTTCAATAAATTCAAGTAACATCGATTGATAAAGCTATAATAATAAAAATAATAATGAAAGTAAAAAAATTATAAATATAAATAGTAAATAATAAATATGTCCTTTTTGTTAAAACCGTTTTTTAAATTATATTGTAATAATAATATAATTTTAATAATTGTGCTGAAGAGAAAAAATTGTATTTAACAGAGAAAAGTTTTTAATTAAAAAAAATTACTTTAAATCTAAGAAATTTTGTCAGTGATTAATAAGTCAGTGATTAATAATTTTAGATGAAAATTTGGAAAGTAATTAAATTCTATAAATAATTTTTTTCAAGTTATTTTAAAATTAACGTGATTTTTAATAATTGTAATTAAACATTTGATTCATGAATTTTATTAAAATTTTTTGGAAATAATTGAATTCTTCACAGAATTTTATTACAATTTTTTTAACTAATTGATTTCTTTCAAGAAATTTTAAAAAAAAAGGACTGATATTAATTAAATTCTTCTAAAGAAATGTATTATTTACAAAAATAATTAAATTTTTATAAAGCATCTTATCAAAACTTTTGAGAATAATTGAATTCTCTAGAAAAAATATTGTAATATAATTTTTAAAAATAATTAAATCCTTTCGAAAAATTTTATGAAAATTGTATTGAAAATAATTTAATTCCTGTGAAGAGTTGTATTAATTTTAAAAGTAATTGAATTCTTCGGAAGAATTTTATTATTTATGAAAATAATTGAATTTTTGCAAAAAATTATATTATTTATGAAAATAATTGAATCCTTATGAAGAATTTTATTTTTTATATTTTTAAGAAAAATTGAATTAATAACGATTAACAAAATCATTGGAATATTTGGGAAAAAATTAATGAAATTTAAATTCATTGAAAGGAACTAAAACCAACAAAAAGTGGAAAAGAGTCGAAAACAACAGAAAGTGAAATACTATCAATGAATTGAAAAAACCTAAAATTATTCCAAGAAATTAAATTTAATTAAATTGAAAAGAAACGAAAGCAACAAATATAATGGAACAGAAATTTCGTCAATGAATTGAAAATGCCTAAAACTATTCCAAGAAGCAAAATTCAAATAAATTGAGAAGAAAGGAGCAAACAATTGAAAAGAAATTTCGTCAATGAATTAAAAAAGCCTAAAACTACTCCAAGAAGCAAAATTCAAATAAATTGAGAAGAAAGGAAACAGACAATTGAAAAGAAATTTCGTCAATGAATTAAAAAAGCCTAAAATTACTCCAAGAAGTAAAATTCAAATAAATTGAAAAGAAAAGAAAAGAAAAATCTCTTCTTATTCTCATTTTTGACAAATAATTTCTATTGCTCGAAGATTGTATTTATCACTGAATTACCCGCTATTAGAATTTCTAAGCACGTTTCAAATAAATTCAAAGGAAAACAAAAAAAGATTTCGACTTATTCTCATTTCAGACAAATAATTTCTATTGTAAAGATTGTGTTTATCACTGAATTACCCGTTATTGGAATTTCAAAGCACGTTTGAAAAGACGAATGTGTAAAAACTGGTCGCCGACTTGTTTGCGCGCGTAACCCTTTGAGACTTTGGCATTCGTTCTTCGTCCCGCGGACATATACGAGTCTGGGTCACTCGGCTACAAAACGTCAAAGTCGAAATAACGGTGCTTCAAGAAAAGACGGTGTCTCGAATCAAGAGTACCGGTATATACAAGATGTATACTTTATATATATAGTGAATATCTTTGCTAGGACAAAATGTCCGCAAAAGAGCAAAAGTCTCCTGCTTTTTGCTTTTTTTTCCACGTGTTGCAACAAGAAAACGGGATCGATTTGTCCCCCTATTTTTTAGGTTACAAATCAGGACACTAAGTAAATTTACTACACGCTTATTACTCATTACATGTGTCACTTGAAAGCATAATGAGACCCACTTTTATGCATGTAATCGCACCTTTCAATAACTCGTCATTATTCTCCCAGCGTACAAGTTGTCATTTTCTACTGTAACAATTTATTACTTTAGTCATTATTAATATTCAAGCCTGCATTCATGAAAATCTCATTTTTTATACTTGTAAAATAAAATATTATAAATTTAAACAATCCAAAAAACATTTACATCTATTATAATAAAGTATTATTATTATCTACACCCAGGAAAAAGTTTAATCTAAATTATTATTTTATTAAATTATTATTAAGCAGCAAATGTTACGCGCGGAACGTAGTATTCGATTTATTATTATTATTATGCAAATTACACAATTTATTTTCAAATATGAATTTTTTAATACGTTCAAATTCAAACATTAAAAAAATTCAATTATTAACTAAGTTACTAATTAATTATTCTTGTTTATTAATTTCAAAGTTTTTAATAAAATTCTTCGTAAGAATTAAATTATTTTCATAAATAATGACATTCTTCGTAAGAATTTAATTATTTTTAAAAATAGTAAAATATTTTGTAAAAATTCAATTATTTTGAAACAAAATTTTAATAACATTTTACGAACGAATACAATTATTTTCTAAAATTTTAATAATCCTTCGAAACAATTCAATTATTCTTTAAATAGTAAAATCTTTGCAAAAATTCAATTATTTTCAAAAAATTAATTTCAAAAGAATTTAATTATTTTCTAAAATTTTTATAAATCCTGCAAAACATTCAATTTTATTTATAAATAGTAAAATTCTTTGCAAAAATTCAATTACTTTTTATACAATTTTAATAACATTTCATGAAAGAATTCATTGTGTTTTTTTTTAAGAATATTTTTCGAAATAATTCAATTATTTTCTAAAATTTTTATAAATTCTGTGAAAAAATTCAATTACATTTATAAATAGTAAAATTCTTTGCAAAAAATTAAATATTTTTCTAGAAATTTGACGAAAGAATTCAACTTTTTTTTAATTCGTTATAAAATTGTTCAAAATTCAATAATTAAATAATTTAAAATTCAATAATTAAATGTTCAATTTCAATTATTAACAAACACGATTATTTTAAAAACTTGAAAGAAATTGTTCATAAAATTCAAGAATTTAAAAAATTTTTGATTAAAATTATTAAATAAACTCCATTATTAAAAAAAAAAAATTAAAATAAATTCTTCAAAAAGAATTTAATTCGAATCTTCATAAATTTTAACAAAATTCTACACGAGAATTCAATTATTTTCCTGAATAATAAAATTCTTCGAAGGAATTCTATTATTCCTATCAAATTTTTTGGATAAAATTTATTATCTTATTTATTAGTTTTAAAATTGAATATATTTAAAAAGAAAATTTATTAAATAAGTTAAGAAATAAAAGTATATTTGTCTCGGAGTTTATTAATTATTTATTTGTTTTAAATAAAAGTTTCTTTCGACGCAAATAAAATGTTTGATTGAACCAAATAATATTTTTAATATAACTAAATAATATTTTTAATAGAACCAAATAATAATTTTAATAGAGCCAAATATTTATTTGAAACAAATAAAAGGTTTATTTGTCACTGAATCAAATATGCCTTTTTTCTGGGTGAAAAATTAATTATCCTAAAGTTCCGAACGATCAAATGAACGGAATTTATTTATTTCTTCTTAATTAAATTGTTATCCCAATAATTTTGCGTCCCTATAAAAAAAATTCATCAAAGTTTCTAAAAGTAAAATTAAAGTTTTTTTATTTTGATTGCAATCAGTAATTCATAAAAATAATTGTAATAAAAAATATTTCGTTCAGTTGAAAAGTTCAAAATATATGGATCATTATAATTAAATATTTAAAGTATCTCTAATATAAATATATTTAAATTAAATATGTAAATATTTGAAATATTTAATTATAATGATTTAAAAAAAGTAATTTATTAAAATTAAATACTAAGAACACTTTTAAAAATGAACAAACAATTTAACCAGAACGAAAAAACTAATTAAAAAATCAGAAAAAACAATCTGTCAAAAGATGTGGATGAGTTTTAAAAATGTCAAAGAAAAGATTTGTTATAACGGACAAAAGATAAAAGAATGGAATTTATCACGTCATGACAATTCATCAGGGAGAAGAAATTCTTTTCTTATCGAGCATCAAGAAAATGTAAATGTTGCGCTAAGAAAGTGGCTGAAGAAAGTTTTTTGATCGTTTAATTAATAAAAAAATAAATAAAGCCACGACACGAGGTGTGTTTGTATGTATACGAGAGAGAAAAAGAGAGAGAATTCATCGTGAGACTTTAATGTTAATTATGATCCGAGCTGAAAGTTCATCAACAGTAAACATTGTACTTATTTGATAACTTTTGTTTACCTGGTGTGTGTCCATTAATTAGCAGATTCACGTGAATAACAAAATGTACTTTTTCATCCTCTATATTTACAATGTACCATGTGAACTGAAACTTTACTTTCACTTTAAAGAATTCTAATTAATGTCTTGTGGAAATTTTATATTCCTAAACTTTTCTTCTTCTGAATATTAAATTTTTCTATATATTTATTTCTAAATTTAATAATTTATTTATATTCAGTATTGTAACAAAGTAATTTTTCTTGGAAAAAATTTGAAAAATTCACGAAATTGAAGAAAGTGAAAAATGAAAAAAAGTTAATTGAATCAAACGATATTTAAAAAAAACTAATTTCTCTTTTAGTTGAAAATTTCAGTAAATTGGGAAATTTACATTTAGTTTTAATTTTTTCTTTCAATATTCTTTCTGTTCGAAAAGACGGAAGGCAGAAAAATATAATTTCGGAAATATATAGTTGATTTTTTCTTCCGTTATTGAATTTTGTTGATATTCCGTAATTCCGATAATCGATTAAAAGAATATCAACATAATTTTGGAAAATTTGCATTCTTTATGATTTTTTTTCTAGCAAATCGACTTTTTTGAAGTCTTCGAATTGAGAGATTCGTTTCAAAGGTTCGATTTTATTTGCCTTAATAAGAAAGAAAAGAGCAAATATTGTGGTACTTACTCGAAAAAAAGACGACCACACCCCTTAAATGATATCCAAGGTAATCTACCTTCGTTCGTCCTTGACTGCAAGACCGGAAGACCATCCAGAAAGCGAAGCTTAAGTCTCGCGTCCTCGTTTAAGATAATCGTCGAGATCGCATCTCTATTCGCGATTCACATTCTAGAAGCAAAGTCGTAATTCTCTCTGTTAAATGCAAAGCGAGCGTCGAGTCTTCGTCTAAAGAAAGCTTCTTCATCTATTCGATCTACACGAGTCGGTCCTGCAAAAGAAAATCACTATTTTACTGTCAAGAGCTCTTTCGATTTAAAGTTTGTAACTTTCCATTACATTTAAAAAAACGTTCATCAAATATAAATACAAAAAAAAAACAAATAATAAATATAAATCAATGGTATAAAATAAATGGAATATTGAAACGCTTGATCCCAATTTATATTGTCGAAACAAATATTCGACATTTAGAAAAATGACATTAGAAAATTACCATTAATTATCATTTATTTTACATATTTAAATAACAGGGCACGAACCAGTGAAGTTATTTAAAAATACGGATTTTACGGACCAAAAATAAAAAATTACGGATTAATTACTGACAAAAATATAACCAGTCCGAGTCAAATAAAAGAACATTTTACTTAAAACTATAAATTAAATTTTTTTATAACTAAATACAATTTAAAAGTAAATAATTCATTGAATAATTGAACGTTTCTTAAATTTCAATTCTCATAAAAAATTTTATCAAGAAATTTTTAAATAATTCAATTCTTTCGATAAATTTTAATTAAATTTTCGAGAATAATTACATTTTTCGAGAAATTTGATTAAAATTTGTATTAAAAATAATTGAAATTCTGCGATAAGTTTTATTATTTGTAAAAATAATAAATTGAATCCCTCAGAAGAATTTAAAAATTTTTGAACAGAATTGAATTTTTGAGAAGAATTTTATTACTTTTGAAAATAATTGAATTTCTGCAATAATTTGTAACTTCTCCAAAATTCAATTTTTTTTATTGTTTTAACTAAAATTCTTTTATAAATCCATTATTTTTAATAATTTTCGAAAAAGTTCTTTGACAATTTTCAAATCTATTAATTTGTACAATATTCAATTTTACGAAATTTCAATTATTCGTAAATTCTTCAATTAAATATATATATTAGAAAATAGAGGTGTGCAAAAAGCTCGAATAGCCGAGCCGAGCCGAGGCGAGCCGAGCTCGATGTATCGGGTACCCGAAATTTTCGAGTACTCGATTTAATTCGAGCTTTTAAATTAAAAAAAAATTATTTAAAAAAAAAAATTTAATTAAAAATTAATGTAGAAAATTTTGGATTTTCTCAAGGGCTCGAATCAAATCGAGTACCCGAAAGTTTTGAGTACCCGAAAAATTCGAAGACCCGAAATTATTCGAGCTTTTTATAAAGCTCGGCCCGAGCTCGAACTGAATAGGCTAGGCTCGGCTCGAAAAATGAAAAGCTCGAAAATACCCGCTCGAGCTTCGAGCTTTTTGCACACCTCTATTAGAAAATAAAAACTAAATTATTTCTAAAAAAAATCACACTATAATGCTTTTAATATTCAATTATAATCGAAAATTCTAATTGACATTCATTTTTAAATCAATTTTTATTAGAAAATTCTACGAGAGTTCAATTATTTCAATACAAAAATATATTATTTGATGAATAATTAATTGTTTCTTAAAATTTAATTCTTATAAAGAATCGAATTTTATTAACAAATTTTTAAATAATTAAATTCCTGTGGAATTTTTTATTATTTATGAAATTAATTCAATGTTTGAGTACAATTTTATTAAAAATTTTTTTAAATAATTGATTTCTTTTGAGTAGATTTATTAAAATAGTAGAGATATTAATAATTATTGAAATGAGAAAAATTTTTGAAAATAATTGAAATTTTGATAACAATTTTATTAAAAATTTTGAAAATAATTGAATTTTGAAAAAGAATTTTACTATTTATTTAAAGATAATTGGGATTTTCACGAGATTCTTTTTCAATTTTGAACATAATTGAATTTTGTGATAAGAATTTTATTACCTTTGAATGTAATTGAAAATTGAATTTCTGCAATCATTTGTAACTTCTTCAAAATTCAATTTTTTATTGTTTTTAACTAAAATTCTTTCATAAATACAGTAATTTTTAATAATTTTTGAAAAAATTCAATTAATTTTGACAATTTTCAAATTCATTTGTTTATAATTCTGTGGAAGAAAGGCATAACAGCATAACTGCATTTGTCATGATTTTGAGATAAATTAATTTTAATGTTCTCTCACTTCTGTCAATTCAGAAAATCAACAGATTTGTTCGGTCTTTTGCATTTAGTATTATTATTTAATATATTTTCAAAATTCTTTTATAAAATTTAATAAAACACACGATTTGATATAAATTTTGATAATTTTTCATCGGAATCATGAGTTTTATTGCACTTATGCGGTTATGCAAGTTCAGATTGTATATGAGTCCAACTTCAGACACTTTTAATGTCACAATTTATTTTGGTTTGATTTGTCATAATTAAAAAAATTTTTCATACAAAGACAAATTAAACTATTAATTCGTTAGAAAAAATTATAAGAGTTTATTCAGTTATAAAATTTATTTTTTTATAAAATGTTTTTAATTTATTGAAACGAGAAAAAAATTTACTTTACTGTTCAACTTGAAGAATTTTTCAATTTATTTTTTTAAATACTTTCCAAAATTTTTTAGAATAGAAATACCCTTAAAAATAAGTACATAATTAAATGCACAATTTATGCTATAAAAAATTTGTTCCAGTTTTATTAAAATAAATATATTTAATCTAAAGTACGAAAAATGTATTTTACTAAAAACATTTTATTGCAAAATTCTTATTGTTTTTATTCATAAAGGTTATTTTCATTTTTAATTATGTCAATTGTTTTTTAAGCTGAATGCAGTTATGTTATTATGCTGGTCTCCTTTTGTCAAAAACGCAATTATGCGATTATGTTTTCCATTATTTTCTACATTAATAACCATTTTAATGATTTTTCAGCTATTAAACTTTGAAGAGCAATATTAAATATATACAAATCTGATGTTATCTCAAATTTGATAAAAATGTCAGTTATGCTGTTATGCCTTTCTTCCACAGAATTCAATTTTACAAAATTTCAAGTATTCTGAAATTCTTCAATTAAATATATATTATTAGAAAATAAAAACTAAATTATTTCTAAAAAATCACGCTATAATGCTTTTAATATTCAATAAAATCTAAAATTTTAATTAAAATTAATTTTTAAATCAATTTTTAATAGAAAACTCTACAAGAATTCAATTATTTTAGTACAAAATTAAATAATTTATTGAATAATTGAATGTTTCTTAAAATTAAATTCTCATTAAGAATTTTATCAATAAATTTTTAAATAATTGAATTCTTTTGACGAATTTTAATAGAATTGGTTAAAAATAATAACATTTTTCGAGGAATTCGATTAAAATTGTATTAAAAATAATTGAAATTCTGCAATGAGTATTTTGTTATTTATGAAAATAATTGAATTCATAAAAAGAATTTTATTATTTACAAGAATAATTGAATCTTGTAAAAATTTTATTATTTATGAAAATAATTGAATTATTGCGAAGAAATTTATAAAAAAACTTTGTAAATAGTTGAATTCCTATGAATTTTATTAAAATTTTTTTAACTAATTGAATTCTTTTGGAAAATTTCATTAAAAAAGTAGTAGATATTGAAAATGATTGAATTGAGGAAAATTTTTGAAAATAATTGAAATTTTGCCAAGAATTGTATTAAAATTTTTGAAAATAATTGAATTTCGGTAAAATATTTTCCATTCCCCGAAAGTTGCATAATTTTTAATCTTTATGTTTTAATTTCATTATTTATTAATTATTAATTTTTAATTTCATATTTTATCTATTTTGAATGTATTTAATTAAATTGAATTAAATGAAACAGTATTTTTAATTGAATTTAATTGAAAGAACAGTGTATTTTTAATTAACTAAAACTGTATTTTCAATTAATTACCTTCCTTAATGAATTATTTTTTTAAAACAAAGAATGTTCTCCTATATTGAACAATGTAACCTTTACTGATTCAATAAATAATTTTACCGCAATATCAGACCGTAAATTGCACCTCAATTTTACTGGCACGAAAGAGAGAAATTTTCATGTATAAGGAAAACATCTTCCTGAGTTTAATGTGATATTTTATCTCGGATATATCTCCTCGTCTGGTGCAGTATATCTTGTACAGTAACAATGTAGTTGTAAATAAATCCCTCTTTTCTTCACGTCGTGAGCGTAATACTTAGATTGCAACGAGAGGCGCGTGCCTCGATTTCCATCATCCTCCTCTGCAACTTGGTTTGACTTTCCTTTAAGTGAAAAAAGAAAAAAAAATTGACTTTACCACAAATGGCTGGCCACGATATTACATTTTAAACTCAAACAATCAACTTTTGCACACACGCACCTTTTCATATATACAAGTTTAGTTCAAGTCTCTCGTGTAAAATGTAAATTAGAAAAATAAGTGGGACGATTCATCAACTTCCGCATAAGTGCAATTGAAACTCACAAAAACGTATTTTTAGAATAAATCCAATAAATATCTATTGATTGAATTTATTTTCCGTAATTAATCTATTTTTTATTGATTAAAACATTATTTTGTTCTTTTTTTACTACCTTCACCTTTTTACCTTTTGAATTAAAATATTTTGCTTTCTTTGCCGATTTGACGACAAACTTTTTGAGGTTAGGATTTCACTATTTATAATTGTTCTGATTCTTCTTCGCTCTATATTAACATTTTTATCCCACACTGTAAAAAAAATTTTCTGTAGATTTACAGTTTTGTTTAGAATTTTATAGAAACTTGTAAAATAACTTCTTTAAAAGTAGTGAATTTAAAATCCCTTCTGTAAAATTAATACTTTTAATGTGTCAATTTTACAATTTTCTGTAAATTTACTACTCTGAATGTACTGTAATAAAAAGACAAAAATATTACCTACTTCAGAGTAGTAAATTTACAGAAAATTGTAAAATTGACACATTAAAAGTATTAATTTTACAGAAGGGATTTTAAATTCACTACTTTTAAAGAAGTTATTTTACAAGTTTCTATAAAATTCTAAACAAAACTGTAAATCTACAGAAAATTTTTTTTACAGTGCACAACTAAAATTCAATTCAAGAATTGACAACGACCTTGTTTTTATCAGAAAAACTAATTTAAATAATATAAAATAATTTACGCGCACAATTTCTTCATATTAGCAAGAAACGCAAGAAAGAACAAAGAAGATCTTTTTCGTTTTCCGCGCTTTTTTAACCGACTTTTTCTGAGGATAAGAAACAACTTCGTGGAATGTGGAAACAACAAAACGAAAATTGTCGATAATACCCGAAGTTAGAGTTCGATTACCTTCGTCAATTTTCGTCTCGTAGAATCCAGGAATACCAATTGCAAATACCCTGCTCTCATTGGTTGATTATTTTCCCTTAGTTTGTCTACCCTGATGTTTACATTTCGAACCGAACATAACCTATATAAATTGATCATAAATCTATTTCGTCTGTGAACCGTTTGAACTTTTGTATATACGTTCTGTAATAAATTTAATTTATATCGAAAGTTGTGTTCCCCAAAGTATTTACCATGGAAGATGATTAGAATGTGAAAATTTTCATTCAATTTAGAAGTTTTCGTCGAAAAAGTGTTTGAAAGGTGCGACAACCATAAAATTGCGTCTCAAAATGCACTGTAAAAAATTTTTCTTGTAACTTTACAACTTTCAACGTGGGTCCGAATATTACCTACTGCGGAAGAGACACAAGTACGACAAAATTTGTATATGACAATCGAAGAGGTTTTTAGAAAAACAACACGATACGAAAATGGTAAAGTAACAGGTACTACTTCATGGTAACAGGGTTGCCACAGGTCAGGGTGGGTCAGGGAAGTCAGGGATTTTTATTAAAGTACTGGGAAAAATTAAATTTTTAGAATTAATAAGAAAATTCTGAATTTTTGTGTCTTTTTTTAAAAAACTTTAATTTCAATTTTGTTGAAATTAGTTTCAATTTAAAAAATTTTAACGCAATTATTTAAAAGAATTCAATTATCTTAATAAATATTCAACTTCTTTCCTGAAATTCAATTATATTCAAAATTGTTTAAAAAATTCTCGTCAACATTTTAATTATCTTTATAAATAGCAAAATTCATTGTAAAATTCAATTATTTTCATAAATAACAATACCTATTCATCACAAGAATTCAATTATTTTCAAAATTAATAAAATTCTTCGACAAAATTCAATTGTTTTCAGGAATTTTGATAAAATTCATTGCAAAATTCAATTACTTTCATAAATAATAGTATTCGTCACAAGAATTCAATTATTTTCAAAAGTAATAAAATTCAATTATTCTGAAAATTTTTAATAAAATTCATGGCAAAAGATATCAATTATTTAAAAAAAATTTCATTCATTCAATGATTTTTCAATATTCTACTATTCTAATAAAGTTCCCCAAAAGAATTGAATTTTTAAACAAAAATGTTGACAATATTTAACACGTACATGCAATTATTTTTGAAGCAAATAAATAAAAATTTCACAGGAATTGAATTATTAAAAATAGAATTTGCATACATTATTTAAAAAAAAAAATAATTGTTTGAAACCTTTTTTTATAAAATTCTTCGCAATAATTTAATTATTTTCATAAATAATAAAATTCATTGGAGAATTTTAATGATTTTTAATAAAATTTCAATCGAATTCCTTAAAAACTGTAATTATTTTTAAAATGTTATTAAAATTCGTCGAAAAATTGAATTATTTAAAAATTTGTTGATAGAATTATGTATAAGAATTCAATTTTAAGAAACATTTAATTATTCAATAAATTATTTATTTTTGCATTTAAATAATTGAATTCTGGTAAAATTTTTTAATAAAAATTGATTCAAAAATGACTTTTAGTTCAGATTTTACATAATAATTGAATATTAAGAGACATTTAAACCTAAATTTTTAGAAATAATTAAATTTTGAAAAGCTTTTATTTTCAAAATTGGAAAAATTTTAATTTTTTTCAAAAATGTTCTCCAGTTCAATGATTTTCAATATCTACTATTTTAATAAAATTTTCTAAAAAAATGCAATTATTTACAATAAATTTTAATAAAATAAATTCAATTATATTCATAAATAATAAAAATTTCATAGGAATTCAATTATTATTTAGAATTTTTTTAAAAATTTCTTAGCAATAATTTAATTATTTTCATAAATAATACAATTTTTACAAGGATTCAATTATTATCTTAAATAAGAAAATTCTTTTTAGGAATTGAATTATTTTCATAAATAATAAAGCTCATTTCAGAATTTTAATTATTTTTAATAAAATTTCAATGAAATTCCTTGAAAACAGTAATTATTCTTAAAAATGTTATTAAAATTCGTCGAAAGAATTCAATTATTTAAAAATTTGTTGATAGAATTATGTATAAGAATTCAATTTGTAAGAAACATTTAATTATGCACTAAATTATCTATGTTTGTTTTTAAATAATTGAATTCTCATAGAATTTTCTAATAATAATTGATTTATAAATGAATTTCAGTTAGTTTTAGATAATAATTGAATTTTGGAGGAGTTAAAATAAATAAAAATAAATAATTGCAATTTTTAGAAATAATTGAATTTTGATCATGTTTTAAATTAAAATCTTTGAAAATTTGAATTTTTCATACTTTTAATAAAAAATTCTATGGAACTAATTTTATTTTCAAAAAGCTTAATTGCAAGTTTTTAAAATTATTTAATGTATTTATTTTTTAATGTATATTTAAAAAATTATTAAAACTTGATTTAAAGTAGAATTTTATTTTAAATTTTTAGAAAATAATAATTGAATTGAACATTTTTATACCTATTATTATATAAAACAATTCTTTCAAGGTATTGAATTTCAAAATGTTTGAATTTGAAAGTTGAATTTGAAGTTATTGATATTTTCGAATAATTTTACAATTAAAGAAATTCTTAAATAAATGTACCTAATAGAACTTTTTTTTTTGAGCATTTAATCATTTTTAGAGTGAATCAGAATATTCTTTAGGGTCAGGGAAAAAGACAAAATTTTGTCTGGAAATCAGGGAAAAGTCAGGGAAAAATACAATAAAATTTTTGTAGCAACCCTGAGTAACTGAAAATTCTATAATTAGTAATTGGTAATTAGTGGTAATTATTATTCCCATATAATTATTCCCAAGTTAATAAAAAACAATTTCCTTTTTTCAAAAACAGGGAACAATAAACTTTTCCGTCCTCGAATATCGTTTTAGGATCACACTTATAAGAAAGTAAAGTATTCTTCACGCAACGTGCAATCATAAAATAATGATATACACAATTATGGCAAACAGATAAGTAACGTTACCTGTTACATAATTACATACAGATGTTTATACGAGTGCATTTACATTTTCGTATAATAATAAATTTCAAAGGTGGTATAAACTTCATCGCATCCAGTTTATTATATACGAATGAAGAATAATGTGCACACGAGAAAGAACAATTCGAAAACGAGTGTCGCCAAGATAAGACAAATAAGCGACAAATATTCAGAGGGCAATTTTGGTGATGACTTTATTTGCGAACAACAATCGACTTTTCATCAAGAAAATAGATGTGTCCCATGGGAATAATGGAATTCGAATAATGCCATTCGCGCGTGGGATCTCGACCAAGGCTGAACGCCTTAGGTGTGCGATTGTATATTTATTATTACGAGAGTAAACGCGAATGTCGAGATTGGAGATTCCTTTCGGATATATGCATATATGTATAAGCAGTGAAAATGATAGATATGCCAACTTGGCAGAACGTCTATAATGATCGTCATAGAAATCTGTGACTAAATAGGCGATAGACAGAAAAAATTGCAGTCTATTTCCTTTGTGAAGAACTAAAAGGCAGAATCAATGCAAAATTTCTATTTAATGGGAATTTTATCCAAAAGAATTTCTACTTTTGTGGAAATTTTATTGAATAGAATTTCTACTTTGTGCAATTTTTATCCAACTGAATTTCTACTTCGTGAAATTTTTATTTAACCGAATTTCTACTTTTTTTCAATTATTTTCAAAAATTTTCCTCAATTCAATTATTTTCAATATCTACTAATTTAATAAAATTTCCCAAAAGAATTCAATTATTTAAAACTAATTTAATAAAATTCTACGCAAACCTTTATTTATTTTCATAAAATAATAAAAATTTCACAGGAATTCAATTGTTTACAAATTTTTTATAAATTTCTTCGCAATCATTCAATTATTTCCATAAATAACAAAATTTTTACAAGGATTCAATTATTTTCGTAAATAAAATTATTTTTTGGGAATTTAATTATTTTCAAATATAATAAAACTCATTGCAGAATTTCAATTTTTTTAAATACAATTGTAATCAAACTCCTCGCGAAAATATTCTTAAAAATTTTATTAAAATTCGTTGATAGAATTCAATTATTTTAAAATTTGTTGATAACAATTCTTTATGAGAATTCAATTTTAAGAAACATGAAATTATTCAATAAATTGGTTTTTTTGTATTTAAATAATTGAATTCTAGTAGAATTGTTTAATAAAAAATTCATTTAAAAATGAATTTCAGTTAAAATTTTAGATTTTAAATGAATTTTAAAAGCATTAGAGCGAGAATTTTTAGAAATAATTAAATTTTGAAAAGGTTTCAAATTAAATTCTTTGAAAAACTGAATTTTTCATATTTTTAACTAACAATTCTGTGGAATCAATTTTTTTTGAGAAATTAATGTAAGAATTTACGAATAATTGAAATTTTGTAAAATTGAATATTGTAAACATATGAACTTGAAAATTCTTAAAGATAAATATTATTAAATTCTTATTAAAATTTTTAAAAATATTTCACCTTAATATCTTTAAAAAGAAAATTGGACAGTTTCAATTCTTATAGAAACTTGAATTTTTGTATTGAAATAATTGAATTCTCGAAGAACTTTCGGAAAGTTATTAAAAATTAATATTGATAATAATTGATTTAGAGTTGAAGTTTAGTTCAAAATTGTAGGAAATAATTGAATTTTGGAAGGGTTATAGTTGTAATGTTTAGAAATTAATAAATTTCAAAAGTTGAAATTTTTTAAATTTTATTTCTCGTGTAAAGAGAAATAAGAAGTAAATAAATATTTATTTAGCAAATTATTCGAGTTTTGATTAATCGAATTTAGAAAGCAGTGAAGAATCAGGAAAATACAAAATAAATTTTTTTATGACAACACTGAATTAAATAAATGACTTTTTCGACTTTTTTCTATTTTTAATCGACTAAAGCGACTTTTTTGGCTCGTTAAAGTTGATCCGAGGCCTGAATTTTTATCCAAAAGAATTTCTGCTTTGTGGAGTTTTTATTCAACAGAATTTTTATAATACATTATGGAATTTTCATGCAATAGATTTTCTACTTTGTGGAATTGTTTAGTGACGATTTTTATTTTAATAAATTTTCGTCGGGAATTTTTATTTTATGGAAGTTTTAAAGAGAAAAAGTTTTATTTTTCCTATTTCTATTTCTTCGAATTTTAAACAAACTGTTCACTTGGAAAACTTATTAATTTGACGAAAATTTTACAGTGTTGACATTTTTTAAAAATCGAATTTTTATTTAAAAAATTATTCCTTTATTTTTTTCTATTCAGTTTAGAAAAAATTCTGTTAAATAAAAATTATGTCAAAATTTTTATTTAAGAAATTTTATTTAAAAACTAAAATTCCATTATTAATAAAAATTCATTAAATATAAAGTAAACATTTTAATATATCCTAATTATTCTAATTATTATTTGAAAGAAAATAAATAATTTCCTATTAAAGGAAATTATTTTATGTGTAAACAAATTTCTATAAAAAAGATAAAATCGAAATGATAAAATCGAACAGATAAAATCTAAAATATAAAAACCAGAATATAAAATCTCAAAGAAGAAAAGACTCTTAATAAATAGGAAGATTCTTTAATAAAATCATTTAATTATGAAATATATAATTTTATTCATTATTTCCGATGAAAAATGGAAATAAAAAGTTTGATTTGAAAGAGATTAGAGTTCATTGACTATATTTTCAAATGCAATAAAATTTCCACGGATGATTAATCATGACAATCGATTCATGATCATCAACTTCTCGAATCAGATAAAATCATTCATGCCGAACTATTCGCGAAAAAAAACTATTGAGGAATCGCTGATTTTATCTGATTATCGAATGTTTAACTTCTAATAAGCAAACATCCGGCTTAACTTGATTCCTTAATGTCAATGTTACCGATCTAATGAAATATTTTGCGAAACGATTTCAACAATAATTTAGACCTTGATTTAACAAAAAAATATTTTAAAATTAAAAAATAAAATTACTAAAAAGTATTAATTCTATTAAAAATTTATTTTTTCCAATCAAAATAATTTTCTAACTCTCAAAATAATTTTCTCTTCTAATTGGAAGCGAATTTTTCCTAATTTCGTCAATTTTCTTTTTGTGAAAGTAAATGAGAATTATTTAAGAAGAAAAAAATGAAACGAAAGGCTAGGAAGAAGCGTTTTTAGGAATGATAATGAGAATATCTCCTTATTAAACGAGGAGAATGATTAATGATTGAATAGAGTGATAAAAAGACAACTCCTTAATTTAATTAATGATAATCGCCAGGAAAACAAGGAACAATATAATATCAGGGGTATTGTCTTTAAACACTAACGACCGTAAATGTGTTTTCAAAGAAGTTACTATGAGATTGTCTGCAGTGACAAATATAAATATTTTCAAAAGCCCAAAGGCCGCACTTTCTTTTTTTTTTTCTTATTTAGAACTGGTTTATTCCTTCTATTGTTCTCAGTCGAGCGAGGTGTAATTTTCTCACTTTTAAAATTAAATCTTTAACCATTGCCACTGTCCAAAAGAAATATATTATACACTTATCAAGATGAGTTTTTAAATCCAAGAAAATATTTTATGCATTTCGTTCTTTACGCATTTTTGTTCAAAAAGTGAAAATAAGTACGGCTGAAGAAAAATTTTTTACGTATTTTTAAATTCCATAAAGAGTGTAAAATAATTTAAATAATAAATAACTTAAATAATTTAAATAACTTAAATAACTTGAATAATTTTAATAATTTAAAAAAATTCTAAATATAAATTTCAATTAATTGAAAAAATTGAATTTAATTCATAAAGGGCGTATTACTTTTTTTCTAATTTTCCAGGGGGATAATAAAAAATTAATTTTCTTTAATTACGATTCGAGGTCTTCGAATATTCAAATTAACATATAACGTTAACTGTTCCATATTTCCAGTAATATTTTTACACTTCACTAAACAGTAACTACCGTTTTCCTAACCGTCCTAATTTTTTTTCCTTTTTTCATTATAGGAACGAAATGCGGTCAGCCAGCAGTGCCGATGAACGCCAAGGTTTCTCTATCAGATGACACCTTAAAAGTAGGCACCCTCGCCACCTACACCTGCGATGCTGGTTACGAAATTTTCGGGTAAGCCAATTAAAAAATATCCGTTTTTTTTGTAACGAAAGCGTTAAACATAAAAAGGCACAGTTTTTATTTAAAGAAGTGAAATCAATTAATTTTTTCGAGAAATTTAATGTTTTGTTTTTTTTTTTTCATTAAATTTAACGTTTCGTTTAATTTAACGAATTTATTTTCATTTCCTTAAATTTAAATGAATGGGTACAAATAAAAAAGAAAAGAAATTGAGGAAAAATTAATCTACGACATAACTTCTGTAATAAGAAAATTAGATCACTTATCATATATTTTTCTCTACTTTTTCTTTTTCTTTTTTGTTTCGAAATCAATAACGATTTACTCGAAAAGCAAAATTCTTTCCAGGAAAGTTGCACTATATTGGCAATATAATCAGAAGAAATATAAAAAGGAGAAAAAAATCCAAAACTAGTTTCTACACCGGGAATTTCAATCTGGATATTAATCTAGAGCATCCAAGATTTTCTCGATTTTATACACGTTTTAGAGAAATTATTTGATAGAAAATACTCGAAAAAAGAAATTAAAATTTTTTGATAATTTATCGACGGTACAATAATTAATAATAAATAATAAAAAAAAAAATAAAAAAAATACAATAAAGTAAAAAAAAGAAATTATAATAAAACAAATAAAAATAAAATAATTATAATTATAAAATAATAAATAATAATAAGTAGAAAAGTAGAAAAGTAATAATCGTAAATAAAAAAATTATAACAAAAAAATAATTATTATAATTATAATTATTTATTATTTTACTATTTTCTTATTTACTATTATTATCTATTATTTTATTTTTTTTTTGTTATTTTATATTGTAAATATTGAAATTCAAATAAAATTTATGTTTTAATCAATTCTCTGCTTTTAGCATTTTAAAATGAAAAATTGAGATTTTAAATAATTTAAAATTCATCAAGTTCTAGAAAATGTGTAGGAGACATGTTAATGCGGTTTCTTGGCATTTAATTATAAAATTAAATTTACCTGTATTAATATGAAAACAAAACCACAACGACAAAACCTCTTTTGTAAATGAAAAAAAATTCTAAACTTTCTCTACCCTAAACGAACTTCCTTTATATTTTGCCTACCGCAAAAAAAAAGTTGCCTTTTATGCAATTTTGTTTTCACTTCTAAAACAATCATACCAAGATGATAATAATAACTATTTATTTCTAAAAAAAAAATTAGGAATTTTAAATCCTTTCAATTTAACTAACTGGATGTATAAATGTTACATTCTTTTATATTTTTCATATTTTTGCATTTTATTAATAAGATTTTCTATTTTACGATTTTTTTCAGTAAACTTTGAATTTTCAACTTATGTACTTTTGATATTTTTTAAATAATTTTTCCACATTCGTAATTTTTATTTTAGTATTTTTTTGTTTTTCATTAAATTTATTCTAATAAAATTTTATTTCAAATGTTTTTTCTATTTAACGATTTTATTTGAGTAAAATTTTTAATTTTTTAATTTTCTGCTTTTCTGTATATTTTTATAATTTTCCAACACTGTATTTTTTATTAATTTTTTTATTAACGGGACAAGTTTTGATAATATTTTACTGTTTTTTGTTTGTCATTAAATGTATTTTACTATATAAACGATTTTATTTCAAATATTCTTTCGATTCAGGTAAAAAGTAATTTTTACGTTTAGTCAAAAATTGTGTGAAGAGAGAAAGTAAATTAAATAATATTAAAAGTCGCTTTAAGAAAAAATTATTAGCAATTTACCGGAATTTTCAAAACGTTAATAAATTTTTTTCTTTTTGGTTTTATAATTTCAGAACAGGATCGCTAGTCTGTAATAATAAGGGGAAATGGCAGGGAGAACTTCCATTCTGTGGTAAGTGACTCAAGAGTATTTTTAATTAAAACAAAGACTATTATTAAGTTCATTAAACAGACAACCGTTAGAAAAAACAACTATATAAGAAATTGATACACGTCTGCCTTTAACTGCTTTTTAGTATTAAATATTCTTTTCCAAATTCCAATATATTTCATAAGTGACGAAAAATTATTTTTAAATTAAAGAAAAACTAATTAAATTATTAAATTAACTATATTAATCTCCGTAGTCTTTCATTCATTCTGTTTGTTATATTCTTTTTTCTATATATAACAAATTTCGTTTGACTGATCTAAATTATTATGCAAATTATTCTTCTTTTTATTTATAAAAAATACTAGAAAATTGTTAATTGTTAAACAATTTTGATTAAGAAGTAGGAAATATACCCACTTTATGCATAATTTTTATTTCTCAATAACAATATTCTTTAAAAACTCATTTTTTTCTTTTGTGAAGAAAAACATTAGGTATTCCAGTTTCTTAATATTTTTGTAGAAAATTCTCTATTTTCATAAAGAAATAATTTGCATCAACTCTATTTCTTAATTTCAATTAATTTAATAAAATTCAAAGTATTTTTAAAAATAAAGGAACAAAATGTTTATAAATTATATTTGTCAATTGGAAAATTTAATTGAAAATGAAACGGAAAATTTTTTAATTTTTAGAAAATAAAGGAAAAAATGTTATTGAAAAAAATGTTTTGTTAAATTTATTTACGAATATCTTCAATTGTAAAATTATTCGAAAACAATAATTTCTTTTTTAAATATTTTAAATATTTAATTATTATTATTATTAATTAAACTTCATTCAATTATTTAAATACAAAAGTAAATTATTTATTGAATAATTAAATGTTTCTTAGAATTTTATTAACAAATTTTTAAATAATTGAATTCTTTTGACGAATTTTAATAAAATTTTTTTAAAAAGTTACATTTTGCAAGGAATTTGATTAAAATTCTATTAAAAATAATTGAAATTCTGCGATGAGTTTTATTATTCATGAAAATAATTGAATTATTGAGAAGAAGCTTATATACAAAATTTGTAAATATTTGAATTCCTGTGGAATTTTTATTTTTTATGAAAATAATTAAATGTTTGCCTATACAATTTTATTAAAAGTGTTTTTAAATAATTGGATTCTTTTGGGTAATTTTATTAAAATAGTAGATATTGATAATCATTGAAATAAGGAAAATTTTTGAAAATACATAATTGAAATTAAGGGTAAGGAAAACCTGGAAATACAATAGAATTTAAAAAAATTTCTAGAATTTCGCCTGTTTTTAAAGATTTTTATCAAAATTTTAATTTAAAATTGAAAAAATTTTGTATGTCATCGCCATATAAAAATCTCTACATAAGAAAAAATGTTTGGCTCGTAATTATTATTAAGTTTCTGGTATTTGGAAATTTAAAAAAAACTTTTAAGAACCAAAACTATGTTATCAGGCCAGCAAATTTTTTAAATTTTTGACTAGAATTTCATAAGTGTTGACCTGGAAAAAGCCTGGAATTTCACTTTTATTATTTTGTGGCAACCATTATTATTTACAAATTATTTTCATAAATTATTATTCGATGATTTTCATAAATAATAACATTTTTTACAGGGATTCAATTATTTTCATAAATACATAATAAAACTCATCGCAGACTTTCAATTATTTTTAATTTTTAATACAATTTTAATGGAATTCCTCGAAAAATGTAATTATTCTTAAAAATTTTATTAAAATTCAGCAAAGAAATTCAATTATTTAAAAAACTTTTGCTACAATTTAAGTATTATTTTCAATACAATTTTTAATTAAATTTCTTCAAAAAATTGAATTACTTTCATAAATAATGAAATTCTTTGTAACAATAAAATTTTTTTCAAAATAATTTTCATAAAATTCTTTGTAGAAATTTAATTAATTTCAAAAATTTGTCAAAATTCAATTATTTTCAATGTCTACTATTTCAATAAAATTTCACAAAAGAATTAGAATTCAATTATTTAAAAAGAAATTTTTATAAGATTCGTCTCAAGAATTCAATTATTTTCAAAAGTATTATGGAAAAAAAGTTGTATGGAATTTTTTTTAATTATTTGAAGTTTTTAATTTTTAATATATTTAATTGAAGAATGTCAGAATAATCGAAATTTCGTAAAATTAAATTGCAAACAAAAGAATTTTCAAATTCACATAGAACTTTTTCAAAAATTATTTTAAAAAAATTGACCTAAAGAAGAATTCTTCTTTAGTTGAAAATTCTAAAAATGAATAATCGTAATGATGAAAATAATTTTTGAAGAAGTTACAGTAACAAAGTAGCAAGTTTTAATTATTATAAATATTATTGAATTTCAAATTTTTGAAAATTTTAATTTCTATATGAAAAAAAAATAATGATTAAATATTTATTTAAAAATGAAGTTATTGATATTTTCAAATAATTTTCGTATTTTGAATTAATTTTGAAATATTTAAGTAAAATTATTCATTAAATAATTTATTTATTTTATGATAGTTGTTCCAGATTTAAGTTATTTAAAAAGAAATTTTTGTCAGAAAATTGGAAAAAGTGAAGGTTTTGTATTAGAAATCGTGTCAATTTTATAGTTTATGAGTCAAACAAAAAAAGGCACAAAAATTCCGAATTTTCTTATGAATTCTAAAAATTTAATTTTTTTCAGTACTTTTAATAAAAATTCCTGACTTTTTCCTGAATTCCCTATCTCAGAATATATGATTATTATAATTATAATAATATTAAAACTATATGTTCCAATTCACATATTTTATTTTTATAAAAAGAAAATTTGAATTAAAAATTTTTACGTTCAATTTTTTTTAAACTGCTAATTTATTTTATTTTAAAAAAAGTGAGCGAAAAGTCAGCCGCACGCGAATTGTTGCTAGTTTATTATTAAATTTCCGAATTAAATTGTTTTTATTTTCAATGTTTCGTTTTTGTTTGTTTCCTTTTGTTAAAAAATTAAAAATGTCAATTTTTTATTCATCTGAAAAGACTAACGATTTAAACGTCAATTTATTGAGAGTTAATGGAGAACTGCGTGTATAAAAGTAAATTAAAAAAAATCCCTCCCCATTCCTGACGAACGTTATATTTACAATCAATTAACAACGTCACTTAAATCACGATTCAAAACCGCACGGAATTAAATGTATATGTATAACCGATACAAGTGCAAGGAGCTTGTAATTTTCTGAGTCGTGAGACTCCATTAGGAATATTGTATCACGAAGTAAACTACCGATGGGAAATCCTTTCTCCGTATATCCAGTTCTTTTATAAGAATCGTAGAAAACTCGCCATGGGAATTCGCTATTGCTACTGACTTTAAAAATAAATAAAAAAAAAAAATTAATCCAGATCGCGAGTAAAGGCGCCGTTGTTCTCTAATTAGAAAAGGTACGAAACGATTTAATGTTCGGAAATAAAATTGATTGAAGAACAAATCATTCAGAGGAAAAAAAACGAGAAAGAAAGGGAAAAAGAGTTTGAGAAACAAATACACATTGACCCGATAACTTTAGAGAAATTATCGATGTCAATCGATAAAATACGAACATTTGAAGAAAAGGGTGCGGAGAATAGAATTTCTTTCCAGTAAACAAAGCGCGCTCGCAATTATTTCATTAGTCTTGAATTAACAATCAATTGTTTATATCGGAATTATCTTGGCAAATAATTATTTTTAAAAAATATTCTCTCCATTCTATTCTGTTAATTTACAGAAATTCGAAATAATAATTTTTCGAATTAAATTTAAGAGAATAACAATTTTTAATTTTTTTTTTTTTTTAATTTTTCTAATTTCTAAATAAACTCAAAATGGAAAATATTCTTTTTCCATTATAGAAATTGTAAAATATTGACATTTTTTACGTCAGGATTTAAAACTCACCTCAACTATTTTCTATTTGTGAAGGAACAAACGTTGGTTTTCGAAAACCGGCAAATCAATCAACGACTGTGAGAGGAGGCGATGCAAATCATGGAAACGATGGAGATTTCGGTACAGAGCACGATGGAAAACGATGTACAGAAACTCAAAGTGAGCCTAGTCCATGGTGGAGAGTAGATCTTCTAAAGACATACGCTGTCAAGGTCGTAAGGGTGACGACCAGAGGCTGTTGCGGTAAGAAATAAATTACAAAAGAAAATAAATTATTGTTTTCGAATAATTTTACAATTAAAGATATTCGTAAATAAATTTAACAAAACCTTTTTTTCAATAACATTTTTTCCTTTATTATTTTTTATAAAATTTCAATGTTGACTGAATTTAATTAGAAATTTTAATGAAATTAGATTTTTGAAAAATTTTAATAATTCAAAATCTTCTAAAATTAGTTAAATTTGTCAATATATATTTAATTATTTATTAAAAATAATGGATTTATAGAAAAATTTTAGTTAAAAAAACTAAAAAAAATTTAATTTTCAAGAAGTTACAAATGATTGCAGAAATTCAATTACTTTCAAAAATAATAAAATTCTTATCACAAAATTCAATTACGTTCAAAATTTACAAGAAAATCTCGACAAAATCCCAATTATTATTTATTTATTTATTTACTCAATACACGGATTTATCTTTATAAATAAAAAAATTCTTCAAAATTCACTTATTTTCAAAACTTTTAATAAAATTCTTGTTAAAATTTCAATTATTTTCAAAAATTTTCCTTATTTCAATGATTTTTAATATCTACTATTTTAATAAAATTACCCAAAATAATTCAATTACTTAAAAACAATTTTAATAAAATTGTACGCAAACATTTAATTATTTTCATAAATAATAAATATTTCACAAGAATTCAAATATTTACAAATTTTGTATATAAGCTTCTTCTCAATAATTCAATTATTTTCATGAATAATAAAACTCATCGCAGAATTTCAATTATTTTTAATAGAATTTTAATCAAATTCCTTGCAAAATGTAACTTTTCTAAAAATTTTTATTAAAATTCGTCAAAAGAATTCAATTATTTAAAAATTTGTTAATAAAATTCTAAAAAAACATTCAATATTATTCAATAAATAATTTACTTTTGTATTTAAATAATTAAATTGAAAAAATTTAATTAATTTAATAAAACATGAAGAAATCGATGACTCCGAGTCTTTGACTCGGAGTGATCGATTTCTTCATGTTTTATAACAATTTTTTTAAAGTTTATTAATTTCAAAAAGGTTTGAATTTGAAATTTTTGAAAATCTTAATTCCTATGGAAAAATAATAATAATTAAATATTTAAAATATTTAAAAAAGAAATTATTGTTTTCGAATAATTTCATACAAATTAAAGGTATTCGTAAATATTTTTTTCAATAAAATATTTCCTTTATGTTCTAAAAGTTCAAAAATTCTCAGTTTCATTTTCAATTAAATTTTCTAATTGACAAATATAATTTATAAACATTTTTTCCTTTATTTTAAAAAAAAAACTTTGAATTTGATTAAAACAATTGAAATTAAGAAATAGAATTGAATTTTTCCAAAAATAAATAAACAAATAAATAAAATAATTAACAACGCAGTAAAATAATCTATATTAACAATCGTTGTATTTTTTGTTTCCTAACTTTTTAAATAATTTTTCTTTTTAAATGTTTAAAATTTTAAAATAATGTACTGAAAATCATTGAATTGCTGTAAAGTAGATATTTTTGTAAAAAAATTTGAAAATAATTGAATTCATTTTAAGAATTGTATCAACATTTTTTTCAATAATTGAATTCTTTCGAGAAAATGTAATTAAAATTGTATTGAAAATAATTTAAATCTTGAAAAAATTTTTATTAAACTTCTTTAAAATAATTGAATTGTTTTTAAGAATTTATTTCAATACTCTTGAAAATAGTGGAGTTTTTTTAAAATAATTTTTACTGAAAATTTAAAAAAAAATTTGAATTTTATGAAGAATTCAATTATTTTTTTCAATAATTGTAATAAAATTCTTTGCAAAAAGTCAATTTATAAATAATAAAAATCTTCTTAAAAAATTCTATTATTTTTATATAAATAATACAATAATTATCAGGATTTCACTTTTTTTCAATACCATTTTAATTGATTTTTCGAAAATTTCAATTATTTTTAAAAATCTTGTAATACTTCTCCGAGAAAATTCAATAATTTAAAAAAAAATTGAATTTTTCACAAACGATAAATTATTTAAACAACTTTTAATAAAATTCAATTCAAGAATTCAATTATTTTCATAAAAAATGAAATTTTTGCTGGAATTCAATTATTTTAAATGCAATTTTAATTGCATTCCAGGGAAAATTAAATTATTTTTAAACAATTTTTTTAAATTCTTCAAAAGAATTTAATAATATTAATAAATAGTAAATTTTTCAAAGGAATTAAATTATTTTAAATACAATTTTAATAGAATTCTTCTCAAAAATTCACTTATTTGTAGAAATATTAAATTTGTTTGCAGGGATTCAATTATTTTAAAAAGTTTTAATAAAATTCTATTCAAGAATTCAATTATTTTCAAAAATAATAAAATTGTCGATGTAGGTACTGAAAATCATTAAATTCTTGTAAAATATTTATAAAAAAAATTGGAAATAATTGAATTCATTTCAAGAATTTTATCAACATTTTTTTCAATAATTGAATTAATGATTGAATAATTGAATTAATGAATGAAAATAATTTAATTCTTGAAAAGATTTTTATTAAACTTCTTTAAAATAATTGAATTGTTTTAAAGAATTTATTTCAATTTCCTTGAAAATAATGGATTTTTTTAAAAAATAATTTTTACTTAAAATTTTGAAAGTAATTGAATTTTATCTACATTTTCTATTAAGTTTTTAAAAACAATCGTGTTTATTATTATGAATTTTAATTACCAATTTTCCTATATTATTAAATTATATTAAAATTATTTATAGCAAATTACATTCTTTTAAACAATTTTATTGAAGTTTTTGTAAATAATTACATTTTTTTTTGTGAAGAATTTCATTAAATAAATATCATAAATAAAAAATAGCAAATTTGAATTTTCTTTAAAGAAGCTGAAATTAAAGATGAAAATGAAAGACAAGGAGAAAAATTCCTCTCATTGTTAATAAATGGAATAAAAATTCGTTTTTTAAATTGCATTTACAAATTTACCTTTGTTGAGATAAATTTGGATAAAAAATTGTAACAAAATTGTCAATGTTATTTGTTTGGAAAGATTTCCATTTTTGTTACAAATTGAATTACCTCAAGAGGTCTTTAAATCAAGTCTCACGAAATTCCAGGTCACCAGCCACTTCAGGATATTGAGATTCGTGTTGGTAACAGTAGCGCTGAATTACAACGAAATCCACTTTGTGCCTGGTTTCCGGGTACAATTGGTAAGTGATGATGATTATTATTATTATAATCACAAGTACAACAATAGTGTTAAGAAAAATTTACTCCATCGGTATCTTCTCAAGTTTAAAGACCTTATTATGCGGAATGTATATTTTAGAGCCACTTATTTTTCCATTTTTCTTCATTTATTTTTTCTTCGCTTATTATTCCTTTTTTCTTCATTTATTTTTCCTTTTTTTTCTCTTATTTTGTACTTTTCCTTCCAAAAGAGTGTCTCTTTTGTCTTAAGAGAAAATTTTTTTCCAAATAACGATGTTACTTCAAATTACCTGTGGAAAATCAGAAATTATTGCTGCACTGTCATAACAATATTATTATTATTTCAGTTAATTTGTCTAAAGTGATTCTCTTTTCTAAATTGGACTTCGACAAAGTTTATTGTCGCTAATTACGAAAACCGTTTAGTTTACCGTTTTTACATACACACGCAGCATCATTTACTTTTTCAGAACGAAGATTAAAAAGTCCTTTTAGAAAATTTAACCCATTTTCTGAGTTATTTTTTAAAAATATAACTTATATACAAAACTAGCAAAAATTCTCTTTTCAATTTAGTCTCGCAATTGTCAATTTATCTAAGAAAATTTTATCTAAGAAAATAAATAAATAAATAAAAAGTACATTTTTTTCTAAAGAAAATTAATTTTATTTTCTGTTTTTTTTTTATTTATTTTTCTGACCGATCTTCTGATTTAATAACAATAAATTGATAATTTAAGAGAATAAACTGAAAAAAGTGTAATTTATTCCCTTTTTAATAATGAATAAAAAATTTAGAAATTTAGAAAAAAATTGTTCTTTCCTAGAGGGAAGGAAATAATTTGCAAATTGATGAAAAATGTGAAAAATTCTTATAATTAATAGAAAAAAAAATTTGTTACTTGCAGAAGAGGGGATCACGAAAACTTTCGTGTGTGCGAGGGCCTTGATTGGACAATACGTCTTTCTTCAATTGGTTGGAGTTGAAGGCAGTTTGAGTCTCTGTGAAGTCGAGGTCTTTGCTACCGATGGTGAGATAAATCTGTAAAACAAAGAAATTTAAGATATATGCACAAGATTAATTTAATTACGTTTTTTTGCCAAGCTCTAACATTTTGTATCATCAGTTAAATAATTTTTTTCAAGTATTCAAGTATTTTACTTTATTTATTTTTAATTATTTGACTTATTTATTTTTACTATTTTCATTTATTTTTCATGTTTTAATTTATTTTTTCTCTTTTTATTTATTATTCCTTTTTAAATTTATTTTGCCTTTTTAATTTAATTTTCCTTTTCTAATTCATATTTTTTCTCTTTTTATTTATTTCTCATTTTTTATTTATTTTTCCTATTTAATTTATTTTTCCTTCTTTATTTATTTTTCTCCATTTATTTATTTATTTTACTTGACTAATTTTATTATTTTACTCATTTTTTTCTATTTTTCTAAAATTTAAGAAATTGTACTCATTTTTTCCATTTTAGTTAAATTTAAGAATAGTTATTTCATTTGTTCTCTTTTTTTTGACAGAATTCTCGGTCGACAGATGCGCCCACGCAGGAACGCCAGCTGATGCCGATTTAGCGGCATTTAATTCAACTTGTTATGAATTTATTGTTAATAAAGGTGGCTCTTTCCACGAAGCAAGATCGCACTGTAAATCAAGGGGAGGCGATTTGATTCACGGATTTACCGTAAGAATATTGTGAAAAAACTAATTACAGGGTTGCCACAGGTCAGGGAATTCAGGGAAAAGTCAGGGATTTTTATTAAAAGTACTGGAAAAATTGAATTTTTAAAATTCATAAGAAAATTCTGAATTTTGGTGTCTTTTTTGTTTTTCAAAAAGGTTTTAATTTTAAATTTTATAAAATTTCAAACTTTGAATGAATTTAATTCAAAATTTTAAAGAACTTAGATTTTTGAAAAATTTTAATAATTCTAATTCTTCTGAAATTAGTTACATTTCTTAACAAATATTTAATTAATTATTAAAAATAATGGATTTATGGAAGAATTTTAGTTAAAAACACTAAAAAAATTGAATTTTGAAGAAGTTACAAATGATTGCAGAAATTCAATTATTTTCAAAAGTAATAAAATTCTTCGCAGAAATTCAATTATGTTCAAAAATTTTTTTAAATTCTCGCCAAAATTTTAAATATCTTTATAAATAGTAAAATTCTTGGAAAAATTTCAATTATTTTCAAAACTTTTTCTCAATTCAATGATTTTCAATATCTACTATTTTAATACAATTTTTCAAAACAATTCAATTATTTAAAACATTCACTTTGAATTGAATTTCTCGAAAGAATTTAATTATTTTCATAAATTGCAAAATTCTTTACAGGAATTCAATTATTTTCAATTCAATTTTATTTAAATATAATTTCTAGAAAAAATTTATTTATTTTTAAAAATTTCAATAAAATTATTTTAATAAATTCATATATTTTCGCAAATATTAATAAAATTCCTTGAAAGAATTCAATATTTTTATAAATAATAAATTTCTTTGCAGAAATTTCATTATTTTCAAATGAAATTTTAATATACTTTCTTGGCAGAATTGAATTATTTCTAGAATTTTTAATAAAATTCTTTAAAAGTATTTAATTATTTTCAAAAATGGTAATAACATTTTTTAAAATAATTCACTTACTTTTAATATAGTTTTAATTGTGAATTGAATTAATTACTTGAAAAATGGTTAAAAAAAAGGTGTTTCTTGCTTTTCAATTTTAGCAAATTTTACAAATAAATAGTAATTTCTACTAATTTATTAGTAAAAATTTGCTTTTGAATTAGTCAATTTGACTAATAAATTAGTGAAAATTACAAATTCAAAAGCAAAAAATTCCTCCAAAAATAGAATTTTCTAATAAAAATTGATTTAAAAATGAATTTCAGTTAAAATTTTAGATAATAATTGAATATAAAAAGCATGAACTTTTAGGAGTAGGTACCTGAATTTTAAAAAAGTTTCATATTAAAATCTTTGAAAATCTGAGTTTTTCAGACATTTAACTAACAATTCTGTAGAAATAATTTTTTTTGAAAAAATTTAATTTAATTTCTTTTTAAATTATTTAAAGTTTTTATTATCTAATATATATTTAATTGAAGAATTTCCGAATAATCGAAATTTCGTAAAATTGAATTGTAAACAAATGGATTTGAAAATTCTCAAAGAACTGTTTTAAAAATTATTAAAAATAATTGATTTAAGGAAGAATTTTAGATAAAAATTCTAGAAAATAGTATAATTGGATTAAAATAATAATAATAATTTTGAAGGGTCAAAAAAAAATTTTTTTAGTATCTAATATTTTTTAGAGTGAATCGAAATATTTTTTAGTGTCAGGGAAAAAGTCTAAATTTTGTCTGGAAATCAGGGAAAATTTAGGGAAGAAGAAAATTAATTTTTTATGGCAACCCTGAATTAAATTCTAATTATAAATCATATTTTTTGTTCGTTTACGAAATTTCAATTTTTTCTTCTACGAAAAGAAATTTATGAAATTGACAAAAAATAATTGAAAACTGAAACTAAGAAAATACTGAAAAAATATGTTTATTTCAGGGAATATCGTCCAGTTTCATTTTAAATAATCTCGAGAGGAGGAAGGACAAATTAAAAACGCAATTAGTTTGGATTGGTGCCCAAAAAGAGCCGCTGATAACAGCAAGAACATGGCGATGGGTTGACGGTAAGAAAAATGATGATAATTTTTTCCTGAATATAGCACACAATTTTTTTCTCTCTCTTATATTATCTGATACATCTTGCATGTTTCCTTTTTCTAGTATGTATTTCCAATTTAATTTAACTTCCGTCCAATGTGATTTTTCCTCTCACGATTCATGAATACCATTCCAGTACTGTACAATTTGTAATCGTGGATTGTGAGAATCAGGTTAAAAAACTCGGTTACGTAATTTTTCTTTCAAAGATTCATCGGACTTATAGGAACCTCGAACCAATCAATTTGCGCCTAATAATTAAATGGCAAATAATTACCATACGTCTTTTGCCTGTTTGCTCTCGTTTTGAAAAAAAACATTCATAGTTTTTCTTTAAATACATTAATTTACTTATCTATAATACTGAGGGGGAAAAATAACGAATAATTTTTTCAATCGAGTAAAGAGAAAGTCCACAGAACTTGGAATCGTTTAGGAATTATTTCTCTCTGCAAACCCTAAATATTTCCAATTTAAATCCAAACGTTAAAAAATAATAAATAATACGTTATTAAAATTATTATTAAATTAAATTAAATTAATTAAATTATTATTTAAAACAATTTAAAACTTCAAAAAAATATTTAAGACAATAAGAAAAATACAAATGATACAATACAGAAAGTAAAATAATTTAATTGAATGAATTATTAAATAATTTAATTTTAATAATAATTATATAGAAACATAGAAAGGATTGAAAGTAGATTTTTTTTTAAAATAAAGATCTAATTTGAGTAATTTATAATTTATGTTAAAGTGAAAGATAAAAAACAAATGATTCATCGACAATTTTTTTTCTTTCCTCTTTTTTTTGTCGCAAGAAATACGAAACCTGCACAATAGGAAATGTGATTATAATCTGCTTTATTTCCAGTAATAAACAGTCTTTTGCAATAACTCGAGACCAATTTAGGTCAATATTAGAAAAAGCGCTAATTAACTAATTGTGATAATTGAAAATTATCTCATTAAATATGATGGAAAGATTACAAATTGAATTATTTAAATACCGACAGATTGTTTTGAATTCAAAATTACTATAGTAACAGACCAGGATTTATTTATAAATATTTATTTATTATAACAAAAAGTTTTTTCAAAATTCGAGAAAACTTTTCGACAAAATTATGGTTGAAAAGGAAAAATTCAATCGTTTGTGACATAACTTTATATTTTTAAAGAAGAGAAATCCAACCGAGGGAGAAATTGGTCTCGAGGTGAAACGAATTTCTTTTGCAAATTGTCAGCTGGACAAACAATTTAAAATGCTCTTCCTTATCGGCGATTAAAGTGATGCAACGAATTTAGGGAGCAATCTATTGTGCATTATAACGAATGGAACGTGAAAGTTAGAAGCCGTGTCGAAAATGACGGGAAGTGTTACGTCTCAAAGAGTTCGATTTAACGTAACTAATATATAATGCTAATTATTGAAATTAAAACTCTTGTAAATTTTTTGACTTGACGAGGCAGAAAATAGGCGCGCACTTGATTTATGCAAAAATGCGACACAAAAATTTTTCCATAAATTTCTTTTTCTTTTTATAGCTTCATAGAATTTTCAAGATTATATTGGCATCTTTATCTAAATATTAATGTTTCTTTCTTCTTGGAGGCGAACTGAATTTAACCATTTTCACGAGAATTAATAAATATTAAAACTGTTGAGAATGTTTTTCGAGAAGGAAATTAACCAACTGTGAAATTTGTTTTTTTTTATCAGGTGAAGTTATTCAAAAGCCATCGTGGGGTAAGGATCAACCTAATAATTACAATGGCGAGCAAAATTGTGTCGTTTTGGATGGAGGACGTGGATGGCTTTGGAATGACGTCGGATGTAATTTGGATTATCTCCACTGGATTTGTCAAAGCAGTGAGTTTTTTCGTCTAATTTTTAATTAAAGAAATCTAATTCGACTAATTTTTAATTTAAAAAAATCTAACTCATCTAATTTTTAATTTAAAAAAATCTAATTCGTCTAATTTTTATTTTAAAAAATCTAATTCGTTTAATTAATTAATTTTGATTATATAAATTAGAAAAATCGAATTCGTCTAATTTTTAATTATTCAATTTTCCGCTTAATCAGGGTTGCTACAAAAATTTAATTTTCTTTTTCCCTGACTTTTCCCTGATTTCCAGACAAAATTTTGTCTTTTTCCCTGACCGTAAAGAATATTCTGATTCACTGTAAAAATGATTAAATACTCAAAAAAAATATTCTATTAGGTACATTTATTTAAGAATTTCTTTAATTGTAAAATTATTCGAAAATATCAATAACTTCAAATTCAACTTTCAAATTCAAACCTTTTGAAATTCAATACCTTGAAAGAATTGTTTTATATAATAATAGGTATAAAAATGTTCAATTCAATTATTATTTTCTAAAAATTTTAAATAAAATTCTACTTTAATTCAAGTTTTAATAATTTTTGAAATATACATTAAAAAATAAAAACATGAAGTAATTTTAAAAAATTGCAATTAAGCTATTTGAAAATAAAATTAGTTCCATACAATTTTTAATTAAATGTCTGAAAAATTCAGATTTTCAAAGATTTTAATATGAAACTTTTTTAAAATTCAGGTACCTACTCCTAAAAATTCATGCTTTTTATATTCAATTATTATCTAAAACTAACTGAAATTCATTTATAAATCAATTATTATTAGAAAATTCTATGAGAATTCAATTATTTAAAAACAAACCTAGATAATTTAGTGCATAATTAAATATTTCTTAAAATTGAATTCTTATACATAATTCTATCAATAAATTTTTAAATAATTGAATTCTTTCGACGAATTTTAATAACATTTTTAAGAATAATTACTGTTTTCAAGGAATTTCATTGAAATTTTATTAAAAATAATTAAAATTCTGCAATGAGCTTTATTATTTATGAAAATAATTCAATTCCTAAAAAGAATTTTCTTATTTAAGACAATAATTGAATCCTTGTAAAAATTGTATTATTTATGAAAACAATTAAATTATTGCGAAGAAATTTTTAAAAAAATTCTAAATAATAATTGAATTCCTATTAAATTTTTATTATTTATGAAGATAATTGAATTTATTTTATTAAAATTTATTGTAAATAATTGTATTTTTTTAGACAATTGTATTAAAATAGTAGATATTGAAAATCATTGAATTGGAGAACATTTTTGAAAAAAATTAAAATTTTTCCAATTTTGAAAATAAAACCTTTTCAAAATTCAATTATTTCTAAAAATTCAGGTTTAAATGTCTCTTAATATTCAATTATTATGTAAAATCTGAACTAAAAATCATTTTTGAATCAATTTTTATTAAAAAATTTTACCAGAATTCAATTATTTAAATGCAAAAATAAATAATTTATTGAATAATTAAATGTTTCTTAAATTTGAATTCTTATACATAATTCTATCAACAAATTTTTAAATAATTCAATTCTTTCGACGAATTTTAATAACATTTTAAAAATAATTACAGTTTTTAAGGAATTTGATTGAAATTTTATTAAAAATCATTAAAATTCTCGAATGAATTTTATTATTTATGAAAATAATTAAATTATTGCGAAGAATTTTATAAAAAAAGTTTCAAAAAGTTAGTTTTTTTCAAAATAATGTAAGCAAATTCTATTTTTAGGTAATAATTCAATTCCTGTGAAATTTTTATTTATTTGCTTCAAAAATAATTGCATGTTCGTGTTAAATATTGTCAAAATTTTTGTTTAAAAATTCAATTCTTTTGGGGAACTTTATTAAAATAGTAGAATATTGAAAAATCATTGAATGAATGAAAATTTTTTTAAATAATTGATATATTTTGCCATGAAGTTTATTAAAATTTTTCAGAATAATTGAATTTTATTACTTTTAAAAATAATTGAATTCTTGTGACGAATACTATTATTCATGAAAGTAATTGAATTTTGCAATGAATTTTATCAAAATTCCTGAAAACAATTGAATTTTGTCGAAGAATTTTATTAATTTTAAAAATAATTGAATTCTTGTGATGAATATTGTTATTTATGAAAATAATTGAATTTTACAATGAATTTTGCTATTTATAAAGATAATTAAAATGTTGACGAGAATTTTTTAAACATTTTTGAATATAATTGAATTTCGGGAAAGAAGTTTAATATTTATTAAGATAATTGAATTCTTTTAAATAATTGCGTTAAAATTTTTAAAATTGAAACTAATTTTAACAAAATTGAAATTAAAGTTTTTTAAAGAAGTTACAAAAATTCAGAATTTTTTTATTAATTCTAAAAATTTAATTTTTTCCAGTACTTTAATAAAAATCCTTGCTTTTCCTTGATTTCCCTGACCTGTGGCAACCCTGTAATTAAAAAATCTAGTCTAATTTCTCTAATTCTTTGAAATAAAAATTACTTTTTCAAATAAAAATTGTCACCTGTTTTTTCAGAACCATCGATGTGCGGCAGTCCAGACAGATCGGAAAATACGAGCATTGTTGGATCCAAAAGAACAATTGGGGCAATTATCGAATACACTTGTCCTGATGGATACATGCTCGTGGGATCGAAGAATAGAATTTGCGAGCCCACTGGATTTTGGAGCGAAAATCCGCCAAACTGTAAATGTAAGAAAAAAATCAATAATTTCGTTCAAATATTGAAAAAAATAGCTTTCAAGTATTAAAGAAAATATTTCGAATGTTTAACGATTTTTTTTCAAAATTAAATATTCGCTAATTTTTAATTAAAAATTCATTTCAATAAATCGCTAATTTTGTGTGCTATTTGTATTTAGTTGTTGACTGTGGGCAATTGCCGGATTTTGAAAATGGAATTATAAAACTTTCCGACGATAGAACAACCCACGGAGCCCTCGCCGATTATTCCTGTAAAGAAAATTACACTCTCGTTGGAGATTCAACGCGAAGGTGCGGAGACGGAGGAATTTGGAGTGGACATCAACCTCAATGCTTATGTAATCTTTTTGACATTTCCACTTTATCAACTTTTAATTATAATAATTTTAGAAAAATTATCAACCGCAATGCTATAATGTCATCTTTTTGACATTTTCACTTAATCAACTTTTGATCTTTCCATTAAATTTGAAAAACCATAAAATTTTAAAAATCAATAAACTATTAAGAAATCGAAATAAATATAGAAAATAAATACGAAAATTTATTTTCAGTTAACTGGTGTCCTGAACCACCGGAAATAAATGGTGGTGTTTTCGAAATTACCGGAAGACGTGTTGGTTCAATTGCGACCTATTCTTGTCAAAATGGCTTTATTCTTTTTGGAGATAATGTGAGTATTAAAAGAATACCAGAATTATAAAACAAAAGTATGGATGAAGATAAAAAAGAAAAGATAATTAAAATGAATTAGAGATGTAGAAAATTAAATTCATCGTAAACTTGATACGTGAGGAATCATTTCGAAATTTAATGAAATATTGATAACTTAGAGAATTATGATTAAAACGGGAATTTTCTCTTTTATATAATATTTTCCTTGCGAATAGGAATTAAATATTTTCTTTTTATGTAAGAAAAAATCCTTGACAATTATTAATACTTCAAGAACGTGACTTCGAATTTTATCTTTTATTGTTTTCGAATACAATAAAAAGTAATTGTTATTCTTTCTCCATTCTCGAACATATTTCTTTCATTTTTTTATTTTCTATTCATAATTTTCATTCCAATTTAAAAAATCAATCAATTCAATAAAAAAAAACTTTAAAATTCAAATATCTAAGAGAATTAATTTTTCTCTAAATAATTACTTAATTGTTAAAATGTTTAAAAATTTAGAAATTGTTTTTGTTTAAAACCGTTTCTTTTTCGTTATTTTTAAATAACTACTGTTTCTGGACTGCAAAGAAACGGGAGAATTTAATGCTACAAAAAAACTGAGTGTATTTACAAATGTCAAGTTTACGCAATAGATATTAAAGGTTTTTGTTATAAATAATAACTCGGTATACAAAACAGGTGAAAGGAACTTCATTTTAAAATCTTATGTGTGTGTGTTGAAGGTCCTGACGTGCGATATCGGGGGCCAATGGTCGGGTAAAAGTCCACAGTGCCGATTTGTGGATTGTGGAGCCCCGGCCCAAATTGAATTTGGGACTGTGACCTTAATAAATACGACCACAACTGTTAGCAGCTTAATTATGTATAACTGTCAGGATGATTATTGGCTTGTCGGCGACGCTAAACAAGAATGCACCAGAGAGGGAAAATGGAGTCGCGATACTCCTTCTTGTGAATGTTAGTATATTTTTTCTTTTTAACCTTAAAAATTCTTCTGATTGACTAATGCAGGGCTCGAACCGTAAAATTAAGTTTTTTTTGAAAAAAAAGTCCGTAATTTTATTGAGAAAAGACGAAAAGTTCGTAAATTGTACAATATAGTAATTTGGAGAATTTTAGAGAAATTACAAATGATTGCAGAAATTCAATTATTTTCAAAACTAATAAAATTCTTCGCAGAAATTCAATTATGATCAAAAATTTTTAAAAATTCTTGTCAAAATTTAAATTATCTTGAGAAATAGTTAAATTCTTCTCTGAAATTCATCTATTTTCAAAAATTTTAATAAAATTCTTGGCAAAATTTCAATTATTTACAAAAATTTTCCTCAATTCAATCATTTAAAAATTGAAAAAAATTGCAGACCTCGAAAAAAATCTCTATTTAAAATTCACGTCCAAGTAAAATAATTTTTTCACCCATTTTTCTTTTATAGCGAATATTTATCTACTATTTTAATAAAATTTTCCAAAAGAATTCAATTATTTAAAAAGAATATTAATATCATTCTGCGCAAACTTTTAATTATTTTCAATAAATAATAAAAATTTCACAGGAATTTCATTATTTAAAATTTTTTTTATTTTCCTCGTAATCATTCAATTATTTTTATGAATAATAAAATTCTTTTTTGGAATTCAATTATTTTCGTAAATAATAAAACTCATTGCAAATTTTTCATTATTTTTAATACAATTTTAATCGAATTCCTTAAAAAAATTCTTAAAAATTTTATTAAAATTCGTCAAAAGAATTCAGTTTCTATTTAAAAATTTATAAATAAAATTCTTTATAAGAATTTGATTTTAAGAAACATTCAATTATTTAATAAGTTATTTATTTTTGTATTTAAATAATTGAATTCTAGTAGAATTTTCTCATAAACATTTATTTAAAAATGGATTTCAGTTAAAATTGTAGATTACAATTAAATTTTAAATGCATTAGAGCGTACATTTTTAGAAATAATTGAATTTTGAAAAGGTTTCAGATTAAAATCTTTGAAAATTTGAATTTTTCATATTTTTAACTAACAATTCTGTGGAATTAATTTTTTTTGAAAAACTTTAATTGAGGATTTTTTTAAAATTATTTAAAGTTTCTTTTTCTTATATATATTTAAATAAAGAATTTACGAATAATTGAAATTTTTAAAATTGAATTGTAAACAAATGAAGTTGAAAATTCTTAAAGAACTTTTTCAAAAATTATTAAAAATAATGGATTTATAGAAGATGTTTAGTTAAAAACACGAAAAAAAAATTCAATTCTGTAAAAGTTACAAATTATTACAAAAATTAAATTAAATATTAAATATTGCAAAAATTAAATATTGTTCAAAAGTAATAAAATTCTGTTTAGGGATTGAATTATTTTCGTAAATAATAAAACTCATCGCAGAATTTCAATTATTTTTAATACAATTTTAATCGAACTCCTCGAAAAATGTAATTATTCTTAAAAATTTTATTAAAATTCGTTGATAGAATTCAATTATTTGAAAATTTGCTGATAAAGATTCTTCATGGGTATTGAATTTTAAAAAACATTCAATTATTCAATAAATTACTTATTTTTGTATTTAAATAATTGAATTCTAGTGGAATTTTCTAATAAAAATTGAATTAAAAATGGATTTCAGTTAAAATTTTAGATTATTATTTGCATAAGTATTAAAAGCATTAGAGCGAGAATTTTTTGAAATAATTGAATTTTGAAAAGATTACAAATTAAAATCTTTGAAAATCTAAATTTTTCATATTTTTAACTAACAATTTCTCAAAGAACTTTTTCAAAAATTATTAAAAATAACGCTTTTATATAAGAATTATAGTTACAAACACGAAAAAAAATTTAATTTTGGAAAAGTTACAAATTATTTCAGAAATTCAATTATTTTTATGAATAATAATATTCTTCGCAAAAATTAAATATTGTTCAAAAATAATAAAATTCTTCTTAGGGATTCAATTTATAATTTTTACAAATAATAAAACTCATCGCAGAATTTTAATTAATTTTAATACAATATTGTAATCAAATTTCTCGAAAAATGTAATTATTCTTAAAAATTTTATTAAAATTCGTCAAAAGATTTCAATTATTTAAAAATTTTTTGTTGATATAATTCTTAATGAAAATTCAATTTTAAAAAACATTTAATTATTGAATAAATTATTTATTTTTGTATTTAAATAATTGAATTTTAGTTGAATTTTTTTATAAAAATTAATTTTAAAATTAATTTTAGCTAAAATTTTAGATAATAATTGAATATTAAAAGCAATATAGCGTGAATTTTTATAAATAATTAAATTTTGAAATGAATTTTTTTGAAAAAGATTAATTGAATTTTTTCTTAATATTATTTGAATTTTTTATTTTCTAATTATATATTTAATTGAAGAATTTACGAATAATTGAAAATCCTTCAATGATTTATAATTAAAAAATTACCTTATCAATATCGCTTGGAATTTTGAATTCTTCTCTAATGTGCAGTCTTTCCGTAAACTTCGACCAGTCTGTAATTTATAATCATTAATTAGTGGAGTAAAATTTATTCCAAACTAACGATTTTGATTTAAAATGTTTTATAAATATTTTTATAAAGAAATAATAATATTATGGTTTACTATTTAATTTATAGTACAATTTATTTAATTATATGCTAATACTTATAATATTAATAACAATAATTTTTACTAATAATATTAAAGTGGTAATGAAATGAAAAATACCGAAAGATTTGTCGAATTCTAATTTTTGTCTTCTTGTTCTTCTTAAAGTGATTATTTGCGAGGAACCGGAAGTGCCAGCCGGAAGTTACGTCGTTGGATATGATTTCAATGTACACAGCTCGATTACGTATCACTGTGAGGCTGGATATTTGCTGCATGGTGAAGCAAGACACACCTGTGGCAAAACTGGAGAATGGACTGGCGATGTTCCATCTTGCGAATGTAAGTTATTTTCAACTGAAAAAAAATAAAATAGTTAATTAAAATTGCATAATATAAATTTAATTATAATACATCCCATAGAGTAATTCTACGATTGATAATATAGAATCAAAAATAGTAAAAGCTTCTTATGAAATATATTTAATCTAATGAATAAATTTCGATTTAATTATAAATTTTGATTTATCTATAAATTTCGATTTAATTACAAATCTAGATTCAGTTATAAATTTAGACTTAATTTAATTAAATCTGCAAGTATAATATAATTAAATTAAAATCCACTTTTATTAATTAAGTCTCTTTCTTTTCGATTGTTTTTTGTTACAAAATTTTTCGAAACCCGCAAATAGAAAATGATGTAAGGGGAAAAAATGAGAATATTTTCCAAAGTTATTATAATGTAATATTATAAGATTTTATCGAAAATTTATTGCATTTTGTATAGATATCGACTGTGGGAAGGTCCTACCAGTTTTAAATGGAGCAGTCGATTATATAAACGGAACGACACACTTGGGAAGTGAAATTTCATATTCTTGCACAAGAAATTACAGATTGAATGGAGTTACAAAAAGATATTGTCTAGACAATGGTCAATGGAGTGATGCTACACCAAAATGCGAAGGTAAAAAAGAAGAATTAAATAATTTTCGAAATTAATTAATAATTATTAATAATTATTATTATTATTATTAATCTCGTCATGTTAAAATATTCGTGAAAAATAGAAATAAAAAAGTTTACTGAAAATTTGTTCTTTGGAGAACTAGCTCTTTGGAATTTAATAAATTTACTAGATAAATAAAATAAAAGAAGAAATAAATTTAATTAAATTAAAAAATTAAATACATAGAAAATTAAATTAGAAAATTAAAAAATTAAATTAGAAAAATTTAAAAATTAAGAAAAAATTGTGAATAAAAAATTTAATTTTGAAAATTTTGTTTAACAATTATTACCTACAGAAATGAATTTTATTTAAAAAAAATAGTTTTTTTAATTATCAAAATTATTTTAATTCTAAAATCCATTTAATTATTAAAACGTTTAATTTTAAAAATTAATTAAGTTCTTTCAATTTTAAAATTAATTTAATTATTAAAATCATTGTTTATAATTCCCTCCTTTATTTTACCAGGGGATCATTTTCCTTTTATAATGAAGAAATCAATTTCACTTTTCGAATTTTATTATTAAAAAAATCGTTTTTAAATTATCAAAATTATTTTAATTCTAAAATTAAATTATAAAGATTAATTATATAATTATAAAGATATAATTATAAAGATTTTAATCTTTAATTTTAAAATTCAATTAATTATTGAAACCCTTAATTTTAAAATTCGATTAATTCTCAAAATCTTTAATTTTTAATATTAGACAAATTCTCAGAACTTCTAATTTTTAAATTAAATTAAAATAATAAAATTATTGTTTATTATTAATGTTTTAAATTAAATTAATAAAATTATTCCGTTCTTTATTTTAATGGGGGAAATTTTTTCTTTTGTAATTCTAAAGAAATGAATTTTATTTTTTAAAAACGTATACGTTTAAAAAACGATTTTCAATTGTTTTGAAAAATTATCCAATCATAATGTCCTGGGTTTTAATTTCATAGACACGTTTATTTGTTTAAAAAAGAAATTTCAAATTCGCTCACTAGGGTCGCATGTTATTTACTCATTCTCAATAGTGCTGAAAAAATCCATCAGTTAATATATAAGGACGATAAAAAGAAGAATTTATCGAAGTGGTTTACATGACACTTCTCGGGAATTTGTTTTCGAACTCTTTGAGCTTTCACAAGGTTTTAAGAGAAATCGTAACAATCTTCTTAAATATTTGATGTAATTAATTTAATTAATGTAATTTAATAATTTAATGTATTTGATTTAATTGATTGAATTAATAATTTGATTTAAATGACTGAATTAATATAAAGTGATTAAAAACGTATGAAGTGAAATAAAAAATGACAATTGAAAAATAATGGCAATGAATATATAAATGACAAATAAAATAATGGCAATGAATATATAATGGCAAATAATGACAAATATACAATGGCAATAATGATGATAAAATAATGGCAATAAATAATGACAAATATATAATGACAATAATTGATGATGAAATACTGGCAAAAATATGATAATGATATATGCATGATGATTAAAATGGTGATGGTATGTGATAAAAGTGGCATGATGATAATAAAATAATTAGTTAAAAATTAAAAATAATAAAAATGACAATGATACGAATCCCAAATGAAATAGAAAGACTTGTGGATTTCTGTAACTTTGTGAAGCTCTTCGGGTTCGAAACAAACTAAGGGTGTTCTTAGACATGTCGAACTTCCTCAAAGGTCGATTACCGTAGAAGTAACTAGTAAACCACATTTTTTTTAAATTCTTAATTCTAATAATTAAACCAAATTCTTTTAAAACAATTTTTCTAATTTTTTTGAAAATAAATTTTGGTAAATTAATTTAAAATATGTATTTTGATCCTAGTTAATTTTAAAATTTGTTTTTTAATATTTAAAATACACACTTGTTTTTCTTTGTAGAAATTCGCTGTTCGGAACCAGTATTAGCGATTCATGGAATTCTATCCGTGACCGGAAATGACAGAATGTACGGAAGAACATTGATAAGAACTGGAACGGCCGAAAATTCGAATACAGGAGCAACGTCCTATAAAATTGGCGCACTTGCCAAGTACAGATGCGAGAGAGGATATAAAGTCGTTGGAGAACCATTGTCCACGTGTGAAGACACTGGAAAATGGAGTGGAGAAGTACCTCAATGTGTCTGTTAGTAAAATTAAAATATGAATAAACTTTTATGTTTTTTACAGGGCTCGAATTAGGTCCGTAAATTTGCTTCAAGTTCGTAAATGTCAGTTTTTTTGAAAAAATGGCCGTAAAGTCCGTAATTTCATTGAAAAAGGACGAAAAAGTTCGTAAATTGTACGATATAATTTGGTGAACTTTAGAGAAATTACAAATGATTGCAAAAATTCAATTATTTTTAAAAGTAATAAAATTCTTCGCAGAAATTTAATTATATTCAAACGTTTCTTTAAATTCTCATCAAAATTTAAATTATCTTTAAAAATAATAAAATTCTTCTCCGAATTTCAACTATTTTCAAAAATTTTCCTCAATTCAATGATTTTCAATATCTACTATTTTAATAAAATTTTCCAAAAGAATTCAAATATTTTAAAAAATTTTTAATAAAATTCAACGCAAACATTTAATTATTTTCATAAAATAATAAAAATTCCACAGGAATTCAATTATTTACAAATTTTTTATAAATTTCTTCGCAATAATTTAATTATTTTCATAAATAATAAAATTTTTACAGGGATTCAATTACTTTCGTAAATAATAAAATTCTATTTAGGAATTCAATTTTTTTCATAAATAATAAAACTCATTTCAGATTTTAATCAAATTTCTCGAAAAATGTAGGTAATAATTTTTAAAAATTTTATTAAAATTCGTCAAAAGAATTAAATTATTTAAAAATTTGTTGATAAAATTATTTTATGAGAATTCAATTTTAAGAAACGTTGAATTACTCAATAAATTATTTATTTTTGAATTTAAATAATTGAATTCCATTAGAATTTTCTAATAAAAATTGATTTAAAAATGAATTTCAGTTAAAAACAAATAAATTTCAAAATTCTAAAAAATATTTTTTCAAAAAAATTATTAAAAACAAAGGATTTATAGAAAAATATTAGTTAAAAACACAAAAAAAATTTTAATTTTGGAGAAGTTACAAATTATTGGAGAAATTCAATTGTTTTCAAGAGTAATAAAATCCTTAATTATATGTTAAAAAATAATAAAATTCGATTCTTAAAAATTCAATTATTTTCATAAATCATAAAAACTCATTTCAGAATTTCAATTATTTTAAAAATAATTTTAATCAAATTCCTCGAAAAATGTAATTATTTTTAAAAATTTTATTAAAATTCGTCAAAAGAATTAAATTATTTAAAAATTTGTTGATAGAATTCTTTATGAAAATTCAATTTTAAGAAACATTCAATTATTCAATAAATTATTTATTTTCGTATTTAAATAATTGTATTCTAGTTGAATTTTCTAATAAAAATTGATTTAAAATTTAATTTCAGTTAAAATTTTAGATAATAATTGAATATTAAAAGCAATATAGCGTAAATTTTTATAATAATAATTAAATTTTGAAATAAATTTTTTTGAAAAAGATTAATTGAATTTTTTTTAAATATTATTTGAAGTTTTTATTTTCCAATTTATATATTTAATTGAAGAATTTACGAATAATTAAAATTCGTAAAATTGAATATTATAAACAAATGGATTTGAAAATTGTCAGAGAACTTCTTTGAAAATTAATTGATTTAAAGAATAATTTTAGTTAAAAATTCTTGAAAATAATAATTGAATTGAAATGATGAAAATAATTTTGAAGAAGTACAATATTCTTATAATATAAAATAATGATTTTATCAATTTTCCATGTTTTATAGTTATGAAAAAATGTAATTTATAGTTTTAAGTAAAATGTTCTTTTATTTGACTTGGACTGGTTATATTTTTGTCAGTAATTAATCCGTAAATGGTTCGTAATTTTTCATTTTTGTTCCGTAAAGTCCGTATTTTTAAATACTTTCACTGGTTCGAGCCCTGTTTTTACAGAAAATGGAAAAGGTCGTCTCTAAAGATTTAATCTTTTTTTTTTGTAAACAGACGTTGACTGTGAAAAACCAGAACAAATTCAACATGGACATTACACTTTAACTTCAAATGCAACTTATTATGGTGCCGCTGCACTTTACGAATGTGACGGAAATTATGAATTGGATGGATATGCACGAAGACTATGTCTTGAAAATGCAACCTGGAGCAGTGACACACCAATTTGTAAAGGTAGAATAAAAGTTTATATTTATACTCATCAAAAATTGGCCACAAAAATATATTTAAGTTCAAATTCTAAATTATACTCAAGTGGAAACAAAAATCTATTTTCCTCACTGAAAATGATGAATCTTTAATCTCAAAAAATATTTTCAGAAATCAGATGCAAAGATCCAGACAAAATGGGAATGATAGCGACGCAAATTTCAACCCATAGCGTTGGAGGAGTTGCTCATTATAATTGTCCACGTGGTTATAACATGGAAGGGAACGAAACAAGAATTTGCTTACAGAATGGATCTTGGAGTGGAACATCGCCCGCCTGTTATCGTAATTATCATTATATTGTTAACTGAGTAGAAATTAAATTTGTCCAATTAAAGAAAAAATTGTAAAATAATTTTCTGTGATTTTGGAAAATTTTGGAAAAAATTGACAAAAATTGAATTTTTACAGCTGTCGATTGTAAAGATCCAGGAATTGTCGAGAATGGAAGAGTAATTGTCGTGAATGGAAGTACAAGTTACGGAGGTGCTTCGGAGTATCATTGTCTGCCGCATTTCGAAAGAGTTGGACCTTTCCTTAGAAAATGTTTAGATACTGGCAGCTGGAGTGGCGATGAACCAAAATGCGTGTGTAAGTAATTAAAAAATAGGATTGCCACAGAGCAGGGAATAAAGAACATTCAGGGAAAGTAAAATCGATCAAGGAAAATCGGGGAAAAGTTGGGGAATTTTGAGAAAAGTACTGGAAAAATATCCAATTTTTAAAATTCAAAGAACTTTTCCAAACATTATTTAAAACAATAAAAATAATTGATTTAGAAAAGAATTTTAGTTATAAATGCTAGAAAATAATTGAATTGAAATGTTGAAAATAATTTTTCAAAGGTTACAGTAGCAATTCCTTTAAATTATCGAAAGAAATTGTTCATAACATTTTTTTTTAAATTTTAATTAAAATTATTAAAGAAACTCCATTATTTAAAAAAAATGCAAAGAAATTCTTCAAAAAGAATTTAATTACAATTTTCAAAAATGTTAATAAATTCTTCGCGAGAATTTAATTATTTTCCTAAATAATAAAATTCTTCAAAGGAATTCTATTATTATTAAATTTTTTGATAAAATTCTTTGCAACAATTCGATGATTTTTAATACATTAACTTTAAAATTGAAAATATTTAAAAGGAAAATTTTTTAAAAAAGTTAGAAGATGTAAAAATAAATTTCTTAATAGAGTAATTAAATAATTAATCAAAAAATTTAAAATTAAATAATTTGTAATTTACCTTTGATTTTTTTTAACTTCCAGTGTCTCTGAACGAAGTAGCAGAAGTCCAAGGAGTCGGTACCAGTGTTGGAATTGGAGCTGGAGTTATAATTTTCATTTTGGTAATCATCGGCCTGGCTTACTTGCGACTGTAAGTGAAAAAATATACATTTTTTGGTCGAAAAATAATAAATTATATTAATTAAATTAATAACATGATAAAAAACTTTTATTATTAAAATAATTAGGAAAATTTTTATTTTCTAAAAGATTTTGCAACAATTTTCAAAGACATAAAAAAAATAATAATAATAATAAATCTTTACATAAAAAAATAGAATAAATAATAAAATAAATAATAAATTGATCAAAATAATAAAATGTTTAGTCTAAAACCTAATAAATTATGTTTTAAATGTAATGTAGCAAAAAGGCCAGTCCAGTAAAAAATACGGAAAATGTCCAAGCTGCTGAGCGGAAAGAAGACCAAAATGCAGCAGTTATGTCGTACGCTACTCTAAATGATGGAATTCCAGGAACAATGTACGAAAATGTTCCTGAAGATGGCCTTTATGATAATCCCTACAGCATCAGCGGGAGTGCTTACGGGTATGTGTTTCAATTTTTTGAAAGTAAAAAAATAAATTTACATTTATTTTTTATTTATTTTTAAATCCAATTTTTTGAAAGTAAAAAGATAGCAAATTTATTTTTTAAAGAAGCAAAATTTTATTGCCTTATTGTTTTTTTAGATACGGAGGACATGGACGAAGAGTTTACAATCGATCTGGTCATTACGAGGCTGAGCCTGTTCATCATAGAAACGGTATCACAATCAATGGAGTTTCCGTTCGATAGTTAATGTAAACGATTGATTGCACACAAAGTAATCAAATATTCTCTTGCCCTACATTTTTTTTTGCGATATTCAATTCTCGCAAAATCATCATGAGTAGGAGAAAATTTTTTGAAAATTATGGTTGTTTCTGAATCCAAAGTCGTGATCGTTTACCTCTCGTTTGACCTATAGGAGCAATTATGAAAAAAAAAATAGTATTCAACGAGGGATTATTATTTATATATATTATAAATATTTAAATATGAAACTATTTAAAAAGTACCATAGTCTGGAGAAATAATTAATTATTAGCGACCGTGGAATGTCGCTTGTTAAGAATTTTTTTTATATCACGCGTCGAATGTAGCAAAACTGTAAATAGTTCACAAAGAATTTTTTTTTTCTGTTTATATTGTGAGTTGAAATGGAACGAAATAGGCCAAAGGTGCCAATTGTATGTATGATTTTGTATATATATTTTATTTACTTAGTGACTATTATAGGATTGAAAATAAAATAAAAGAGTATGTATTGTAAAATTCGTAAATTAAACGTGCAAGACTTTTTTAAAAAAAGTCCTGTGAATATAAAAATACGAAATTAGTTTCATTTCTGATCCTTTGAAAATAAACGAATTTGTGTCTTTTTAAGTTCAATTTAGTAGATTTACGCTTTTTAAATAATAATAAAGTTTATTTTTTAAACTAGAAAATGTTATTTTTATAATCAAAAGTAAAAAAATTCAGTTCTTAAGTACAGAATTAATTACTATTGTTTATATTTTCAAAAATTTTACTATAATTCTTCGCAAGAATTCAATTATTTTTATATAAATAAAAACACTCTTCGGAAGAATACCATTATTTTTATAAATATTAAATTTTTTTTGCAAAAACTCAATTATTTTTAACATAATTTTAAAAAAATTTCACAAAAGAATTCAAATATTTTCTAAAATTTTAATAAATCTTTGCAAAAATTCAATTATATTCAATAAAACTTAGCGAAAGGAATTAAATATTTTTCATAATTCGTTATAAAATTTTTCAAAAGAATTCAATTATTTTTTAAAATTTCAATAAATCATTCGCAGGAATTCAATTATTTTAAAAATAATTTTAATTGAATTCCTCAGAAGAATTCAATTTAAAAAAAAAATGTTAATACATTTCAAATAAATTTAATTATTTTCTAAAATCTTTAAGAAATCCATCAAAACAATTGAATTATTTTTATAAATAGTACAATTCTTTGCAAAAAATCAATTATTTTTATAAATAGTAAAATTCTTTGCATAAATTCAATTCTTTTCAAAACAATTTTAATAGAATTCCTCTAAAGAATTTAATTGTTATCAAATATTTACATGAAATTCAATTATTTCCTAAATTTTTAATAAATTCTTCGCAAGAATTAAATTATTTTTATAAACCTAGTAAAATTCTTCACAACCATTAAATTATTTTTATAAATAATAAAATTCTTCTCAGGAATTCAAATTATTTTCAATACAAATTTAATAAAATTCTTCTTCATAAAATTCAATTGCTTTCAAAATTTTTGATTAAAATTATTAAAGAAACTTTATTATTTTTAGAAAATTCAAAGAAATTCTTCAAAAGAATTTAATTAGGATTTTTTTTAATTTTAATAAAAGTCCTCGCAAAAATTTAATTATTTTCATAAATAAAAAAATTTTTCGAAGAAATTAAATTATTCTCTTCAAATTTGTTGATAAGATTATTAGCAAGAATTCAATAATAATTTTCAAAACATTAATTTTAAAATTACATATAAAACTATTTAAAAAGAAAAATTTTTTAAAAAGTTAGAAAACAAAAAAAGTTAATTTAATTAAATTAATTTACAATTATATTTCTTATAGTATTAGATGTTAAGGTTTTATTTATTTAATTTATAATAGGTAATTTCAATAAATTAAATAAATTTTAATTTCAAACTATAATTTTACAAATATAATTAAAATGTTTAATTACGAAAAATTGTTTTTAATGTTTTTTCTAATTTCTATTTTAAACTTTTTTAAATTTTTGTCTTAAATACAATTTTAGTTTGTTTTTTAATGTGGCAAAAATTAATAATTATTATTATTGTACAAATTATTAAAAAAAAAAATTTGAAAACTCCCGCCACAGTTCGTGTCAAATGCACAAAGAGACGTAACTAAAATTGTAAAAATGGGGCATTATACTTTCCCTTGTTATCTTAATCAGATTTGATTAATTTTCCGTAATTTGACATTTATTTATAAATAGTTGACTTTTTGTTATTTACAATTAAAATTTCTGCAATATTTTTATAGCAGAAGGGAAAAATATAAAATTATATTATGTCCCGGGGATTTTTGTCACTAGATACGGTACTTGATTTTGAAAGTTTTACAATTTCCTCACTAGGCGCGTATGTATTTAATGCTTTCTCACAAGCGCTATAAAATTCCTTCGTTTAGTATATAAGAACAAAAAAAAATATGTCTTTCGTGGTGGTTTACTGATACTTCTCGGGAATGCATCGTGTCCGGTTGAGCTTTCAATAGTTTAACAGGAAACGAGCAAAAACTCCTCTACAGATTTCGGAAGCCAGTGAAACAAAAAAAGTGTGTGTCTAAAAAAAAGCCAAGTTATGATAATTAAAAAAAGGAAGCTGAAAAAAAGAGTTGACAAAAATATGTTTGAACGCAAATGACGAATGTTGAAAAACATTTACTTTGAACGCAAATGACAAATGTTAAAAAACATTTACTTGAACGCAAATACTTTGAACGCAAATAACAAATGTTGTAAAACATTTACTTTGAACGCAAATGACCGAATGTTGAGAAACATTTAAGCTTCAATGAATTTTGAAGAGAAGAGAAGAAGAGAAAAGACGACGATCGACGAGAGCAGAATATTAAAGTTGCCATTGTGAAAAAGTCTTCAAGTTCCGTTTACAGAAAAATTAAAGTTGCATTGAAAAGAGAGAAATCGAGAATAAAGAGAGAGAGAGAGGAGGGGGATTTGTGAGTTTCTGAACCAAACTTTGAAGCTTAACTACGGTTATCGAAGCAAATTACTAAGCAAGTTGACGCTTAGAAACATCCGGATTACTATAACAACGGTTACCGTAGAAGTGACTTGTAAACCACATTTTTTGCAATTTTAATTACTCTAATTTCACATTGAAAAATTATTAACTTTTTTATAAAACAAGTAATTTTGCCTCTTGTTAAAAGATTAATAAATAGTAATTGTAAATAATAGCGAGAAATACTTTTAATTCCTGTTGTATGAAAAAGTCAAAGTAAATACCTATCAAAAGTAAGCATTTAACAAAATTACCGAAATATATCCGGAGGGACGTAATGTTTTTAGTTGAGATACAACCATATAAGGAATCGAACTCTCATGGTCAAACATTTTCTATACATGGATCATTACGTTCACTTATATACCAACCAACGCTAAAGGATCCATCAATATTATTTAAAAATTTTTTTAAATTATTTGCTTTAACAAATATTTTTTTAATAAAAAAAATACAGACGTCAATTTCTTTTTTTTTAAATCAAAGTAATAAATTAAAATTCAATTCAGTTAAAAATTCAGAAAATTACCAACATTTGCCAAAAATACAAAAAAGTAAATTATTTTTAAAAATTTTACAGAATAAATTTTGTTTCGAAATATTCAAAATACTGACAAAATAAAATTTTCGAAAATTTTGTATTTTTTATAAAAAAAAATCTTTTTGCATGTCAATCTTATAGAAGTTTCATTTTCACTTTTTACCCTGACCTTATTTTACGATAATATTACTGACTCATAATCTTTAAACTAAATACGGTCACAACTTTTCGAAATCAAAAAAAGGAGAGAAACGCTGGAGAAGAAGGCGAACAGCAAATTTAAATTCTACCGCCAGAGTGAGACACTTATCCGGGTGTGGTGTGAATGGCTGAAAATTTCCAGTCTCCATTTGTTCATTGTTTGATTCACTCCAGTGTGAAAGTTTAATTTACCTAATTTTCTATCCATTTATAGGTAAAAAAAACTTATTAAGTGGTGAGTGTTGTTTTTCAAATTACCTTAAAAGTGTCCTTCATTTAAATCACGTGAATTTTTTTCCCCAGTAGTTGTTGAATTGTAGTATATACGTGAAAGATAATTTGTCAGTTTGACAACAGATTTTTTTCCTGACATTTAGGACGACAACGACGGCCATTACTGTATTCTTCGAGAAACAATCTGTAATTTTATTTGTAAAATTCTTCTTCTTTATCTATTTTGGCACATTTTTTGTTGGCCTTAACGGAGGAGTAAAAAGTGATCTGTCAAAAAAAAAGAAAGATTTTTAGGTTAGGTTAGAATAATTGAAATAATTATGACATTTTTGAAAAGTAAACAATGTGCTTTCATTGATGAATCATTATCATGAGATCCAGGAAACTTTCTTTTCTTTGTTTTATGGAATTCGATTTTATAACGAAAATAAGTGCCGAGCAATAAATGCTAAAATGACGTGTCATGGTCAATGATCTCATTTTGCTGATCTTTGCAATTTGCCTCGCATTTTGCTGCCACTTCTCGACTCAAATAGTATTTTACCGAATTTATTAATTTTATTTACGGAGAAGGAAATTAATTTTTTATTTACTTCCAAGTACCTAAACAAACTTTACTTTTTTACTAATTTAATATTTTTCTTTCATTGCAAAAATTTATATTGTAATTTTTAAACAATTGTGATTCATCTCTGTAATATTTTTACCTTGTTTTCTCTAACGTCAGAATTTCCTGACTTAATTATCCTAAAATAAACAGAAGCTCCAATAAACTCCTGGCGTCTATCGCCTATTAATAACGCAAGTTTGCATCAATTTTTAAATCTCATTTTTCCCCTATATTATTTATATAATTATTATATTGCAATGTATTGTAAATCAGGGTGGCCACATGTCAGGGAAATGTCAGGACAAAGATTTTTTGTCAGGGAAATTAAGAAAATTGCGACTTTTTCGACTTTTTTCCAAACATTGCAATAAAATACCACAATCTTTAGTAAAAAAAGTACAAATTATTTTGATTTTTATAATGCAAAAAATAACTATAAACAAATCTTTCAAAAATTGTTTTTGTATCATTTTTTAATATAATTAAATTTTTCAAATATCTATATATCCATAATAGAAATCTTTTTGAATACCTGAAATTTTGTAAAATTTAATTGAAAATAATTTATTTATTTCAAGTATTTTGTTACAATTTTTAAAAATCAACTTTCGAAGAATATTTTATTGCAAATTTTGAAAATAATTGAATTGGCAAGAAATTTTTATGATAAAACTTTAAAAAGTTGAATTTAAAAATGAAAATTAGCTTCTAATTTTTTTAAATTCAATATTTTCAGTATTTTCAATTACATATTTCCAAAAATTCAAATATATACAAAAGAAATAACATTTTAGAATTATTTTTAACATTTTGGCGAAAATAATCATGTTCAAAATTTTTAATTAAAATTCATCAAAATTAATTAGTTTTCTTAAATTATATAAAAATTCTTTTAAGAAATTCAATTATTTTCGAAAAAATTACATTAAAATACATATTTTTAAAAACTAATTATTAGAATTGTTTTATAATAATTTTTTAAGATTCAATTATCTTCGAACAATGTAAATAAAAATTTATGAAAATTTATTTTTTGGACTTATTAGAATTTTTGAGATATCATGGTCCTGTTTATAATTAAAATTCTTCAAAAATGTGATCATTTTTATTTATATTTTTCAAAAATTTAATTATTTATTTATTTTATTTATTATTATATTAACAATTATTAATTAATTAATTAATTATTATTAATTAATATTTTTAAAAGATTTTACCAAATTTTAATTGTTTGGTAATTTTCAAAATTAAAAAACTATTATCTTTCAAAAATTATTTTAAAATATTTTTAAAAAATTAATTGTAAGAATTTCTTTATTATTTTGAAAATATTATACCTTAATAACTTAAAAAAACGTGGACAGTTACATTTATTATAAAAAAATGTAGTTTTTTTATTTAAATAGTTGAATTTTAGAAGAACTTTCGGAAAATTATTTAAATTAATTGATTTAGAGCTGAAGTTTAGTTGAAAATTGTAAAAAATAATTGAATTCAGGAAGGATTTTAATTGTAATTTTTAGAAATTATTAAATTTCATAAATTTTACTCATTTTCCGTAAATTTTCATATTTTCCTGTAAAAACAATTTTGTCAGGAAAATAAATTTTAATGTCTGTAAATTGATAAACTGAAACTTGTGACTACCCTGTAAATGTGGAAAATAATGAAGAAGGATTGAAAAAGGAAATTTAAAATATGCAAAAATGGAAATAACAGAAATAATTTTCTTTACAGACAAAGATGTCGGCACGTAAAACAGCAGGTCGTCGTGCCACCACGAAAAAGCGTGCACAAAGAGCAACATCAAATGTTTTCGCAATGTTCGATCAAGCACAAATTGCCGAATTCAAGGAAGCTTTCAATATGATTGATCAAAATCATGACGGTTTCATTGATAAGGAAGACCTTCACGATATGCTGGCATCATTAGGTTTGATTACTTGAAAAATATTCAATTATTACTATAGACAAAAACGAATTACTATTTTTATTATAACGAATCGTTTTTTAAATTAATTAGTGTAATTTTTTATTTATAATGAATTTATTATTCACGTAAATTGAAATAATTTTAAGTAAATTAAAACAATATGTCGAAGGAACATATTGACACTAAATTAAAAATTTAACTATAATAAATTTGAAATTATAAGTCTTTTTTCTTAGGTAAAAATCCAACTGACGAGTACTTGGAGCAAATGATAAACGAGGGCCAGGGTTCGATAAATTTCACCATGTTTTTGACACTCTTCGGCGAGAGACTTCAGGGAACTGATCCCGAGGATGTAATTAAAAATGCTTTCGGATGTTTCGACGAAGAAAATAATGGACACATAAACGAGGAACGTCTTCGTGAACTTTTGACAACAATGGGTGATCGGTAATTTAATTATTAATTTCTAATTGGAACTTTTGTATTTTATTTCTCGAAATGCGTCAAACAAACACGATTTTTATAGAGTAGTAATAATCATAATGAAATACATTTTTTACTACAATAACTAATACATAAAGTAATAACTAATTCATTTATTTGTGTTTAAAAAAAATTAACCTCTATTCAATGAATTAAATGAAAATAATAAGGAAACAAAAAAAGAAACTGGTACTTTGAAAACGATAGTTTTTGTCGATGCAAGCAGAGAATTTTTTCTTTAAGACCAAGAAGTAAATAATTTCAGAATAAAAGAACTTTATTATTCTTTCCATCCGGAAAAAAATTTTCGATCCAATTGACAGTTAAATAAAAATTTACTCTTATTTAATTTCGTCAGACGTAAACATTGGTAACTTCATAACAAAAAGTTTAATAACAAAAACTAAATAATAAATAATTAATAATACAATAACAAAATAAATATGAAGTTTCCTCCAAGAGGAAGCAAAAACAATAGCAAGAATAAAAAAGTAAACGAATAGTATTTCCGTCAATGTTTCGATTTTTTTTCGAGAAATAAAATCTTGACCTTGTGCTTGAAATTGATTTGAATTTATTTTATGCACTAAAAATGTATTTTTAGATTCACTGACGACGAAGTAGATGAAATGTATCGAGAGGCGCCAATAAAAGGATCAATGTTCGATTACATCGAATTCACACGAATTCTCAAGCACGGAGCAAAGGACAAGGACGAACAGTGAGAAAAAGCGTGAAAAGAAAAAAAAAAATGTTCGTAGATGATTCCTTTGTTCACTTTTTTTTCTATTATTCTTTCTACAAGGATCGAATTGAAAATGTTTTCTTTTTTTCGAGACCTTATAATACTTAATCAGATTAAGCATTTCATTTAATCACTGAGTGATTGCAAATCTCCGCATAAAATATTTACTACGGTTTCCTTTAATTTATCACAAATCGCTGCCTATTGCAGTTTTTGTTTTTTCTCTTTTGCAATCCGTCCCCCTTTCATCATTCCTTTTTTTTCTTTTCGGGGATATGGAAACAATTGTCTCTTTAAAAGAAGATTTTTTGAAATTAAGGGATTTATTGCACATTGTTTCTAGAAGAGTTGGTAATTTTATATGCATTTTTAAATTATTTCGAGAAAAACAAATTCTATTATTATTTATCGATAGCGTTTTTTTTGTATAAAAGCGAACGCATTGTAAAGTATTTTTCACTTATACATTTATAGATATTTAGAGTCATATTTACCAATGAATTGGCGTTTGTATTTTAATATTTACATTATAACAATTACAGTTGATTTGAATATTTTTTTATTTGTATCCTTTTTTCCTGGGATTTTTTTTTAGTTGGCCTAATTCACTACTGCGATGATGGGTCAATTAATCGCTAATGGGAAATCGAATTAAAAAAAAAAATTGAGTCACGGTTCGATGAGCTTTTAACACACTTTTTTTATAAGCTTTTTTTATAATACGTCGATTGGATTTTTACTCACGTGTAGATAATTTTTAAAAATTCGTTTTTTAAACAAAAAAAAATTTTAATTTCTGATATTTGAACTTTGTGTCTGAAATTTTTTTTTCTAGTCTAGAAGATATTCATATTGTTTGAATAATGAGAAATTAATAATAATGTTTTAACAATTATTTTCTTTTCGCTAATATTTATACGATTTTCTTTTTAATTACAATTTCTTTTTTAAATGTTTCAGTAATGAAGAAATTAAATTTCTTTTCTTTTCGAAAAAAATATTGACCTAGAGAAAATGTATATAATTCAGAAATTATGGTCTATAAATACTATAAACCAACTTGAATTCACGATAGGAAGTCGAGCGTGCAATTAAAAAGTTTCACAAGGTTTTACGGCTAGCTATCGGCAATACTTTGGCTTATCTTTAATGTCAATTTCACGCTTCCACGTCCTATAACACTACCGGTAACAACAACAAAAGTCAAAAAGACTTCACATTGTTTTACAATCATAATTTTAGATTATCGTTTTTCTTTTATTTCTTTCTTTCAAATGTACATAATATAATACTAGCCAAATTATATGGAATGTTGTGTTCCACTTTTTTTTTGTAAACAATTTCAAGTCATTTTAATTTAAGTAATTTTTAAAGAAATACTTATTATGACACATAACTGAAAAACTAATTAGAATTAAATTTTCAAATTATATTATATTTTTAAACTTTAAAGTATATTAAAAAACTTTAACAAATTTTGATAATAATTTCAAATTTTACATCAGATTATCAAAATTGAAAATAATTCAACTTTCTTGTACGAGGAAAATTGAATTTCGCAAAAATTGTTATTTGATACCTAAATTAAAAATAATCTTCATTACGAAAATTTTTATTATTCTGAAGAATAGAGAAGGTGAAAAAATTATTATATATTCAACTTTCTGAACAAAGAATACAAATAACATTTTTTTTAGAGAATTTCCACTACTTTTAATTCGCTAATTTTCAAAAAAAATTTAGAAAAAATCAATTATTTAACAAAATTTTATGCAATTTATTTCTTACAATAATTCAATTACTTTCACTAATAATAAAATTTTACATGAAAATTCAATTATTTAAAAAAATTTTTGTTTAAATTCTAAGCATGAATTTAATTATTTTCATAAATAATAAAATCATCGAAGAATTTCAATTATTTTTAATACTATTTTAAATTAATAATCGAATAATTCAGTTATTTTCACAAATAAAGTTTTCCACAAGAATTCAATTATTTAAACAAATAAAATTTTCATAATATTTATTATATTTCGAAAAAATTAATTATTTAAAACAATGTTCATAAAATTCTTATAAAGAATTCAATTACTTTTAAAAATAATAAAATTTTTCACAGAAATTCAATTCTTTTTAAACATTTTAATAAACTTTTCCGCAATAATTCAATTATTTTCAAAAATAATAAAATTCTTCTCTGTAATTTAATTATTTTTGAGAATTATAATAAAATTCCTAGAAACTATTCAATTATTTTCATAAATAATAAAATTCGTAGCAGGATTTCAATTATTTTTAATACAATTTTACAGGAATTGCTCAAGAAATGTAATTATTCTTAAAAACTTAATTTCAATTCCTCGAAAAAATCAATTATTTAAAAACATGTTTTTTTAATATTTTTTGGAAGGATTGAATAATTACTTTCAAAAATTTAATAAAATTGTTCGAAAGAAATTAATTGGTTTAAATACAATTTAAATTAAATTTTTTTGAAATAATATAATTTTTTTTTAAATTTTAATAAAATTTTTTCTAAGAATTCAATTATTTACACAAATAATTTTTCGAAAGAATTCAATTATGTCGATAAATAAGAAAATTACTCCAGAAAATTTAATTATTTTGAGGTATTTTAATAAAATTCTTTTCAACATTCAATTATTTTCATAAATAATAACAATATTTATCACAATAATTCAATTATTTTTAAAAGTAATAAATTTCTTCTTAGAAATTCCATTATTTTAAAGAATTCTAATAAATCGTTCTCAAAAATTCAATTATTTTCATAAATAATAAAATAATTTTTAGGAATTCAATTATTTTCAAAAAAATTGAATAAAATTTCCCACAGACATTAAATTACACCAAATTTTTTAATAGAATTCTTTGTAAAATTGAACTATCTTTAAAAACTTTTCGCAATTAAATGATTTTCATTATCTACTATTTTCATAAAATTTCTAAACAGAATTTCAATTATTTAAAAAATGGTTTGCAACAATTTTCGTAAGAATTCAATTCTTTTCATCAATTCAATTATTTAAATTAGAATTTGCATAAAATTATTCGAAAGAAATGAATTATTTAAAATTTTTTATAAAATTCTTCGCAAGAATTAAATTATTTTTTATAAATAGGTATATTTTAAATTCTTTCATGAATAATAAAATTCGTTGCAGGAATTCAATTTATTAGCAGAAGAAATAAGTAAATATTTTTCATGAAAATTAGGAAAAAGGAAATAGGATTGAATAATTATTTTCAAAAATTTGATAAAATTGTTCGATTGAAATTAATTGTTTTAAATACAATAAATAAATTAAATAATTATAAAAATTTTTTTGAAAAAATTCAAATATTTTTTTAAATTTTAATAAAATTTTTTCTTTGAATTCAATTATTTACACAAATAATTTTTCGAAAGAATTCAATTATATCGATAAATAAGAAAATTACTCCAGAAAATTCAATTATTTTGAGGTATTTTAATAAAATTATTTCCATAAATAACAATATTCATCACAATAATTCAATTATTTTAAAAAGTAATAAATTTCTTCTTGGAAATTCCATTATTTTAAAAAATTCTAATAAATCGTTCGCAAGAATTCAATTATTTTCATACCTAAATAATAAAATGCTTTTTAGGAATTCAATTATTTTCAAAAAAATTACCTTTAAAAACTTTTCGCAATTCAATGATTTTCAATATCTACTATTTTCATAAAATTTCCAAAGAGAATTCAATTATTTAAAAAATGGTTTGTAAAAATTTTCATCAATTCAATTATTTAAATTAGAATTTGTTTAAAAATTTAAAAATATTCGAAAGAAATGAATTATTTAAAAAATTTTATTAAATTCTTCGCAAGAATTAAATTATTTTTTATAAATATTTTTTAAATTCTTTCATGAATAATAAAATTCGTTGCAGGAATTAAATTTATTAGCAGGATAACAAAAAAGTAAATATTTTTTATGAAAATTAATTTTCAAAACAAACAAATAAATGCAGAGGATTTGCTAACGGAAAGGAAACTTCTTACGATTATTACAAAGTAGTATAGTATATTGTACATATATGAAAACTAGTTTTGAACTGTGTGAAAAATTTTAGAAAAATAATTCTTATACAGAGAAGTTAATTTTCTTTTTTGCTATAATGTGCATTTAAAGTTGATTTAATGAGAGTTGTAAAGTGCGCAGATTTATCTTTTGAGGTTTTAGTTTGTTGTTTGCTGTCAGCATTTAAGGCATGTCTATTTCTTAATCTTGTCTGACTGATTATCTTTAGAGAAGTAAATTATGTGAAAATTTTCAAATAAAATATACGTAAAAATATTTTACATTTTCTAATGATAGTGTAAAAAAATAAATTAAACTCATTTAATGGTAGTGGAGGCAAAAAAGGATTCATTTATCACAAATAATTTCTTAGACATAAATTAGAAAATGGGAATTAAATTGTGATATTAAAAAATGAAGGAAAATTGCAAGAATGCTGAATTTAATTTTCTTTTATAATCCAATTCTCTATAATTGAATAATCTTGTACTAAATGTCAGCAAATCTATTTTAGAATACATTAGTTAGTCGCAAAGATGCACTCGTAATATTTAGGGCAACGTCGCGATAAATTCGGCACCCACTAACTTTTCGTTATACCTCAATCAAAATTTGGGTCACTTATTAATAATTACCTAATTCGCTTTGCAGAAAAAATACAATTTCATTTTTTAAATTAAATTAACTTTGAATTAATTAATTCATTCATTAACTTTGAATTAATAAAATAACTTTGAATTCACAAATTAACTTTGAATTCACAAATTAACTTTGTATTAATTAATTAACTTTGAATTATTTAATCAATTAATTAACTTTGAAATAATAAAGTAACGTTGAATTAACAAATTAACTTTGAATAAATTAATTAAATTTTAATTTAATTTATTTCATTTTTTTCAATTAATTTAATTTTTTTTAATTATTTAATTTTATTTTTGTAATTTCAATCAAGACAGAAAATTTATTTCATCACTTAAAACTACTAGATTTTTATCTTGTCAATTTTCATAAACGAAAATGCAGGTTTTTTCTAGTAAGCGAAATAAAAAATTATTTTCTGAAACGCAATAAAAAAAAAGTTTAATTTGATTATAATTCGAGTGAAATCATTATATAAATATCAAACTACGCCTCGAAGTGTATACATATAATTTGTTTATACTTTTCCAGTGTTTTTTCCTCATTTTTATTGCAGAAAATCGATAAAAGAAAAACGGCTCGAAACAAAATGAACGTTCACGAATAAAGTTCAAAGTCGCAGAGCAAATAAACAATTTTATGAAAAAAAACAATATGAATAGATAATTAATTTGTAATTAACTGTTTTGATATTATTTAATTCTAACTTAATTTTTTTTAAGTTGTAAATTTTTAAATATTAATTAATTATTACTGTATAATATTTCGTGATTATTATACAAAAAATATTCATAAAAAAATCAATTTTTTGTAAACCGTTGAAAATCTATAATTTTATACGCATCTCATTATGTCAAGATTTCGAGATTATTACAAGGAATTAAATAGGGAATCATTTGGATTAAAAATTTAATCCCGTACTTAAAAAATTAATACTTATATTAAATTTAAATATTTATTTTCATTTTTTCTTTAATGAAAAATTTGTTATTACATTTTTTAAGGTTAAGAATTCCAATTTATTCTAAATGTTCGTTATTTTCATAATAATAATGGCTATTTTCAATTTTAAATGAGATTTTTAATCGTGTCAGGAATTTATCTAATCTTGCGATTTGAATTATGAATTTTAATGATTAAATGTGGAAAATAAAAAATAACAATGGGAGAATTTGATGACAAGTACATTTTTCAAATCATGAACTATGCAATAAACAGTTTTTTTATTTACACCTCCTCTAAACGGTCCGATATTATCGCTGTTTGTTAATTTTTTTTTTAGTTTAATTAAAAAATACACAGTAAATCACTCGAAAAAAGTATCGCAACAATGTTTTTCTCCGTACGATTTAATCGTTATTGTGGTTATTGTATAAAGTTTGCAACAGTTATTTTATTGTTGCAACAAATTCTACTTGAAGTTGGTAACAATTTGAAATTCGGACAAAATACGATTTTAAACATTTTTGATAAAAGAATTAAGAATTTGACTGAAAATATCGATAAATAATAAATTTCGCAATTCTCTATCACTTGTTGTTAAATATAAATCAGAAATATTTCAAACAAATTCTTTTATTTGTTTATCACACACTTTGAAAAAATCGATTACCAAAATTTGTGATATCGATTATTGCTAATTGTTATCAACTTCACACTGAACGCAATATACAGACAGTTGCAGAAAACGTTGGAAAACTAACAGCTCAATAACGTCTGGCGAGTGTTTTTTTCTTGTTTTTAAGCCGATTTTACTGAATATCCCCAACAAAATGGATTCGAGACTTAAAGACAGCCCAATGGTAAGTTTTATTCATAATTAGTCTGCAATAATTCCGGATATCAATAATATTCCGAAGTAAAAAGTAATGAAGAAAAATTGTTTGATCACGTGACCGCCATTTTTTGTAACCTCAAAAAATTGTTTAATTTTCTCAAAAATCAATTGCGGTGAATGTTTTAATTGTTCAAATACGGTGATAATGTTTAATAACTAATATAATGAATGTCATTAATAATAATTTGCGGAATATTTTTCGAATAGACAACTTTACGATTTCACGTGGTACCCGGCGTGGTACCAAAATGTCGCATAAGCCGGCGGAATTTTTTTTCCTGTGTAAAAAATTGTCAGCTCTTCTCCAGGTAGGTGGTAAAAAAGCAAAAAAAAAAAATACTTAGAAATGCAGGCTTCGCACTTATCTAGATAGAAATAGAAATCTAAAAACTTCTCAAAAATTATAATCAAATTCTTTAAAACGATTCAATTATTTTTAAAAAATATTCGACATTTAATTATTTTCAATATCGAGTATTTTCATAAAATTTCGTAAAACAATCCAATTATTTAAAAAAACAAATTGATAAAACTCATCCAAAATTCATTTATTTTCATAAATAATAAAATTTCCACAAAAATTAAATTAATTTTGATAAGCATTTTCAACAAAATTTCGAAAAAATCAAATATATTTGACAAAATTTTCATACAATTCTTTTCAATAATTCAATTACTTTTACTAATAATAACATTTTTCATGGAAATTCAATTTTGAAAAAAAATTTTTGATAAAATTCTAAGTAAGAATTCAATTATTTTCATTAATAATAAAAATCATCAAAGAATTTCAATTATTTTTTATACTGTTTAAAACAATGTTCATAAAATTCTTATGAAGAATTCAATTCCTTTTAAAAATAATAAAATTTTTCACAGAAATTCAATTCTTTTTAAACATTTTAATAAAATTTTTCGCAATTTAATTATTTTCATAAATAATAAAATTCTTCTCATGAATTCAATTATTTTTGAAAATTTTAATAAAAGTCCTAGCAACTATTCAATTGTTTTCATAAATAATAAAATTCATCGCAGAATTTCAATTATTTTTAACACAATTTTACAGGAATTGCTCGAAAAAATGTAATTATTCTTAAAAATTTAATTTCAATTCCTCGAAAAAATCAGTTATTTAAAAAAAGGTTTTTTTTAAATTCTTTGGAAGAATTCAATTATTTACGAAAATATTAGAATTTTTCACTGGAATTCAATTATTTTCAAATATTTTAATAAAATTGTTTGAAAAAAATTAACTATTTTAAATACAATTTTAATAAATTTTTTTTTAAATAATTCAAATATTCTTTTAGATTTTAATAAAAATTTTCCCAAGAATTCTATTATTTACATAAATAATTCTTCGAAAGAATTCAATTATGTCGAAAAATAACAAAATTTTTCACGAAAATTCATTTATTTTGAGGCATTTTAATAAAATTCTTTGCAAAATTCAATTATTTTCATAAATAACAATATTTATCACAAGAATTCAATTATTTTTAGAAGTACTCAATTTCTTCTTGGAAATTCAATTATTTAAAAAAATTCTAATAAATCGTTCTCAAGAATTCAATTATTTTCATAAATATAATAAAATGATTTTTAGGAATTCAATTATTTAGAAAAAAGTTTAATAGAATGCTACATAGAAATTCATTTTTTCTTCAAAATTTTAATAGAATTCTTTGTAAAATTTAATTATTTTTAAAGCTTTTCGCAATTCAATGATTTTCAATTTCTATTATTTTCATTAAACTTCCAAACAGAATTCAATTATTTTCATAAATAATAAAAAATTTTCAAGATTTCAATTATTTAAATTAGAATTTGCCTAAAAATAAGTCGAAAAAAATTAATTATTTAAAAAATTTTATAAAATTCTTTCATGAATATTAAAATTCGTTGCAGGAATTCAATTTATTATCAATATAAGGAAAAAGTAAATATTTTTGATGAAAATTAGGAAAAAAATTCAGGTAAATAGCATTATCGAGTGCGAAGTCTGGAAATGTCTAATCTTGTAATATTTCTATATTTTGAATATTAATTAATTGTCTAATGATTTTTCCGATTTTTCGAATGTAGCGCTTTGAAGAAAATGACAAGAGTGTATCTCTCTGTAGATGAGCGCCCGGGACGCTCGGAAAGTCAGCAAACAATCCGCGTCTGCGCGCGGCACATGGATATTGAGAGAGAGCTGCAGTATCGTTTCAGAATCGTTGGTAACAGGTACGTTTCTCTCCTTTTCATTTAAAGGGAGTAGAGAGTGGTGTTTTTCATTATACGCCCCCATCTCGTCTCTCACATAAATAAAAATTGTGACTGGCAGATAAAACCAAAACATGTTTTAGGGAGAATATGACTCTTAGACTTGTATTGTCACAAGGGACAAAGAATGCCGATCAGTGACAAAGGACACCGGGTCTGATACACTTGCGTCTTCTGGGGATATTATATACACAAAAGTGTGTGCAAAACGCCGCAGTCCTTCCACCCGGGTGGTGTGTGCGTGTAATCCACCAATCGCGTTATTCACAATTCTCACGGAGTCAATTGGGTGAGCCATTCTCGACGACGATCACAAGGAAGTGCAATTTTTTTTTCTCCAGTTCTTGTGTGTTTGTGTGATAAATTACAGGAAAATGATGACAAATTCTCCTGGAATAAAATTGGGTTACGACGTCTTCCTCGCTTGGCAACAACGCGGTTCAGTGGGTCGAGAGCAACTCAAAAAGGATCAACACGAATAAAAGGATATCAATTACGGTGAGGGAAGAGTCCATCCTTGAAATTGGAGAAATCGTCTTCTCGGTTTTTTTTCCTTTTTGGAGGAGGTCTGTGGGATTTAAAGAGGTTAGCTCCAGGGTGACTTCGAAGGAGCGACAATCACGATCAGCTGTTCAACGTGGGACGTGACAAACCCTTCGACATCTTCAGGTTGGTTAGCAAATTTTTCCTTGTTTTTTTTTTTTTTTCATATTTTGACAGTTTTGTGTTTGTCGAGGAATTTGAGGAAATTGAGGGTCTTCTTTGTTGACCTTGTAACACGTATTGTTTCCGGAAATTGTTTTTTCGACTCTTCTTTCATTTTGCGGTGTAAAATTACATTAGGAGACTTTATTAAGAGAGTCCTTTAAAATCTATTTTCAAAATTTCAATTAAAAAAATTCGTATCAATTGTTAAAAAATTAATTGTAGTATTTTTGTTTTTTGTTTTTTTATTGACGTAGAGTTTCCGGGTTTTTGGCAAAATTTAGGTCACAGGATGGATCGATGTAGGTCAAGAAAAGGACTATTCGTTCTGATAACACGATCCTTCGTTTATTTTTCATTCTCAGTGGGGAGTTTTTTTTATTTTCTATGAAACTCAATTACGAGTCATTAGGAAAACTAGTTTTGTAAAACGAGTTATTTGTATTTAATATTCTTGAAAAATTATTTATTTTAACTATTAATTATTAAATTTAATTAATTTAATTCAATTAATTCAATATATTAAATCAATTCATTCATTTTTAAATTAAATTTTGTTATAGAAAGTTAGTTTTCAAAAATTTGACTTGAATTATTTTTTAGATTTTTCTTTTGGCTTTACACTGTTAAAGGAAAAAGTAACAAAATTTTAGTGTGTCTAAAATTGAAAAGATTTCCATAATGATCTGAGAATGTGAATAGAAAAATTCTGGTAATTTCAGGGAAGTAATATTCGCATGGTTGTAAAAGCTTCGCGCATAAACTCTGGCCGGAACTGTATAATATAAAAGCAGGGCTTTTAGAATTTTATTTAAAACCAGTTTTATGACATTCTTCATTGCCCTTTGAAACAAGAGATAATTTAAAATGTCACATAAGTTTCTGGAGTCTTTTCCTTTTATACATTTTTAGTTAAGTAATTAAGAATCTTTTCAATTTTAACGCACAGATTTCATGAGAGAAAACTTTATCTTCCGTTTGAAATTTCAATTTCAAAAATATTTTTAGTTTTAAAAAATTACTAAAAGTATTTAAATCAGAAATTTGATTTTCATTCAATTTTTTTGGTAAAAAAATTCCATTGTTAACTTTACGAGACAAAATGTTATCTTCCGTTTAAAAATTTGATTTGAAAACAATTTTTTAGATTTTTTTTTAAATTACAAAAGTATTTAAATCAGAAATTGGATCTTAATTAATTTTTTTGGGTAAAATAATTTCATTGATTATTTCAAAAGTTAACAAAACTTTCATTTCTTCTTGAAAATTCAATGTAAAAAATATTTTTTAGAGTTTTAAAAAATTAGAAAATTATTTAAATTGGAAATTAAAAATTGGATCTTAATTTAATTTTATTAATCAAATAATTTCATTGTTAATTTCACACAAAAAAAAATTTATCTTCCGTTCGAAAATATAATTAGAAAATATTTTTTAATTTTAAAAAATTACTAAAAGTATATTTAAATCGGAAACAAAAATATGATTTTGTAAAATTTAATTTTTTTGGTAAAATAATTGAATTTATTTATAAACATTTCATTTATAATACAATAAATGTCCATTTAAAAATAAAAGTTTACGTACATTGAAAACTATCTACTCCAATATTGTTAATATATAATTAAAACCTACTTATTTTGAGTATTACGAAAGAAAGAAATTTCAAAGAATCATTTTCTGTTAATTTTGCCGCTGTAAAAAATTTCAGAATCTCGTATAATTAATATTTTTTTTTTCATTAACAGGTGGCTCGTGCTTTTGTTAAACCGACAAGTTGATAAAATGACATTCTTCTCATATTGACATTAACTTGGAATTTTTAAACGGAAGATAATTTAATTTTTTTCTGTTAATTAAAATTCGAGTAACTTCATTAAAAGAAAAGAAAATAAAACTTTTTCAAGACAAAAAACAAAAAATAATAAATAATAAATAACAAATATATGTTGATAAATTAAATAAATAAATACAAATTTTTACACTAGACAAAGGAAACATGGAAAAAATCTTTCTCTCTCGTAAAAATTTCTAAATGTCTGTAAAGTTTTCAGCTGCTATATATATTTTCGACTCAGGGTCTCTTAAAACTTAAATAATATTATTTTTGAAAACAAATTAAAATTGAAATGTTTTAGAATACAAACATATAACACACTCGGGACAAAAATATAAATTTGTTGAGTTTCTTTTTATACAGAGAAAAAAGCGAATAATATAAATTTTAGAAAATGGAAGGTTTCCTTTTTAGATTTCTCTCGTTGATTTTAAGTGCTTTTAAACGCAATATACGCAGACCAATTGGTTTCTTGCTAAGACATTGTGTTTGAAAACCTTTTCTTTGAGACTTTTACGAGGTATTTTCGCTGCAAGAGAATTTTTAGGGGACGATAAATAAAAAGAGAAGGCCACAAACCAACATTTTTTATTCTAAAAAAGGAAAAAATTGTCGAATATGAACTTAAATCTTTATTAATTAAAAGGTACAGAACTTTTTTTTGTTTTAAATTTTCGTTTTTTTATTATGAATTATTTTCTCTTTTTTATTTATTCACATTTATTATTAATCTTTTATTTACTTTCAGCTTCTTTACTTATTCGCATTCATTATTTACTTTTTTATTCATTATTCTCTTTTTATTTACCCTTTTTTGCTTTCATATAGAAACAATAAAAAATATTTGAGACAAAGAAACAGAAAAAAATGACTTTTAAGTAAAAAGTAAAAAAAATCCGTTTCTCTAATAACAAAATTTTTTATTATGCTTTTATCGCGACGCCACTTTCTTCACTCTTTCTAACAAACTATTAATAGATAAATATTTGAAGGGTATTTCCAGAGGAACTAATATCACGTGTTAAAAAGTGGTTTAGTTCACCTTGAAATTGTGGCGTCACAAATATGCACATGAGAAGTAAAATTGTACATAAAGCAGATGCATACTGCTACTTGTAAAGTAACTCGATAGTTTTCCCCTCTCGAAAACTTATATTGTTACGCAAGCGATAAAGTAACAATATTCGCGGATTTTCATTAACATAAAATTACCATTCAGAATTTTTTATCTACTTGCAGAAAAAGAAGCATAAAATATTTTCTTTTCTTTCGTAGAAATTTAAAAAAAAATAATCTTCCTAAATGTTTGTTTATAATTTTGTTTCTCTTCTTTTTGCAATTTTCCTTCTTTTTCTCTATTTGTTTATTTTAACCGTGTCAAATCGATAAAGTACACAATTCGTCAATAAAGTTTACAATGAAGTAAAGCTTTTCAAAAGAAACAAAAATAAAAGTTGAAAATGCAATTTTAAAAAGAAAGTTGCTTTAGTTGATTTCTTTTGGTCGAATAATATGTTTTTTACTGTTTCTATATTTTATTGAGGCAATTAGTTAGTCAATGTCGCCAATGTTAACGATTTTGAACTTTTTTGGTTAATTTCCAGAATTATTTGTAGTATCTATTTATTCGAATTTTTTATTTATATTCAAGTTATTTTCGTTCTTTTTTGTCAAATAATTTTTTTTCGCTTCTATATTTGTTGAGACAATTATTGGTTACTTTTCGGAATAATTTTTAGTATTTATTTGAATTTGTTAGTAAAATTTAAATTATTTTCATTTTATTTTTGTCAAATAATTTTTTTTTTTCGTTTCTTTTTTCAATTTAAACAATTATATAATCGTTAATGATTTTTATAACAAATTTGGTTTCTTTCTGAAATTATTTTTACTATTTATTTGAATTTATGTTAATATTTAAATTATTTTTATTAACATTTCCCTGAAGTTCTGAAAGTTCAAATAAACAAAATCTTTTTTAAAAGATTTCAAGAATTTCAAGAATTTTAAAAGAATTGCGTTTACAATTTTCATAATTAGATGAACTTCAAAAGGTTTTGATTTAAAATTTTGTAAAATTTATTCCAATTTTAAATGAATTTAATTAGAAATATAAAAAAACATAGATTTAAGGATTGTCACAGCTGTGGTGAGGGGCAAGGGGATTGCTCCCATTACTCCCATGTAAAATCTTGCATGTTTGCAACCTCAAAAAAATTTCAGTTTCATAATTTTAATCAAAAATCCTATATATTTATTTTATTTAAAGAAAAAAAAACATTCAAAAAAGATGTAAAAATTAATGATAAAATTTTTTCAAGACTAAAATATTAAAAAATGTATTTAATTAATTTTTTGAAAAAGTGCTAAAAACCATTACACAACATAGTCGACATATGGTTGGTACGACTGGAATATAGTATATTGTCAGAGGTTAACCTCAAATTTTTTAGTGTTGAGAACACGAAAATTACAATAAACAAATGTAGAATATAATTATGATGCAAAAGAAACATAACAGTTATCAACTTATGTTTAAGGAATATTATTAATTTCAAATGTACAGATCAAATTTGTATTTTTTTGAGGTTGTGTGTTGTTGCGATGTTGCGATGTTGCCACATTTTCATGTGTTTTTGTGTTTGATACTTATACAATTATTACTGTTCTGAAAACTAAAACTTTAATAATTATTTATTCATTAAATCTGCGGTAAACTTTTTCTAAAATCTTCCAGTTTAAACTTTTTGACATTGTCTATCCATATACAAAACCACAGAATTTTCTCTCATTTCCTTCACACTTTTTTTCTAAGATTTATCTGAGCTCCCATAAGAGCCTATGTTAAATTGCAAATTTATTTTATTTTTTTAAGAAAAAACTACGTGGTAAAAAATTCTGAAAAAAATCATATGTTTCTAAAATAATATAAAGATTAAACTGTCAAATTTTTATAATTGTCTCTCATTTCCTTATATTGCCGGTGACAATCCTTAAAAAAAAATTTTAAAACAAAAATTCTTCTGAAATTAGTTATATTATATTTTTTAATGTATATTTAACTAGTTTTGTTAAAAATAATGGATTTATAGTAGAATTTTAGTTAAAAACAATCAAACAAATTGAA